TCAGAACATTGTGGAGGACTATCAGATAAGTCATAATTACAAATAATGTTGGATAAATGATAAAGGTATCGTGTCAAGTTAAATGAATGCATTTTTAAGGCAGAAAGTACTATTTTTCCATTAGAAATCATAATCTATTTCTGGATTTTAGCAGTTACCATTTCAGAAAATCTAGTATGAGTTTAGAGCAAATGTTGCACATAGTAGTAATATGTTATCATTTCATCCCAAACCACTGTGAAAATACAAAATAATAAAGGCAAAATGTCTTAAAGCTTGTGAACTGGAGTTAATCTGTAAAATATAAATTAAAATGTCATTGAAGGATTTTTCCCTTAGAAAGAAAAAAAAAAAAAGGAAATATTTCGAAAGACTATGCCAAAGAAAATGATGCTTTTAATCAGGAAAAAATGTTTCAGCAAGGTAAAAATACAACTTTTAGTGGCTTTAACTTACATTAATTTTGCTTACATTTTATGTTTTGGGACATAAAATATATTGTAATAATAAATTATATAAGTATAAACAATATGTGGATTATATTTAAAATTAAGAAAAAAACACATTTATGGTTGTATGTTTATATATAGGGCATTTAAATAAACTTAAACTGCAGTACTACAACAAATAAACTGAAAACTGAGGGAAAAAAGCTTTTTTCCCTTTTACTGTGCTAAAAGCCTCATTTTAAACCAATCTGGGTGTTGGATAGTTCTTGGTTTGTTTTTTTCCATTGGAGTCCAATCATTGAACTAACCATAACCAGCTATGTCACTTATAAACTTCTGTGGCTCAGGACTAGTTGACAAATGACAAATTGTTGAAGAGGAGTTCTGTCCATTTGTCAAGGAACACTGACAGATTAAGATATAACCCCTCTTTACCCAAGACTGTGTGGATAGTTTTCTGCACAAACAGCTTTGTTACTGTTTTGTGTTTGTTTGTGTGTTTGTTTGTTTGTTTTTTATGACAAGCAAACAGTGCTTTAAAAAAAGGGATTTAATAAGATACATAGGAAAGCCTACCTTCTGGTTTCCTGAAAGTGTCAACGCTGCTAAATCCTTCTATTGTATACACTTTGTTATGCTCTTAAATGGCACTTGTCTAATCTTTGCTATTCACATAACCTGATAAGGAACTATTGAGGCATGTAACTTGTTATAAATGCTTTTTTTTTTTTTTTTTTCCACTTGTAATCTTCTTATGCTACGATCAGACAGACTCTGAAACTTATTTATTCGTTCTACATGACTTTTCTGTTTGCTCTAACGTAACAATCTATGTATTCCTGTTAGAAATATAGGAACTTCTTGGTTGTCAGGTGTCCAAAAACCCCGTGGGAATACCCAGACATGTAGCAGTTTTCCAAATGTGGTAATTTTTCTGACATAATTAAGGTCATCTTTATTTATTGATTGATTATCAGGTAAGCTATCACAAGTTCAGCCAAAGCAACACCACTTCCCTATATCTGAATGAAATCTGCAGATTACCTCCAGTCACACTGAAATTTAACCTTTTAAGATTTTGTTAAATTCAGCACTCTTTAGCATCTGTAGGATTAAGAATTTAACATGTAGAATTAACCCATCCATTTCACACTGCCTTAGGGTAGCACTGCTCCAGCAGATTTTGTAGTGCTTCAACTTTTAGAGTGATATGTCCTCTTTAATTTAAAATAAAATAAGATCCTGCCTTTTAGATAACAAAAAGGAGAGATCCTTTGAGTTATTTATTTATTTCCGCTCTGTTATCAGGGTTTTGCTGTTCTATCCTCCCCATCTCATTGCAGCACACTTTGTGAACTTGCTAGTCCCGCTCTGTAGTGGTGCTTTGACAGCTCCAAGACAAACTGAGATTGGTTTGGGGTAAGGGGCAGTTTAGGTTAATGGTTTCATATAAGTACTTTGAAAAACATTTGGAATGAAATGCATAATGTTTTCCTGAGAAACAAGCACCTCAGTTCTCCATAGTTAGGCTAATCTGTCACTGTTAAGCCATTGATATTACTGGCTTTCAAAGTCCCCTGACAACTCACATTTAGCTGTAAAACAGATTGTTTTGAATATGGGGAAGAGAAGCTGTAAACATATAAAATAAATGACTCCTGGCCATTCCAGTGGTGTAACATTTTTGTCAGGAGCCTGTTTATATCAGACTTTTAAGTATCCTGACCGAAAAAATGTATGATTAATGGTACCTTTACCCTGAGAGCTGTCACGTAAGTAGCCACAATGAAGCAAACAATATGTTGTACGTTTTAACTACTCAGGCTGCTGGGCAGGTTTCCCTGGGGGTGAAGCAACCTCACTAACCTACAATTGACCACTTTTCCTTCACTTCCCCTTTCCTAGGGCATGTGCCTGATTGATTTTGGTATTACAGCTGCTCATTCTCCCTACTCTTATTCATCTCCAGCCCTGTAGTAACTCTGAAGTAATTTCTGCAGGAATAGGCAAGGATTTCTTACTGAAAGAAGTATTCCATGGTGAACTCCATATTCCTCTTCATGCCCCTAGACTCTTCAAGCTTGAATCAGTAAGATTTCCAACCTTGATCTGCTGCTGCAAAACAGAGTCCTGGCTTTAAATGTTCATCTAATGAACATTGACGTACTCCCCATTGGCAGAACATTTGTGATCTTAAAAGTTAAGGAAATAACTCATAGGAAAATAATTCTATATAGGGACGTTCACCACTAAGAGAAATGTGGTCCTTACAGTTCAGTAATTTCTCCCTTGTTCCTCTCCAATCCCTATGCAAAACTAGGATGGGGGATGGGAGGGGTCTATCTTCATGAGGAATCAGGGAAATATAGAGGATAACAAAGGGACCAGAGGTAGTACTGCTGACCATACTAAACCTCCATGTCCCTGGCTGATTCAAACATCTGATTAGGTCTAAATTGAGCAGTCTAAATCAGCCCCTTGGGGTTACCCCAGCTATGGTTCATTTAGCCAGCCAGAGCAGACTTTTTAGCATAGACTTGAACAAGTTTATGTTTAAATGGGTAACAGTGTCCAAAAAAGGGGAAATCTCCTGGTCTGAGTACAGATATGCAAATAGAAAACACCTTGTATTCATTACTGTGGAAATTTTATCTACCTATTCCCTTTTATTAATCTATGACTTCATCTCCTCCCCTACCCCCAAAGGGAAGTGATTAACATTCATAAATGCACATTTAGTTTTGCATAACAAATAATGATCATACAAAAATATAGGAATGTTTGCTTAAGCTGTACTTAATCAGGGTATTTTTAATCTAAGAAATGAACAAAACTGAAGAAAGAAGTGTTCTGAAATTGTCTGAAGAAACAACAAAATCCTAACATTTAAAGATCATGGGTTAATAGTATTGTCCTCTGAGCCTAAGAGTAATCATACCCTATATAATTATATCCCAGCATTCACTGGAAAACCTAATCCATAAAGAATGGTTTCATTTTCCTGGGTCCTGCTAAGTCACTTATAAATTTTGCTGAAGGTTGGTAGACAGGTAGAGGTCAAAAACAGGCCCAAAATTCCAGCAACTCAGTAGCTGGGAATTGTACCTTAAAAAGGATTAGCCTTCATTAAGTGATACTTCATCTTTATAAAGCAGCATGAAATACGGTATGAAGATCCCCAGTGTCCTGATAACACTGACAAAGGATTCCAGGAAGTGCAAGCTTGCTGTGATAGATGGGATTAAGGGAGAGAGCTGAGAGAGAAAATCACAGTGCAAACTTCTTCATGGAAAAAAATGAAGCTGGATGAACTGATGCTAATAAAGGTGGAGAGCCCTGACACTGCAAAAATAAATATTCTTTATTATTTGTTTTAGTCATATTTTAGGAAAGTTCCTATGTACTTACTACTGCTACCACTGTTTACTAGCAGAAGCTGCTAAGAATAAATGCGGAGATGTGAAGCATAATGGGTGACCCACTTTGCTGCTGAGTTATTCCCACTACGCTGCTGAAGAAGGCCCTTTGATTTCCTGCTTGCCTGGCAGAGGCCTTTCCTCCTGACACTCTGTTACACATAGCTACAGCCCTATTTTAGAGCATTTTGTGTGAGCTGATAAACAAAATTGCCAGAGGCAGTGAAATGAGGATGACAGGTGGATCCAAATCCAGCTGTAGTCAATGACGATCTTTCCATTGACTTCTCTGCCCTTGAGATATAATGCTTTGTATTAAATGAGCTCCTACACTCTGGAAGATAAAACCATCCCAAGATACTAATGGTGTTTCCTGGAAGCTCATGTCTGCTGGCTTGAGCTTGCATCCATGAAATGTTACTAATCACAAGAATATGCTTGACAAGGGTGACACTGCGATTGTGTGGCTTTGCGGGACTAAGAGATGGGAATTAGTGACTGCTGTCAGAAGTCAAAGTAGTACTTCATTTGATACTTGCTGACAGCACAACTGACCTCTATTTCCCAAAGCTATGGAAAATTTTCATGATCATGAAGTAACTCCACTGTTTATGCTGTCTTTCCAATCTTTAGTGAGAGTCTGTAATCTTCAAAAAGCCCCGTCTCGGATTTGTTCTGTTTATTGCTGTGTTTAATCTGTTTGGGTCTTGTCAGGAGCTCCTTGCTCATCCATGCAGATCTTCTGCCCCATTTGCTTGTTTTCTGACTCATAAAGGTACATTGATCTTGGAGGAAGTAATGCTTGAATATTGACACACTCTCATGGATCCCCCATCCTTCTAGGGCTCTAACCCATGGGATTCTTCCGTGTAGGTCCCAAAGTGTCCCTGACACTCAAAAAACTTTTATTCATGTAAAGTCAAATTGAACTAGAGAAGAATCCTTGAGGTTTGCAGCTGTGAACTACTGCCTAAAACCTGAAAGCTACAAGTTTCTTTCAAGCTTAAACATTATAAAGTTATTTACAGTAGATGTTTTCTTCTGTTTTACATGGCTGTGATCAAGCATGCATTTTTTTGGATGGTTCCTTCCTAATCTCCATCAAGCAAACTTGTGCTCCTGCTCTTCTTCTTAGGCACCTGGCTCAGATAAACCTAGGAGCAGATGGAGCAAGGATCTACGTGGTATTCTACATCAGGCTCCACAAAATTTGTGACCGAAGTTGGTCTTATGCCAGCCTACAATTATGCAGGGTAGGTCAAGCAGCAGGTTGTATTTTCTCATTAAATGCGTTTAAACCACTGTTCCCATGGAACCAAACTGCTGAGTGAAGAATATAAGTGCTTAAAAATCATCTTAGTGACCTTAGGAAGAAACAATCATCTGAGAAAAGACAAGGCATGGTGTGGAAGAGGGAAAAAAAATAAAAAGACTAAAAATGAGATCTACTGGTCAAAAAGTAGGTAAACAGACTGTCATGTATTGTTTTGTACTGGTGAGTCTGTGTATCACTGTTACTGGAGGAATTTCTTCCAGCTGCGCTAATTTTCTTTTCTAGAGATAAATTTATTTTTGAAAATAGTTATTCATAACAGATGGTGCTGTCTTGACAAACCTGATAACATCTTTCTTAGAAGAGGAATTTAACACAATGTTAATACAATGAATAGATATTTTTAGTGATTCACTGTTAAGATTTATTTATTTTTTAATGTGTAACACAAGATTCTTTGGTTACACTTCTAAACACTCTTCCCTTTCATCTCCTACTGTCCTTTTCCATTGTTAGTAGAGCAAGAAGACAAAGGCTTACATATATCCATCCAGCATATTTCCATCACCCTTCGCAGCCCTGCAACTCTGTTCACAGATGTTAAACACCACAGCTCTTATCACAAGTGTTAAAACATATGGTATATTGGGAGAAAGAATGAACAATTTGGTAAGTTTCAGCTTACCTGAAGTTCTTTGGAATGAATTAAAGATTTATTTTTATTTTTTATTTCTTTTTCTAAAAGTATGAGACCCTGTACCAATCCCAACTGCCTATAACAGGAAAAGCTTTTAATTTCCTTTCTGTGTACAAACCATTAATTCAGAACACAATGCCTCAGTTCTTAACATCTCACCCTCTTCTCAAGTTGCCTGTTGCCATTTACTCTTCATTAACTCTTCCAGCTCTATAAACACAGTAATCTTGGAGCTACAACGTCTCTGCTGTGAGCATGGGCTGTGAGACCACGTGCTGTTCCTGCATTTGCATCACAAGCACATGGTATGGGAAAGAATGAGCAGAGGAATGAAGATAAATGGTGGGAGAGGCAATTCAAAAGTAGCTTTAAGGCCTGCAATGTGTAGAAGAATGCAGTCCTTCTATTTTCTCGTTAGGGCAGCTGTGAAATAGGGACGGGTCCTGTATGTGTAAAATCACAGAACAGAATTTGAACATCTTCAAAGTTTGCTTTTGGATTGAGGATCTGGTTTGAGAGAACAGGTTCTGTCCTTAGGCATAAGGAACTGCATGTACACGCATAAGGCCTCTGCTTATTTAGTAACTGAAGATAGCAAGTTGTAAACACAATCTTAATTATTCTCACAGCTTTATGAGTTGTAAATCTTCTCCTTCATTTTCCTAGAAAGAAATCCCAGCTGTTGCATAGGAAGATTATTTAGCTCACTCCAGACTCCTTATTCTACTGCAAAGATAAAAGTGACCCAAACAACCACTGGAATGGCCACTGGAGACTGGTAATTTGGGAGGATCTTATATCATGTAAGTGTAACCATACATGAAATGAGTTGGGAAGGGCACTGCACCCTGAGGAGCCTTTTACCTGCAGCATAGTTTTGAATATCCTTGAACTGGCCTGTTTACACCAAAGATAGACAGGTCCCAGCTAGAACATGATCTTTATTCAAGGAGTATATTTTTGTATCTGTTTCACTTTAGGCCTGTATTACACTGGTTTCACATGAAGTCTTTTTCAACTGAGGACCAGAAAGTGTTGTTTTCAGGTTTTTTTCTCTTTTATATTTCAGCAACTCTGTTCTTTTTGCCCTTGCTTTTCTTTGGGAAAAAAAAAGAAAAAAAAAAAAAAGAGAGAGGGAAGAAAAAAAAAGTGCTACAGGCCAATAGTAACTCTGGTTATAAGCTGCTGGTGTTCTTGGCAATGAATGCAGGGAGACTGGAAAATGATTTTACCAATGGAATTTCCTCAATAGCTTTAGCATTAGACACAATGGAGAGAACATGACTTTGACGTAATAAATCCACTAGGGTATTTGCTTATGGCCAGCCCTCCATGACTCAAACATACCACAATCTGTGGTATGGGGTAGAAGCACAGTAATATGTCTTTTTAAGGGAAAAATGTTTAGTTGTTTTTCTTTTCTTCTGAAATACAGAAAGCTTTATGCTCTGTAAAGGCAATAGGTTGACAAACTAAGGATTTTTCATTATTAGGTCAGGCTTTGTCCATCAAACACTTGATACTTCTGATAGAGTATCAGCAAAAAAGGAGAGCAAATTCCTGGTACTGTATTTTGAGGTAACAGGACTGCATGTCGTGACCCTTTCAAAAAACGATAAATTTCTCTGTAAATGTAACAGGACTGGTTTTATTTTTGTCTTAGACCTGTCTTTACCTCCTCCTACTAACTCCTGCTTCTTGCACTAATTAGGAAAGGAGTGGCAGCTCCTGGACTCTGGATTTGAAAGAGACCAGGCATAGAGAACTATCAGTTAGTGACTGGTCCAAAACAAGACTGCATGATGACTGAAAGGTAATGGCAGCCAGTTTTCACTTACTTTCCTAAAAATGGCTAGAGTTTGGAGCAGTGGAATATTCCTAAAGCAGAACTAAAATTTTCAGATGGATGGTAGCAGTCTTAGACAATATTGAGTGACAGAGGGTACAGAGAAAGGCAAGGAATAAATTATTGTTGTCCAGAAGCCCGTTTCTGACTACAAACACAGGCAAGGTCAAATAAAATTTATTTGGAGGAGAGAGAGTCTGACTTTCTGAAAAGCTGAAAGACTTTAGCTGTTTCACAACAATTTCTTATCTGCAGTTCCCTTAGCTAGGGGACCTACAAAGTACCAAAAATGCAGGGGGTGGAGTGATGGGGTGGGGAGGTGTGTGATCAAGACTCAATGTAGGTGCATGCTGTGAAGCTGGTGGCCTAATGTACTTTGGTGAAGGGTAGAAATGACCCACAGGACTAGACAAAGGTCAGGAGTCTAGGCAGTGGCTTGTATTGCTTACACCTGGGGCTATCAACAATTAATCCATGGCCTGGAAGGAGGCTCTTGGATAATGGGGATCATCTTGTAACTGCTGTTTCCCTTCCACCCACCCTGGACACTCCCATGATTTGCCCATGAAGCAGCTGGAATGCAGGAATTGCTCTCAGAGGATGCTCCCAGCTGGTCAGGAAAAGGAGAATGGGTAATGCATGCAGACTTCCAAAATATCACTACCAAAGCTCTCTCCGCCCCCTCACCATGTCGCTTTTTTTTTTCTGCTGTTTAAAGAGGAAATGTGTTGACAAGTCTTAGCAACATCTGACTCAGATTGCCATAAATTCAGAGCACCCATTGGGCTGGAGATCCTGCAGAGCAGATGGTGACACTGGGGGTGGTGATGAAAAAGCAGCACTGTGACTATTTCACTTCTTCTGAGAGTGGAGCCATGCCAAGGACATGTAATTGAGGGACAAAGGGAAAAGCTAGCTGTAAAATCCCCATCTACCTGGGGAAGCTTAGAGCCAAATGGGCTCAATGTAGGGCCCAAATGCATCAGGCCAGGGACTATCCCCTTCTGTGACAGATACACACAAGCGAAACACTGGTCTACTAATTTTTTTTCCTGCAGTAAATTAAAAATATTTGTCATGAGTAGTGGAGTGAAAAATGTTATCACTGCCTTTAAAAGATCATAGGACATGGAACAGAAAGGGTTTTCCCCTTGGCTCACATATACCAGGAGCAGAATGCAACCTTATTTTTCACAACAATCTTCTAGCACTGAAAAAAAAAAAAAAAAAAAGTTAACGGCAAAAAGTGGGAGAGCCAGGAATGTATTATACAGGAATGGTTCTAGCCAAAGTAAGCAAAATCCAAACATCCCACACTTCCCAAATTATCTTCCTTTCCTGCTTAATGCACTGTAAATGAAATTCAGTTGGACTTTGCCATTATTGAGGACTGGATTTAATCACATTCAAATTGTACATAGATAGGAATTGATGATAAAGTGATATTGTTTGAACAAATAGCTCACTTCCTTTGCAGTAATTCTTACTATTGTTAACATATTAATAATGATAATCCTGTGCTGCATTTATAATAGAGCCTTTCTTCACCAAGAATCCTAACGCTCATGTGAAATAAACTGATTGTATTGTACATATGCTATCTTAACTGAAAACATATCCAACATCACAGCTCTTCCTGTAAACCATTCTTTAAAACTAAAGAAGGTTAACTTTCTTACCAAATCATTGCATTTTCAATACTTTTTTTTTTTTTTTTTTTTGTTAAACGTGCCTCTGCTCATTCCTCTATAAAGCTTATGTTTTCCACAAAAATAAAGCTGCAGGAAATCTGTAGCTCTAGGCAGTCTTCCCAAAGGAAGGCTGCATTTATTTTCAGTGCTGCAGCCATTTCTCATAAGTTTGTTTTTCTTTGATTTTCATACAAACAAGACAAAACTCAGTGGTGCAAAAAAGACTGTTTGTTGAACAATATTAGTATTTCAATGCTTCCATTCAGCCATAACTGTTGACACTTTGGGTGTGCAGAAAACATGAGGTAAGACTTCATTGCCCAGTCTTGAATGAAATAGGAAGGTGTATGCTTTTGTATGCTTTTTTTGCCCAAGAAAGCTATCTGAGGTTAGTCCTGGGAAAAAGAACCTAAGTAGCTCATGCTGCTTAATGCCATTAGACTATAGGTCTTGGTGATTTAGACTAGGCATCTCAATTGGAAAAAATAAAAAAAACAATCTCTGTATGTAGATGAAAAAAAATGCTTTAAATCTAATTCAGGGGGCTCTAAGCCCACAGCTGTGGGCTAAGTAACTCATTCATTAATTTGCAAATAATCTTCGGCTTTCTTGATTCAATAAACTTGGACAGGCTTGCAAAACTCTTAGTTATGTTTAGGTCCACAGGGACAGTAACACCAGAACCCAAAATATGTGGAAAGTTGTGTTTTTCTTTATATTCAGATGCAAAACATTTCTGCAAAAAAAAATAATATGAATGGTTCCTCTTCCTCTTGCTGCTCAAGCTTTTAAACAAGTATGCTTTGGAAGAGTTAGAAACTGGACAGTGAAATCCTTTCCACCAGGTATGACACTTCTTAGCTATTGTAAATTGAGACTGACCCATCATTGCCATTGCTGCTGAAATATCTCTGAGTGGTATAGATATGTGTATACAGAATCTGTGGCACTTTCTTAGGTAAATATTGAATAGTTAAAAGAATGAGGGAAAGGTGGTGTTGGCCAAATCATTTTGTGCAAGGTTGATATAATGAGTTTTTTTTTACCAGCTAGGTGTACTAACAGTACAAAGCATAGGAATACCCTGCCTCTGAATCCACAGACTGACAATACAGCTATTTGCCATTTAGAACAACAAGAAGCAAATGCTTTGGTTACAGAAATTGAATCTACAGGGCTAACATGGGTAAACAAAATGGAATCATGAATTCTGGAATATGTCCAGGAATCCAGGTTGTTAACAAAAAATGCCATAAATACTGTAATGTCCAACAAGTAAGGAAGAATTGTTATGCTGTCAGAGATGCCATATTATTCACAGAAGGAATGCAGAGACTTAGCAGCAGATATGTGTCTTTTGTTTCAACTGTTATCAACTCTTGTGGGAGCTCTTTATAGAAAAGTTGGGTTCGTTTTTTATGCTTTATAGGTCCAATAGCACAGCCCTTGTCCTCCATCCTTTCCTGCCTCTTTTGAGCAACTCATGCTAGAACTTGCACTTATTCCTTTTGTGACCCTGTTTGCACAGAGTAGGCATAGATTTGTAGATTAAGGTAATTCAGAAAAATGTTTTCTGGAGCTGGAAAGAGTGTCTTATTCCGAATTAGCTTTGTCCATAGACCACTCTTTATTTGCAGATAAGAGCAATCACCCAGGAAGCCAATCACTGACAAGCAACACAGTTTGAATTCTTGCACACACCCTTAATCCAAATTCATTTCCGTGAGAAGATAAGCTTTCAGTAAGTTCACTAATCAACCAGTATAAGTTTAGAAAGCAGAACAGGAGGTGCAGTTTCACTACTCAGTTTATTTTCCAGGACTTACATTTTAATTTAAGACAAAGGTAAAATAAGTGAAGTACTCCCATACTGGTTTCCATCAGAAACATGTATCTTTTAACAAGACAGCATTTGCTCATTTGCTGCTAAACAGTCAGGGAGAAAAAAGCAAAACACTGAGACCCAACACATAAACTGCTCTCAAAATTATAAGCAACCATTGCTAGAGACAAGCTGAATACAAATGAAAGAAAGAAACAGAGGAACCTCTCTAGGCAGCAGCTTTTCCAAAGACATTGGTACTTTATTGTATAGCCAAAAAATTCAGGATATTGGTTGATATATAATACAGCTGACAACCTTAGAGGCAAACTCTTCTGCAGCTATCCTAACATTTGGCTCTGGAGAGACCCACCTGTGGTAGGCCATCAAAATAAACTGAATTATTCTAGAGGTAAGATGACCATGAGAAAACATGGAGGCAGCTAGTTTTAGCCCATCATGTAGGAATTTTGTTGTACATGAACTTTTCCAGATTGTGAAACTGAGGTACAGTTCAAAAGAGAGGACATAGTCTCATTGTCTGTGCAATGAAGTTGCCTCCTTAGGTCTGAGTCATTCTCACAGGAAAAGAGCTGTCCACATCTATCAAACCTGTGTTTGTCTCATTACTGCTCTATTGACAATCCCGATAAACACGTGAAAATTCTCTTGCATCAATACCTTTGTGCAGCATTACCCTTGTCTTCTTTCACTGGATGTGTTTTGAGTGGCAGGCAACAGGACTTCTTCAGCCCCATGAAGATCATCTGATGCTCGCAAGATAGCTTCTGTTATGTACACTGACATTGCAAATATATTAAACTCCTAATTTGTTCACCTTTGACTTAGAGCTCACTTGCACATGGTGAAGAAGACTCAGGACTGGACATGGATAGGAAAAAATAAGTCTCTACTGCTTTTTAAGGCATTCAAAAGCACTTGCTCAGTTAGAGAACATAAATGTTTTGTCTGGTAGCACTTTGTCCTGCTTTCAGAAATGCAATGACTTAAATTGTAGCTGCTTCCTTATAATTAACTGAGCACAAAAGCCAAACCCATGGAAATTGTACAGTAAACACTACTGCTTACTGGCATAGTGGAAAGAACAATGAGGGCAAAGCCTCCCATGTTAAAACCTAAGAACAACACAATACACTGCATTTTGGGGGTGATTCCATTGTGCTGGTGTATTTGATTTAGGAAGAAATAGATGTTTTTGCCAACACAGAAATAAATTCACTCCTACCATTATGTTTGGGCCCCTTTTCAGCTCTCCCATGTACAGTGTTTGCTGAAGTCTGCCTGACTAGTTAAGCAGGAGGTTAGCTGTGCCGCAGCAGACATGTGAAAAGTAATTTAATGATTTATTTAATCTACTGAATGCAGGTTTTGAAAAGCAAATGTTGTCCGGTGCAAAACACCATCAGTGGCACATAGCAGTTTGTTTCAATAGTGTTCTCCTTTAGGAGCTCCCAAAGCATATTAGAATACAACTGGAGTAACATTTGGTCACACAGGCTATACTATCTTGAAAATAATAATACTAATATTAACAAGGCCAAGCTAAGATGAAGGAGATACAGTTACCTATTTTTTTTTTTTTTTTTTGCAGTACAAGCATCCAAGAGAGCCTCTGATTTCATGACAGTGAATTTCAAACAACACGTGAACCATGAAATGGTTCCACATCTTCTTGTCAGGCCCAGCAAAAAAGGCCTGGTCACTTGATTTAACTTCAGGCCTTGAGATCTGGAGGTCATTGGTGAAGAACAGGTCATAGATAAGATAAGGTGACATTCAGTGACGTTGCTTCATTTAGAATAGAAAATGTAAAGCTAGTACTAAAAAAAAATAAAAATAGGAGCTGGGTAAGGAATGCTAACTCAGGACGTAAGCTGTGTTAAATGTTCAGTTTGGCAAAGGTCCTGGACATGCCGTTGCTGCCATGATTTATGTCAAATCATATATTGAAGGCAAGAGGATGAAGTTTAACTTGGCTGTCTGTATAGAACAGTCAGGAACATCTTGTTCAAACAAGCAAGATAGACTTTAACGTGTACTAAAAGCATCATCATAGCTCTCTTGACTTGGGCCACTAAAACTCTTGTCTACAAGTGAATTTTGTTAAGAATCTTGAAATGGAAGCAAACTCTCAGGTCATCAGATCCTCTTCCAGCATCCAGGAGGAATCATGGTAGGTAATCTCTCAAAGATGTGTTGATCTCCACCTTACACCCTATAGTTTTCTTGCCTTTGCCATTCCCTAAGAAAAATTGTTTCTGAGCCTTTAACTTGTGATGGCTTACAAACTGTATCTGATTTTCAGATTAAGAAAAAGGAAAAAGAAAAGCAAACGCCTTTGCAAAAGCTGTTGATTATTCCACCCTCCTCATGTTGACTTTCTGGGTGTAGATGGTGTGTGCACCAAAATATGCAAATTGGCTTTATGTCCTTTACCTTAAAAAAAGCTCTGTCAGCACCAGATGTTTTTGGTTCTCAAGAAACATTTGTATTTACAGTCATAAGGATTATGGTTGTATGTGGGAATTACAAGAACTAGAAAAATAGAATGCATAAAATAAGAGGATTGGTATGCAGTCACGTGGATGTATTACTAATGAATCTAATGCTTTACTGTAAGCAAAAGACTAAATGTTTGTTTTTTATTTATTTATTTATTTATTTATTTTTATTTTGGCCTCACTAAAGCTCTATTGACTTGAATTAATTTTGTCCTGGCTTAGCCTAAATAAAAACACAAGTGTGACCAGTAACATCTGCAATAAAAATATAACATCATTTCAAGTGGACCTTAAGGGAAAATCAATCAGCAGTATTTATTATTTTCTCCCCGCATGAATTTGCTATGCTAAAATTGATGCAAAGTAATCCACAATAAGATGTTCCATAACTAATTATATAAATATATTGAGAGAATGCCATTAGTAATGTGACTTCATTAGACCCTGGTGCAAGCAGAAGGAAAGAAAAAAAAATCTAGTAGGAAATCAGAAATTATATCTAAAAGAATGAAAAAGTATTTAAGAATATTTTAGTGTATCTATAATGATTGTAAATAAAATTCCCATCACTCTAAACATTATGATATTAAATGAAATGGAAGGTCTTCAAGTGCTTTATATTCAGGACTGATTTTAAAAGATTTTTTTCCTCCATGTTTTCCTTAAATCCAAAACAAATCTCCAGTAAATCACAAAAATGTTTACTTGGGACTGACACATGGTGAAATTATATCTTCTTTTCTTAAAATTTCACTTCCATGGATGCAGTTCTATCTGTTCCTCTATCAAAACATGACAATGCATCTTGGTACTTTTAAGTGTAATAAAAATTTGTGGCTTTTAATTTGCTCTGTTAATTGCGTTCTTATAGTTGTGGCCTCTTGATTTTGTAGAGGAGAGAATGCCAGAATGAATGAACTGGCAATTTATAAAGTTTCATTTCTGGAATGCCAACAATCCTCCTGGTACAATTTAAAAGCCAGAGTACAAATAATATTATGAATATAGCAACATAATAATCTAATCTAAGTCAAACAGGTTTTTAAAAAATCACTTCAGGATTTTTTTTCACCTTGGCGGTTTGTCACATTTAAAAATACTGCAAATGGTTCAAATCAAGGTTGTTTTCTGACACAGTGCCAGTATTTGTGTAAAATCAACTGAACAAGATGCCTTGCTGAGGACTAGTGGTGAGCTCAGGAATAACAATGCCATTGAAGGAGAAAGATTGTCAAGGGGGCTTTGTTTCCGTGATGCAATTATGCATTAAAAATTTTAATACTAGAAATGAATACAACTCATAGTTACTAACGTTTTGTGGGACAAAAGACTGAGGTGTGACTCTGCAAAAAGACCAGCTGCAAGCTAAGCAGCTGCAAACAATGGCATGCCCCGGTGTGGAGAGAAAGCAAGAAGGGAGGTCTGGGGATGGTGAGAGGCACTGAAAGGGTTTCCTCTGCCTAACAGGGATGCAGAGTACTGCCAGGCCAAGCACCGGTCTTTGTGTTGATTCAAAATAAAAGCCTCCAAAGTAACCATTACTGATTTTTGGTTTGGTGAAAATACATGTAGGTTCTGTTGCACACTCTGCTAAAGTGTGTCTCTGTAGTGAAGAATGCTTGTGACAGGCTGGAGTGGATCCTCTCCAGGATGGGGAGATGATTCCTTCCCTGACAGTAATGGCACAGGCTTAGCTGGGAGATTTGGGAGGGTAAAAGGAACTAGAGTGGGTGTGAGAGATGTGGGATGAGCCTGAAATGGGAGTGCAGGTGGGGAGAGGAGGAGCAGGGGCCTTCTGCAGCCAGGAGCTGACCCAAAGCCAGACTTCAGAGGTGAAAGGTAAGAAGGCAGCTTCCCAGGGACCCTGAGGAGACCTGGCAACCACAGAAGGGGCCTGGGGGAAATGATCCACTCTTCACCAACACAGCTGTAAGGGGACCTATTTAATCCAACCTTTGAAAATCAGGATGGCCCAATGGCTCTGCAGTTCCTCTTCTGAGAGCCACCCTCTTGCAAATTATTATTTCATATTCTAGTGGGTCTAGATTGGAAGTATCTGGTATTTTTTTGGCATGGGAGAGCCCTTTTTGCTTTAAAAACATTCAGCTTCAGTGAACTGGCTGGGGATCTTGTCACACCATGTTTCTGTCACATCATAACACTGCTTTCCATGTCAGCTTGTACCAAATGACAGGCTCATAGAGAAAAAGGACTTTCCTCATTCTGAGATTTTGCTGGTACAGGTTTACATTTCCCTCTAAAAGATGGTACTGAGCCATTTCCAGCTATAGTGTGGACTGAACACATAATGAATTTGTATTTCCTTCAAAGCAAGCTGTGCAGATGAAGCAGGACCTGCTAGTCCAGTCAGGATCCATTAGCAACAAAGATTACATATTTCAATGTTCACTCTGTTGTTTTGACTGCAGGAACAAGGAGAAACAGTTCTTAATTACTAATAATTCTTTGCATGCATAATTGACGGACTATTTTGTTCAAATAGTTGGAGCTTGCAGTTTTTAAAGTGTTCCATGTACAAAGTATTCATCTTTTCTAGTAGAAATGAAAAACTTTGTTACTGTTTTGTTAAGAGAATCTTTCTTGTGTAAGGTAGAACGTCTCATGAGGGAAGTAAAAACTAAGAATGTAGTTTGTTTTTAATCCTCTAAAAAATGCTGCTTTATACATACAGATAAATGTTCCTGAATTACCCCAGACATATATGCTAGAAGCTAGGAAGAGAATCAGGCCCAGAGATGTTAGAAACTGGAGAATTCAAAGGGAAAGATAATTGTATTTGGGAACCTCCCAGTATCTAGCAGCAAGGAGGACGTTACAGAGTAATGTGGGACTGTTCATCAGATAAAATAATGACTTATTTCATTAGGATTTTTAGGATTAGGAGAACAGACTACTTTGTTGTCATAAGTGTCATGGTATCCCAGGATAAATATCAGCTAGGTTGATCTAAGACAGTGGTAATACCACTGATCTCTCTGGTAACCAGTGATAGGACCTAAGGGAATGGCACAAAGCTGCAACAGGTGAGGTTCAGGCTGGATATCAGAAAAAGATTCTTCAACGAGAGTGTGGTTAGGGACTGGAACAGGCTCCTCAGGACAGTGGTCATGGCACTGAGCCTGCCATAGTTCAAGAAGCGTTTGGACAATGCTCTCAGATTCTGTGATTCAACGATACTCATGTCCACGATACAAAGAAACTACTTGCACTGAGTGTTACTCTGAAGTGAAAAATCGCCATCAACTGCAAGCTACGTAATGCATTAGTTATTAATAAAAACACATCAGACAAATTGAGCACTCTCTTGAGCTCTGAAAGCAAAATATGAGACCTGTGGGAAAAACTTCACTTTTTACTTTTTTTTTTTTTTCTTCAGCTGTTTTTCCACTCATTGAGTTTGAGGGAGGGAAAGGTGAATTAATAGGCATAGCTCCTGTTTCTGCCAGAAATCTTTGTATGACCAGTAATTGAATACCTAATTATCCAATTACAAAAGTGTAGATGAAGGGTGAGAATGTGCCTGAAACTGCTTTTTCAGTTTAGGAAGGCTTAAAGGGGTATTATTATAAGCTAGTCTAAGCAGCACAACACAGGCTGCACAAGTGTCGCACAATGAGCAACTTGTTACTGAAAATGCACAGATGTCTTCAGGAAGATGTCCAATCCAATTTATTTGGCAATGGAGAACACACCCACAGTAATGCCACAGGGCTGATCTGGTTCTTGGTAAGTGGTCTTTAGATGAGCACTTTACCATACAGAGCAAGTGTTGCAGACTACAGAAATTCTTTGAAGGATTGCTAAGTCTACTTATTGAGGAAGGGTGTGATGAATGTAGCAGTTCTGGGGTAATACTAAAGAAAAATGGATTTATAGGACATACCACACACACAGAAAAATATTCTGTGCCTTAGCCTGAAATGACTGCATCTGAAAATCTGAAAAAGATGGAGAACATCATCAAAAGCAAACAGAAAGTGGAACTTGGGAGAGCTAGAAGTAAGTTGGAGTACTTGGGGAAGAAAAGGTATCTGCTGCAGCCCTTGAGAGAAACTGATCTGGGGGAAAAGATAATTTCAGACCATAAAGCAGCAGTGTTAGCAATGATTTGCTGGCATAGCTACATGGCACTAGGCTAACCTTTTGTTTGCAGAACAATGCTCACTGAGGGTCAGATTAAACACTGTTTTTTAGCCAGGTTTATAGGATATTACAAGAAATCAATAGGTTAATACAGAAAAACATCTGGATACACAAAGGAGTGAAGACAAGAAGCTGTAAAGGTGTGGCAAAGGACTTGTAGCTGTCTTAGAACAGCAGTGTAGGGAAAGGTAGTGACTTGGAAAAAAATGCTTCAGAGCTGGAACACAAGAGGGTTGATGGACTTCTTTACTAACTTCAGAAATTTAAGCTGGATCTAACTGACACATAAAACACAGGAGTGGAAGCAAACTGTCTGTCAAGTTAGCCCAGTTTTAAGCTCTTTTTGATTTGCAGGAGTAATTCTAAGAGACACTGGGGTAGTAGTTCAAAACATCAAGCACTCTGTGACAAGGCTGAGAATGAGGTTAGATAACGGGCCGTTTTTTTGTTTTTTTTTTTTTTAAGGGAGTAAAAGCAAGCACTACAAATGTTAAAGGTAAGTGAGATGGTGCCCACCCCAAAGAACATACTGAAAATAATGAAGCTGTTCTCAGCATCATTCTTGTTAAACATCAGGGTGAAAGAATCTTTCACTAAAAGTCCTGAAGATGGTTGAGCTGTTTAAGGCAGGGCATAGGGTTTGCAGAATTTGAGGTAAATTTCTGGCACTTCTCATTAGGAATATATAAAACTGGCACTGGGGATCAACTTCTCACATTGCTTTAGAGAATTTGGACAAGGTAGGTCTGTACTTACCTTAGTCTGCCTATGAAGTCAAGAAGGTTAGGTGGGAGCATTTCCAGAAGACAGTTGAGCTCTTAAGTGAAGCGCATATCAATTTTCAGTAACTACACTGAAAGTTCACAGTGCTTCAAGTCCCAGTTTTGATTCATATTTATTTTGCCAGAAGGTAGATGGGATGAACTAAAGTCTAGCTACCCCATCTTTCTTCTACCCAGTCTTATCAATGGGAGACTTCGTTGGATTTCATTGTCAGAAGGATCAGTAATTAAATAATGTCCTTTTCTACAAGGAGTATATTTTTAAAATACGCCTTCACAGAAAGCAAGCTGAGTGAAATAATATAATCCATAAACAGAGAGCTAAACCTAAATGTACAGGAAGCTACCAGATTCCCTTTGAATGAAAAAAAACAATTAAACGGTCCTAGAGGCTACTGATGAAAAGTGGGTCTTCACACCTAGAAAAAAATAAAGTGTGTAAAAAATTACAACCTTGTAGTTTCATGATCAAACCTTGGCCTACTTTTGACACAAAGCCAGTTGCCTGGGCACACCCTCTGTGTGTTACTTTCCTAAGATAGGAATTGGTGTTGTCAAAGAATTAAATGGATGTGAGAATAGCCTTCTACAAGGTAAACTGAGACTTAAAACCCATTGTTGCCCTAAAGATATTGAATAATCAGATCCTTTGAAGTGTAAAAACCAGAAAGATTTTCACAACTGATACTTTTGTCTTGGTGTCTTTGGCATATTGTCACACTTTTTCTTGTAAAAGATGTTTGGGATGCCTGACAGAAGCAAGTGTACCCCTTCAGGTTTGCAAATGACGTGTTATATACTTGTGCAAAAATTTTTATGAACTGAAATGTTACAATTGCATAAAGGAAACAGAGCCCTACCCTTATCCTTATCTGGGATCAGAAAGGAAATATAAACAAGGACGGAACATGTATGTGAGCACACAAACCTGTGGAAGAGTCAGACACAGCTCTCAGACCACCCAATGCTCGGTCTTCCCCTTACCTGCAAGATAATCTCTTATTTGTCACATTATTTTCTTTTCTGGCTCATTACTAATCACATAACTTTCCCAAGTGATACTTAGACAAATTTTTCCACCTTCACATTGCAACTTTCTCATTCTAATTGTTAAGCTAGCACACAAACAAAATAGGTGCTGCATTCTTTTAAACAATCCCTTCTGTATTAGAGGGCATGTACAGTTCACAGACTTTGTTTTCAGCTCAAGATTGTAGATACTGGAATAGATTGATATCGGTACAGCACACTGCAGATAAAGCTAGAGGTCTGATTCCACAGCCAGGGGATCCACTCTAAGAAAAACTGTGGAAAAGGACAGTGTCTCTCCCCAAGTAAAAATTCAGAGCAGACTTCTAATGTTCTCCTCTTTGCAAACACCAATAATCATTAACAAAAGCCCAACAAAAATTTAGCCAAACTACATTAAGGTAGTACTGGGAATTGAGCTTTTCAAGCCATAAACTGATAGGCAAGTAAGTCAGAGCTCACGTAATGGCAACCCATCTCAGTTAACACCAGTGACATGATAATGTGTCTTCAGACTTGTTTACCTGACACAGTGCAGTATCTCTGGCATATATTTATTTTAGTAATATGGGGCAGTTCTTCCTGGTGTGCTTTCTCAGAACTGCTCAGCATATGGAGTACCATCATCTCCTGATAAGAACAGAATGGCTACAAGCTGAAACCAGTTGATCCCCGGCCTGACTGGCTCATCTGAAGACTGGTTCTTCTGGGGCTACCCTAGTAAAGTGGATGCTGGTGCAAAGAATTCATGCAGAAGGGAAGAAACAGTACTTAGAGCAATGCCAGTAATTTTTCTGGAGTTATGCCAGGAAAGTGTTTGACGTTCAGACTGGTCACTAGCTGGAAGAGATGCCCTGGGGCTACAGATGAGTGTTAGAGCATGCACACGTGAGAAACAACCACACAGCTGCTCCAGCAGGATCACGCCCAGGTTGAGTGCTCACAGGGATAAAACAACATTTAACCCACTGACTGTATTTACCCATTGACTGTCTGTGAGCTGAGGAAGCTGAAAGTTTGCATTGAAGTAACTTGGTCTTGCTGGCTGCATCTCATCTAACTAGGACTCTGCATCTATGAACAGAGGATGAACACATTCAGTTCAACACCTGGCCACTGGAGCTGGAAATAGTACAGCACAGGGTAGTTAGATACCACACTGAGTAAATGAAGAATCAGGCATAATCAGGAGTGGAGAAGGGGAACATGGGGTTTCATATGATCCTCTGTTCAATAGCCATTTGCAGATGGGAATAAGCTGTTGGTTCCAGCTCTAAGCTAAAACAATTTCACTTGCCTGCAAAGCAAAATGCATGCCAAAAATGAATAGAAAAGTATACCTTCAAATCAATTCCATTCTTAAATTCTGCATAAAGTCTCATCACCAGTAAAATCATACAGGAGAGTGGACTTTTATGTGTACCTCATAAAATTAGATCATGTTTTATTGCCCTTCTCCCACCTGAAGACAAAGCAGATATGGAAAAGACTTCCGCTAGTATTCTAGCTAAGCCATCCTATTGAGAATGATTCATTTGCAGGGTTTACAGGAATTTGTATCTGACTACTTAAGAGCCTGTTTACTCTTCTGATGACGAAAGCACTCAAGAATGATTTCTTTCCCCTCCGGGAAAGGCAAGGAGGAAAGGAACGAATGTCCTTCTTTCTTGCTGCTGCACTTTGCATTGCAAAATCAGGCATGCACTTGATTTATATCAGTAAGAATATTTTCTGGGCTAATGTGAAGTTTATATGTGAGCCTCAATGTCAAGCAATTGCAACACACGCCTTCCACGGGAGTTGCATTACACTGACAGTTATCTGAATTATTTGGGGATTCTTATCATTTATAATCAAGCAAACTGGTCCAGTGACCAGGGCAGAGGCTGGGAATGGGAGAGCTAGTTGCAATTCAGCAGCAGCACAAACATCTTGTTGAATGTTATTGCCTATGTTTCCCAAATATTTCTGCACGTCACTGTTCCCATTGCAACTGCTTACTCTCACTGTAATTGTTACGAACACTCAGTCTCTCTTTTACTCCTTTTAAATCAATAAAATAAAAACAAAGGATGATATTCATCTTCTCTGTCTTCAGCTGTCTAAGCTGGCTACCCTGGATCTCAAAATACCCAGTGCTGAGAAACTGATACCTTCACAAGGGCTCTTACACACCAGTCTAGGCTGAGACAAACTCTTCCAGAAAGGGGCTGGAGAACTGTTATGTTAAAACGAGCTGAGTTCCACAGAAGCCCAATAGGGGCTGTGCTAAGGCATCACAGTGATGACCCAGTAAACATGGGCCTATCAGATAAGAGCAAAGAAATACGTATGTCTTTCAACTGCTATGCCTATTCAAAGTCCAGTATTCCTGCAATTTTAAGATCAGTAATACCATAATGAAGCAGTACATGTGTAAGTAACCTGACATCAACTACAATGATTTATTATGAAAAAGAATTAAATGAGAGACTACTTGGAACTCAATAGCTGCAACATTTTAAAATGGAAAGCTAGAGGTTAGCACACTTAATAGCTACTCTGTCAGTTCACAAGTATTCCCTCTAAAACATTTCCCCAAAGTCTCTACTTGGCAGGTTGTAGGACACTGCGCTTACAGCCCTTAGTTCTCGTTCAGGTCACAGAAAGACCAAGTTGTTCAAGCAGTAAAAACATCTTCCTTCCCTGCATAATCTGAAGGTATTGCTGAGCTTTTTTAACCCCTGTCGACGTAAGATACTGTCACAAACACTACGTCCCATTGAACATGCTAACTGGGAGTCAATTGTTTGTGACATAAATCATCATCACATAGCAAGATGTGGATCCGAACATCAGTCTCTCACGAGACACGCAGCTCCAAGTTTGAAGTTTGATGTTGGCAAATTACAAAACCCACCAGTGATAAAGACTCACTATAAGGGTGTGAATATGTTCATTTTCTAGCATGCATTTTTACACTCCTGCTGTAGTGCTTACAGCACAGAAGGAGAAAAGCACCTTGCTTTGCTCCAGTGACCCAGACTGTCAGCCGAAGTAGGTGTAGAACCACTGGGGAGAACAAGGTGCCTCTGAGCTGAGTCCTGCCTCTCTGACTGAACCACACCTGTGGAAGCGATTGCTGTTTCCCTTCTGAGGGAAATGAGTTGAAGCACGTAGTTATGGTTTTATAATGCACACTTTCATCAGGAAGGACTTTTGAAAGGCATTGTCTGTCTCTGGAGTGCCTTGTAATAACCTTGGTTTATACACCAATATGGGATTAAAGAAATTAACTCCTTGCCCCTTTAGCAGCATCACTGAAACAAGAGAACAAGTCCTCTTTGAAATGCAGTTTATTCTACAAACATTTAGAGCAAAATCCTCAGCTAATTTCCATAACTGCATATAATACCAGAAGGAAAAAAGCACAGGAGAGAAGTATGGTCACTTCAAGGTTAGTCACAGCTGCTTTCTAAACTACTCACTTGCTAGGGAAGCATTAAATGGGAGCTGAAATGTCTCCTTTGTCTCACGTTCTCCTCTTTGGGCATTTGGTTTCCATACATCCACATTCATCTACATGCACATATGTGAATTCGACTGTCTTATGCTCAGAGCAAACCAGATCCACCTTCACTGTGTGACTCCTTTTTTCATGGCAGCAAATGCATTTGTGTTCCATTTCATTGGTCTCAAAGGAATACCTACAGAAATGAGATTTGCACATGAGTCCACCACCTGTTTTCTTCCTTATGTGATCTGTATTCATTCCTCCAAATAGGGGTACAACTAATGAAGAAAGAAACAAGATTTCTTATCTGTATTTCTGCTTATTCATAATGGCCTTTCCTCAGGATGCTACTAGCTATGCAGGGCTAGATCCTCTGAGTTCAGTGAGGAAAATCCCATTAAATTTGGTGGGTTTTGGATTAAGGACATTCTGGCAACACAGAAATGCACACTTCATGCAGAGACCAAAGAGCAGGAAGAAACTCCATCAACCCCCAGAGCTGTTCATAAATACACATAAGGACAGGAAGGTCTCTTTGCAGAGGGATCTATTATCCTAAGGTAAGGCATTCCCATCACACTAAAGGCATTTCATCACATTGATGACTGCTGCTGTTCTCACATCCAGTTTCCCAGTCAGGTCCTTTTAAACAAGAACCCAGGAAGACCAGACACTGGTGAAGACAGAGAAAGGTTTCCTACTTACACAGAATAGGTACTGCACGTCCCTTCGCAGAAGGGCATTGGGACCGGAACAGCAGACTTACAGTTGTTGTGAACAATATACTGCTCTTTCACATTGCGTTTGCATTTATGTGGCAGGTCAACACCTGTGTGGGAGAATATTTCTGTTACACTTCTTCAGACTGGGGAGCAAAAGAAGTTTTGAAAGACACCTGCTGGGAAGCCATGGGCAGATCATCTTAATAAAACTTCTTGTAGTTTAAATGCATAACAAAACAAATACACACACACCAAACACAAATAATAAATACATAAGGAGAGTGCAAATAGGCACTAATTCAGCAAAAACAACTCCCCACTTTTCTAGATACTTTTCTGTTCAGGGACTGGCTCAAATGAAGACATGTATAAGTTCGTGTAAAGGTACTGCTGAACTAAGACCAAAAGGAGATATTAAGGCGTTTTTGTTGTTAAGTGCTATGAATTGTATTTGTTAACATTTGTGACTGTAACAACCTATATATTCTGGGTGGATGATGTAGAAGAAAAAAATCCAATTTTTTTTCCCATGTAACTTTCAAATGGAAAAATACAGAATGTAATTCCTACAAATTCTCTCATTGGAAGTATAGTTCAAACTAACAATATTTCAGTCTTTTAAAAATGCAGAAAGGAGATAAATTTTTTAGTGTCCCCATTGGAAGAACAAAGCAATTTTTGAGCCTTAGCTGTAAGGTACAAAACTGCTCTTCTGATACATGAACAAAGCCTTCTGGTCTGTTGAACTTCTTGGTGCATGCAGAAGAAGGGCTACAAGCAGAGGAGAACCTAGCAGTATTTTAGAAGGGAATAAACGATTTAACGCACTCACATGTCTTACAACAGCCATCTGAAGTCACGTCAACTGTCCCCTGTATAGAAAACAAAGAACCAGAATAGTTTAGATACTCTAGTCTAGTGTACGCATATTGCTAAGCAGCTAGTAGCAACAGAGGGTTCAGATACATACCCTCATCTCTAACCAACACATTAATTCCTCTTCAGACCTGTTTGTGTACCAGTTGTGTACAAAACAGCTTTAAAAATATCCTGCAGGGACTGAATATTCTTACAACTATATCCACTCATAAGCCAGGTGGAATGTTCTGTAACATATGCCTGATGTTATGCAGATCCTGCTGAAGCCAGCACGAAAGCCAACTCCAAAACCAGACAATGACACCTGCTCCTGGAATTGAACAGCCTGCAAAGCCCTTTCTGGAAGTTACTGGAAACCACTGGTCACTAAAAAGCCTGTCACTAATGCTCCCTGTTGCTCATTCATCTACCACTTACTTGCTTAGCAATGCACCCTATCGCAGAAGACACTATGTTCATTGGTTCCCTGACAGGTCCATCTTAAGTCATCATTTCTTCAATTGCATTTTGTAACACTGGTGTTCCTTAAGTAATGAAAAGTCCCACCATGCCATTGCCCCAGCACTCCCCTATTTCAAGTTCCATTGTCTTACTTCACAACAAGTAAAATATGTGGATTTCTTAGAAAGTATAGCTTTTGTTATATTTCCATAGGACATTCCATTTTGGGCTGAAAAAGCACATTTCTTTCAAACAAAGATGATCAACTCAGAAAGGTCAAGAAACACTGATGTGACTCATTCAAAACTGTATAGAAGCCTCCCATACCATAGCACTGGCAGGGCTGATTTCAGACAGTTTTTTTTGTTTTTTCTTTTTTTTTTTCTTCCTGGTACTTAAATACTTACTGGGACACAGTTTGATTCCTCAAATGGTAAGCAGACCTTTACTGTACTAGTCAAGGAAAACAGCCCTCCTGATTCAGTGCACATGTACTGAGTACAGTTATCATACGGTGCTTTATAACTTTTTCCAACCTAAAAACAACAGAAAAAAATAAATTTCAATATAATATAACAATAGAACAATATATAGATATTATATATACAGATAGATATTTACTTATTTATACAATAAGTATAAATAGAACAATGCAATAGTAATACAGTCAATGAACTGGCAGAGGGGCTGGGATGTTCATATTATCCTCACAGTACTGAGATATCTGGAATTCACATCTACTGAGCTCACCCACATTCTGGTGGCAGAATGAGTATAGAGGTAGGAGCAGAAATGCTAAAAGACACTATCACAGAATCACAGAATTTCTAGGTTGGAAGAGACCTCAAGATCATCGAGTCCTACCTCTGACCTAACACTAACAGTCCCCACTAAACGATATCCCTAAGCTCTACATCTAAACGTCTTTTAAAGACTTCCAGGGATGGTGACTCCACCACCACACTATGAAGTACAGAAGATGGGTCTGTTAATAGAGGTGGGATAGAACCTAACGGAATCTCACAGATTGGAAGAGACCTCCAAGATCACCTAGTTCAACCTGTGCCCTAACACTAACAAGTCTCCCACAAGTCTCCCACTAAACCATATCACTAAGCTCTACATCTAAACATCTTTTAAAGACCTCCAAGGATTGTGACTCAACCACTTCCCTGGGCAGCCCATTCCAATGCCTTAACAACCCTTTCAGTAAAGAAGTATTTCCTAATAACCAACCTAAACCTCCCTGGTGCAACTACAGCCCATTCCCCCTCATCCTGTCACCAGCCACATGGGAGAATAGACCAACCCTCATCTCGCTACAGCCTCCTATTTAAGGTACCTATAGAGAGCAAGACAGTTGCCCCTGAGACTCCTCTTCTCCAGGCTGAACAAGCTCAGCTCCTTCAGCCGCTCCTCATACGACTTGTTCTCCAGACCCCTCACCAGCTTCGTCACCCTTCTCTGGACTCACTCGAGCACCTTGATGTCCTTCTTTAGCAAGGGGCCCAAACTGAACACAGTACTCGAGGTGCAGCCTCGCCAGAGCAGAGTACAGAAGGACAATCACTTCCCTAGGCCTGCTGGCCACGCTGTTTCTGATACAAGCCAGGATACTGTTGGCCTTGGCCACCTGAGCACACTGCTGGCTCATATTCAGCTGACTATCAACCAATACTCCCAGGTCCTTCTCTGCCAGGCAGCTTTCTAACCACTCATCTCCCAGCCTATAGCACTGCTTATATACAGAACAAAAAAATATTCTACAGGTTTTGAAGTTTTTTAATAGATGGAAGAAAAGTAAAAACTATGAAAGGAAAATACTCTTCCTAACAGAGGTTAATGGATAAATGCAAAATTTCTTTGTGGTAACCACCTTTTAAGTGGAAGCATAAAAATTATATATTGGCACAGAAGAAGCTAGCTTGCAAGATTTAGCAAGGAACAAAAGGATGAAATAGAAAAGATGCAGAGCTCAGGAGCTACCAGAGAAGAAATAGCACATAAGAAAACAGCCACTGGGTGAGACAGCAGTATTAACTGTTCACAGCAATAGCAGGCTGTAATAAAAGCAAACAGCTAGCCTGAGGTTCAGTTCACGTCTCACAACACTATGCTGAAGAGACGTGGTGTATTACCTGGGTGTTACCAAGGTAAACTACACTGCAGCAGCTATGACATTTTCGATTTTTGCCCCAACAAATTCAGAACCAATGTTAGTACAGTTATATCAGCTTGCTCAAACTATTTAGCTTTGTATTTCTAGGGCAAGATAAATGACATGTCTTCCAGCATCAGAGCAGTGTCATGTGAAGCCAGCTCACGTATCTCTGCAAGAGCAGGGTTTTGCAATATCATCATCCCCTACAAATTCTTTCCCCGTGCTGCATGTCACGAAGAGAGGGTGACATGATTTCCATTCCTGCCAAAGATGCATAATTTTAAACACAGCAATGTCTTCAAGATGCACACAGCAAGGAGCAGCCATATAAAACTTAACACTTACTTTGGAAATGAGAGACATTTTAAAATCTTGTAAAGGTCTTCCCAGCTTCAAAATATATGACACTGATTTCAAAAAACGTTGAGGTCTTTTTGGATAATTCAGCTTTCCATGCAGAGCAAAGGAGCACTCACCTCGATGGTGACATTGCCAAATGGAAAATTTGCCACACAAGCCACTTGCTGGCACTGGCTGCAGCACTGACCCTCCTGTTCTACATAGCGGAAGCCCTGTGGAAATAAGGTCACCATTTAGCCATGTTACCTGCAGTCCTGTTCATGAAACGCTGTCAGATCACAGCCACGCTGGAGATGGCAGTGGAAATGAGTCAACCTTCTGGTTTCATTTCTGTTGCTGTTAGAAACCTTTTGGAATCACTTTAAGCCTGACAATTAAAGCTGATAATTTCTTTCCCATACTGAAGTTACCTCTGGGTCACTTCAGTTACCATATACACCCTGCCATTGGCTGCTCTTCTTTGTGCTAACACACAAGTTAGAACAAATAAATTAATTCATCAGGTGATTACTTGAAAAATCTACTACCAGCACTTGGTCTGATATGATTATTCACTAGAACTGTCACTGTCAGACATGTGAAGATAGTGCATCGGTTATTTCCTTCCCTGTGTTTTAGATATCCAGCAGTCTTTTCATGGGTCTATCCTGCTTCAAGATAAAGGTTAATGGTTTTATCCATTTTTAGGATTGGCAGTGGATCTAGCCTTATCTGGGTGAGAACGGAACAGAAACCATTCTTTCTTGCATTCAGTAATAGACTGAGCAGTTTGTGCACACACTCCTAGCTCACAAGTACCAAGCAGTGTCTGGAAACTCCTTAAACAACCATGTGGTTTCCTTATAATCTTAATTTTGGAGCTGAAAACACCACCAACAGAACAACATAAACTTCATCTTTCAGCAGTCAGACGTCTCTCTAACGGGAACAGGTTTGCAATCACTTTCCTTCAGGGAATCTCTCAAAGGGTGACCTCTTAAATTGGTAGAGCAAAAATGGCCAGCATCCTAAAGAGGACCTAATAGAAAATTACATCCTTCTATCTTTTACTGAGGCAGCAGTTTTACTCCCACGGTTCTACCATGCATCCCCTAGCAGCCATTGTTTGTGGTCAGGGAGGCTGAGTGCGTGGTACTGACCTGTTGGCAGGTGGTTTGGCATTTCACTGGAACACACTGGATGCGGTTGGTTTGCGTCACAGCATCCTGCTCATCTGTGCACACACAGTCCTCACAGGAGCTCTTAGGCACCACTGCCCCAGGCTGAAAAGATAAAGAAAAGCAGAGCGGAAAACAGGCAACAGCAAGAAATTGGTGGGTTGTAGAATAAACATATGTCCCCTGGACTATCAAACATGAATGATTATGCTCAGGAATTATTTTTGGTAGAACTTCCTGAAATGAGTATCTTCAGATCTCTGACTTCAAACCTGACACTTCTTAGTATCACAAAATGAACGTGAGGCTGACATATTCAAGTGCACTGATGACATTACATGACTTATGTTGTCTTATAAACTCCAAACTTCAATTTTTCCTAAGTTTGACCTAGTAATTAATCTTACAACATCCAATGAGTTTTAAAATTTGTATTCAATCACAATTCTGACTTCTAGACTCTAAAACACAGGTAAGATCTCATTTAGTAAACAAGCTACTGGTCTCTAGCATTACCTATTCATTAATATCTTCAGTAACACATTAGACTGCTGGCAGGGATTAAAAAAAAAAAAAAGGCAGGATTAAAGTGTACATTATTAAGTGTTGACAACAATAAGTTCAGAAAATTCTGATTCAGGCTGCATCAACCTGTGGAAAAAAATGTATGGAAGAAGACCTACCTTAAATTCAACTCCTTCAGAAACACATACACCTTTTGGTACTGTAAGAAAAATAAAATGAAAACAATGTACTAGGAATGATGTAGCCAGTTACTGAACTCATCTCTAAATTCTCACTGATTTAGAGAAGACAAAGAGTAGAACTGAGTCTATTTGCTAGCCTTCATAGCCTGCACAACAGAGGGAAAAACATGCTGTTAAATTGTTATTCTGAAGCCCACATTTAACATCTACTCAGATGTTATGCGTGAAGTGTGGGGTAATTCTATATCCTGGTATCTTCCATATGGCAAAAAAAAAAAATGTACTTCATGTAGTTACCCATGCCTGAAATTAGCTGAGCTTTATTGTTAACCACCTTGCTGGTCACTGAGAAAATGGGAAGTTGGGTCAGGTGTGCAATTCCAGAAATACAGTTTGACAGCAGAACTGTATGGCTTCAATGGAATAGAAATGCAGTATTTGTTCAATAACTTACATCCCAAGATCTCATTGAATATTAGCTACAGAGAACTTACATCACTTATTCCACCACCATAAAAATTTAAAGGCTCGAAAGGAAAGGGAGAGGCTACTTCTTGTGATATTGACTCATTCAGAAAAACTGAAATAGTTGAAGGAATAAATAAAATTTCTTAAGGAAACATGGTACTTACTACAGGAGAAGACAGGACAACAACCATCCTCAGATATAGCTACCACAGGTTGGAAACCTAAGTCACATGCTGTTTTGTTGATAACACAGGTTTTTATATCACATTCTGCAATAGACAATGGAGATAAAGTAAGCCAAATCATCCTGTCCAGCAGTTTTTCTTGCAGACCAAAAAGTTTGAACATCCAAGAAATAGGGAAGACATAAATGATTCTTGAACCAAACAGTTTGGAAGCTGGGACATGTACAAATAAACTTTTTCAAAGCTTGCCCTATTGTAAAGGTCTTCCCTGGGCATACAGTTCTGGCCCTTGTTCCTCTTTCTCTTCCCCCACTAGATGTCATTGCTAACAAACTAAACACAAACACGCTCACCTCAGAGGAAAAAAAGGAATCGATAGGAAGAAAGAATTAGGGTAAAAGCAAATGAGAATGAAAACAAAACAAACAAAAAAAAAATGGAAGAAGCAGTGGATGAGGGCCAGAGACATAAAGGTAGGAAGGTGCAAGCTACAGCACCCTGCCAGTGCCCACTACTCCCTCACAGAACCCAAAGGAGCCCAATGTACAGGAGCACAAAAAGATGAGGAAGAGAAAAACATCCCACCACTGCCAGGATCCTGCCCTGCATCCTCCTATGGGTGGTAGGAATGGCCAGGAGCTGAGCAGACTAATGAGGAGGTCCTGTGCTGTTGCAGGCATTTGGGACTAGAAGGATGCACATTGAATGGTGAGGGCAAACATATAAAGAAGCTACATGTGAGAGACAGAAAAGTCCATCCTTCCATATTGGATGGACCTATGTGCAGGGATCACCCCAGCATCTCAGAAGGGACAAGAGCCAGAGGATCCTGTGAACTACCTAGTGGTCCCCAATGATCCATGTGGCATTTTCCAACTTAAATATCAAGTGGGACATAGATCTAATTTAGAATAGAAGCTGAACCAGAGGAGGTCTCTTCTGACAGCAAGAATAAATGATTAATCTACTGTGTTTATTTGAACCTGTTGTGATTTTTTTTTTCTTTTAATTTCACTTGAGGATCATCAGGAGGCAAATGATGCCACGTGAATTGTCTACATACCACAGACTGTTTCTGTGCAGCATGGATCATCCAGACGTGGTTTTATTTTGCGTACAAAGCCCTCTTTAGTGCAGTTGATAGGTGGAGATTTAGCACAAGGCCGGGGGAAGCAAGAGATATTCAAGGTCACTTCATCACAAGCACAGTATTGACAGTCATGCTCCCAAGCTTCTCTAGGCTGTGAAAACAAGAGATAGTTGTTCAGAGAGCAAAATCTAGAAGCATTAGATTAATGAATGACTACCACAAAGCAGCACAGGGCCAGATTGCCCTATTTCATTATGTTGGAAAAATCAGAGTTCAAATCCCAGAGGGCAGAGAAGAAAAAATCCTGCCACCTTCCTTTGTAGAAAGGGAAACTTGTTACTTCTCTAGAAAAATGATTCCTACAAACTGCTAATTTTATTTCCGTATCTCTATTAATGAAATCCTGGAGTTACTAAAATCTGCTCTTTTCTTCCCCACTGTCAACACCGTTCACTAGTATTTAAGCTTAGAATTAAAAGAAACTCATGCAACCATTTTTACTGTAGGTCACAGCACCCAGCTATAGTATAAAGTTAGCATTTTCCTTTTTCCTACCTGTTTCACTGATCCATCTTGTGCAGTGCAACCTATAAAAAAAAATTACAGATTCCTTTAGTGATAACTAAACTGGGGAAAACAACAGAAGCAAGAGTACAGGAATAAAAGGAATCTGAGGAATGGACACAGAAAGATCCAGAGTGCAAAGTCACAAGTTGTGTATCCAAAATATTTCAATATCCTCTGCCTAAATATCCTTTGTTATTTCAAAAGTTCCACTTTCTGTGTAAAAGTAGGGGGAAACGGTCAGAAACATTTCTAGCCTAGCTAGAAACATTCAATATGAAGGTTTCCCCTATTTCCCCTGTATCCAGAACATTCCACTTATGTGAGCTTATAGTCTTATGACCCCTCCCCATCCCACTTTTTACATTTCTTACCGCAGACAGAAACACAAATGCCATCGTGATCATTCAGCAGAGTTTTTCCATCAGGGCAGTAGCATCCCTCAACAAACACATGTGTGTTATTTTGGGAGGGGGCGATGTCCTTTATGACTTCTCTGCACAATTAGAAAATAAACAGAAATGTGTGAGAGGCAGAAATTTGCCTGGGGCAAACAGACACCTAATACCCAAAGAAATGCCAACTTCCAGCCTTCCTTGGCACTTTTCAAATGATGGACCTTTGCCTTAGGACACGACCCACCTGCTGAAGCAAGTGTTTCTTTTTGCTTCTCCACATGGCTTGTAGACCTGATCCCGAGCACAACTGGCCTCTGTGGAGCATTACAGCACATGGGTTAGAAAGCCTCGGCTTATTCGTACCCTCCGTCGCACGACAGACACACAGCATGCACCAGTTAAGGCTGCCCTATGGGCAGCACAGCCCAGGCTCCAGCCCAACAAGAGGTCCCCACAACTTCAGCAAGAGGGGTTTAATGGATTCGTCAAGGCACTTGCACCAGTACCAGTGGTGTTTACTCAGGTCCCCTGAGCAGGGTAAAGCAGGCAGAGAGAAGCTGTGCATTGCCATCTAGTGACGAAGCTGTATGTGACGCAAAGGGGAGAAAAGTGGCTAAATGTCCCAACCCATTCCTTTGCTGAGAGGTGCAGGAAAGACCACTGGCCTGTTTCCCACTTGTTTTGTACCATTTTTGAACTGCAACTCTTTTGATTAGCTCCTGTATTTCTCAGACCCAGAGCAGCTTAGGAAAGATTGAAGCCTGACGATGTGAAGGGACAGAAATGGGTGCGTGGGTGAGGAAAGAACAGACCAAAGACACTTCACCAACCAGAAGGTCTTTCTCTTTCCCAGGCTTACCACACTGCCCATTCGCCTGCCTCCTCCAGTCCACACAGACCCCGTGGAGCCCACACAAGGCCGCATATGTCTGCATGCTCTGGCACTCGGTGCTGGGGTGCTGGTCCGAGCAACCGCTGGCCACACAGGCCTCGTAGTAGGGCTGCGGGGGAACCACACTGTGGCACTCGGTCAGGTTCCTTCTCAAAGCAAGGAAACAGATATGGCATTTTGCTCCCTTGGACTACTTCCAAAGAACAATTCAAATCAGCCAATCCTCACCCAGAGAAAGCCTCAAGGTAAAGATACAACTACAAATTGCTCCAATAAGCAATACGCCCACATGCGTAGCCAAAACGATCCCCACCCAGAGAAGACCTCAAGGTAAAGATACAACTACAAGTTGCTCCGATAGACAATACACCCACACAGCTTAATTAAGAAAGCTTTACCTCCCATTCTTTACAACGCCTTGAAACAAAGCAATTTTACATTGGACTGAGACCTGCAAAGAAGAATCTCCTGCACGGCTCACAGCTATATTTCTATATACCGACATTTTAATGTCAACATTGTTGGCAATCCTATTTTAAACCACAAAATTATTTTAAAAACAAACACACACACATGCTGGCTATATTCTGACTGTGGCTCCTATTCATCCCCAAAGCATTCAGATAGTGAATTATAGCTAGTTCCCACTTAACTTCTCCAGAAACAACAAGCAAAGCAAGTGCCAAGTAGCAGACAGTATTAAGGGAAGACAGATTTTGATCTGCAAAACTCAGGAACATTCATACATCAATTCAATGCTCACTTTTTCAAGGTACGCTAGAATTCATATTTTCATTGTGTCCCATAAGCAGTTCACCCAAGCCCTGTGGTTAAGCACAAAAATTTGTCTCTTTTGGGAGCTGTCTTACCAGATGATTTTACACAGGTCTGAAGGCTCACAATGCTGATGATTTTCAATCACAGCCAGTTCTGAGACACCTGAATTACAGTATCTGTTAGTAGGATCTGGGACTTTCCAATCTAATGCCATCTCTTTGAAGGACTCAGTGACCTCACCATTCCTTCTCATAGCATCATCAGCCTTTTGGTTGGTGCACGTACCTGGTAGCAATATAAAAGCAAGTGACAGTTCAAGGACAGCTGATGCTGATAAAACTGCTTTTACGCAAAACAGCAATACCTGGAAGGCAGTTCTTCTTGTGAGAAAGTAACACGCATAGTCCTGGATGAGTTCACAAGAACTTTGTAGGAGAAGGCTAGAAGAAATAGTTTGCCAGTTACTCATGAAAACCAGAACTGAGGTCTTGGCTAATGCAATCCTCATGAAGGCTAAAGAAAATGAGATGGTTCTCTCACAACACAGGACTCTCCAGATTCTGTATATTCCCATAGTGAGTAAGTAAAATCATATGATCAAGACAGAGACTTAGAGAAAGCTTGTCTCCATCCACCAGCAAATGTGGACAGAATGAAAGGAAGTGATTCAAAACTGTATCTTCTGACAGTACCTTTTCACCAATTAGAGACAATTTTGTTAAAATTTGTCAAACTTAAAAATCACTGGAGTCACAAAAGTTTAGAGTTGTTTACAAGTGGACAAAAGAAAGGAGGAGGAAAATTTATTGCATTCTTTACTGTCAGCTGATGAGCACACTCACCACACAGTCCCATGGTATTGTTATAAAACTTTCCAAAAGGGAGTTTTATGTAAAACGCAAGTCGACTGTAGGAGACATAAACTTCTAATTCTGGTATTTCAACTATGACGTAAAGGCCAGAACTGGTTATCCTGATACCATTCGTGGAAACATCCGGAACAACTTTCTTATCATTAAATAAAATCTAAAAAGAAGAGAAGCAAAAGGTCTCTATGAACATTCTTCTATTGAGTAAGATCCATAGTTTGTGTCTGGCAAGTAGAGCACAGATTCAGCTCTCAGATACACCAAATGAAGTCTGACAAAGGCAATCATTTAGGCAGTTCCCAGTGCTTCCTTTTTAATATACTCTAATTTATAATTGATTACTTCCATCAGAAAGAAAAACACAGCTTTCAGTTATGTGACAATTTTCCAAGTTTTTAGAATATACTTTTTTTTTTCCTGACACTAACAAAAAAGAGTGAGGGATGTAACTGCATTTCCTACCCATGCCATTTGTGATGAGCTTTGTCCTTTGTCATGGCAGAGCATTTGGCAGTAGAATAATACAGATACAGCAAAATAATTCTGAGGATTCATTTTAACAAAATACTTTACCAAGTTTGTTTCTTTTCCATGTTCCATTGCTTGTGTCAAAATAACAACAGAATTGGAATAAAAAATGAGAAGGGACATTGAACAAATTGCTCCATTAGTGGCACCACAGTAGTAGTTGTCTATGTGAATCCAGAAGTTGTGAAAGTTGTGATGAATTAACTGCACAAGGACGTATGTGCAGTTTTCTTTAAAATGATAATATGTTCCATCAAAAGTCACGTAATGCTCATTTCCCCATCCGCTGCAAATACCTGGAAGACAGAGTAGCACACTTTGAGTTTGACTTCTCAGCTTCAAGCTGATTTTAAATTTTATAATCTCTTTTGTTGAGAGCTGAAATGACCAATTTGATGAAGAAAAGATAGCTTAGCAAGGACTCTTATCTGCTCTTAATAGCCAATGTTTCAGGTGGGAATTCTGCTCCATTACAACCTACTGAATCAATACAAAGATAATAAAGATGCTGATCACACAGATTTATCTTGTTTGAAGATGGGCTGAGAATAACATAAATTTCAGGAATTCACCTGCTACTTACACTGACACTCAAAGACTTCACAGCAGCCAGTTTCATCATAGTGTTTCATGAATGGGAAACCATTCACACAGAGTTTCAGTTGCTGAGGAGGGCAAGTCACACTGGACAGTTTAATATTATTTCCTTCTCCCAGGCAAGTGGCAATCTGGCAGTTTCCAAAATTCCATGATTCGTTAAACTATTGACAGATTGAAAGAGCAGTAGAGGAACACAGCAAAGTAATAAAAAATTTTAAAACCACACACACCTACCACCCTCCATTCATGTTCCTGTTTGGTATGGCGTTGCTATCTACTCTTTCTCTGTCAGATAGTATGAAAAGTATTGCAATCAACAGAGCTTTGACATTTTGTTTTGTTCTGCAACATTTTGTTGCAGATCTCAGCATTAATGTCCTGACCACTTGTGATGGTGGGACACAGACAGGTGGGCTTTCCTAGCCTTTCTTCAGCTCATGTGGCTCTGCCTGCCTACAGCCTGTTAGATTTTTCACTGAACAGCATAATCTTCAATTTATTCCCTAAAATATTTGAGGGCTTCTGCTATATTTATCAATCACCTAGTTCAGCCACAACTACAGACTAGCTGCAGCAGTGCTGACCAGCATCAGAGGAATCTACGTGTGGAGAATGCCAAATCTTGGCTGGAGGAAACACTGTAAAGAACCACACCTTCTTCTTTCAAGTCTCTCACCTTTCTAGGAGGAATGAGCCCAAGACAATCGCTCACAGGAGCCAACGTCGTAGCAGGAACTAGGCTTGTTGCACTGGAAGCAGCTGTTGGTGGACAGTCTTCAGAGTCTGGATCACAGATGTTGAGTGCCTCAGTTTGACCGACTTTACACTCTGCCCAGATTAATTCAATCTGACATGAAGCGTTGCAAATGGAGTAAGCACAATGACCCGATATATTCATTGGCAGAGAAACATTTTCTCCTGCAGGGCCAAAACCCAACAATCAGCACTGAATTGCCTATGAAAGTGGTAAATGTTTGCTGTGAACTCTTAAAGGCTATGCATCACAGATCAATCATATACTCAGCCCTGCATTTAACTGGGCTTGACTGCACCTGATGGCTACCTTCAGTTGTGACTGTCTGCAACTGTTTTAATTTAACAACTGAACCAGGGCTCAATTCATCCAAATGGCAAAGCCTGAGGGAGGGCCACAGGTGGCAAATCTGCAGTTCTTCTGCAGATTCTTCATTGAGTACACTGGTGAGAATTGAAAATGGTTGAAAATGAGTCCAAGAGGAGAGAATACCGAGTACATCACTAAGCGTATCTGGTCTTCACAAAGACCATGAGATAAATGGTTCAGGAGCTACTAAGATGAAAAGGAGCCTTCACTTCTCTATCTTTGGAATATGAATGTGGATTACAAACCTATGTTTGGGATTTGTGAGTCAGGGTTTGTGCTGGAGTACAATTAAGTTAGCATCTGCTCTAAGCTTCTTTACACCAGGGATATCCAAACCAGGACAATGTCACAGGGTACATGAGAACTGTAATTTTGAAGGTGTTAGTTACACTTTAAAGACGTAACAACTCCATGTGTAATTGCAGTAGACAGAACCAGCACTTGCTGGAGCACATTTATCTAACATTACATCTTCTCAAATCAACAGTGCAGGAAAAAAAAAAAAAAAAAGAAGAAATTGCTTGGTTTCTCACCCATTTGTAGCAATTGTCCATTGTCAGTGCAGAAGCAGGGAGTGGTTAGCATTGATGATGGTGGTGCAGATGTTACAGGTTGCATATGTGGTTCTGCAGGAAAGGAAATCTATTAATGACCAGATCCTTTGCAACTCTACATTCAAGCCCTACGATGTCTATTACATTCTCTATGTTTACAAGAAGAACAAAATTATTTTACACCTTCATCACATTCTGTACTGGTACACACTAAAAACACCCTCTCTATGTACTTAAAACCTCCATATGCACACACTATATGCTACTAGTATAGTACACACACTCTTCTAGGTGTGTGTATCAGGTATTTTTTTGTAGAATAAAATAAAACCCCCTTCCACTATCTCTTAATATAATTCCAAATTAAGGTCTTATTGAACTTCCTAATCCTGTATGACTTCACCTGACTTTGGAGAAGTGACTTCCAGTGGCACACCGTTTTGTCTTTTAACATCTAGTTGTGAAGCATCTGTTGGTTTAAATACAGACAGATCATTTAGTCATTTAATGAAGCCAGTCTATAAGCTGTTTTGAATAATCCTTTCTTTCCTAGCTATTACCACATAACACCTGGAATGAAACATGTAAACACAGGAAACACACAGGCTCACCATCAGGTCTTTAACTCTTCCACTCACTTGAGTAGAGAAGATAACTTTTAGTTCTGCTTGCCTCACTTTGTATAATTTGTTACTGCAGGATAATACACTTTTTTATTTTTTGGAGGTAAGAGTAGTCTTTTTCAGAGACAGAGGAATCTTGTTACCATTACAGACTTGATAAAATCACCACCAAACCTTGTATAAATAGTACCTTGTGCTGGTGCAGATGGTGTGTTGCAAGGGATGAATGTTTTGATGATCTCTCCATTAGGACCACAGACAGCATTACCACACCCAACCTCATCTGTTTGGCCATATATAGTGTCATTTAAGGAATAAGTCTTCCCATTGTAGCAACAGAGGCAATCTGAGGCAACAAAAGAGCAAATGCCATCAAACCAGGGGATACTCTGTCATTATAAATGAAAAGAAAAACAAACTCTGTATTTACCGTTCTGTAGTTCATATAAGCAAAAGTGAATGATCTGACTGGAAAATATTCTCAGTTTCTACTTGAGAAGTTGCATTGAGGGTCTACCTCATTTATTTAAAGTAAGTTGGATTTTTCTTGCTGATGGTGCTTCTTGGAGTCAGCTTGCATAGAGGAATTACTGGCTGCTGAAAGCATCAGAACTGGCACTGTTCTCACCCAACCTAGAGAACAGGAGCATTCCCTCTTGGCAGGGGATATGGCTGGGATTACTGCCTTGATGAGTGATAAGACACTGACATGTTTGTACTGCTCTAACACCACCTATTGAACTAGCTAGCAACATGCCTGCAGCAACATGTGATGTCTGGTCGTCTCAGTGTTATCATCACTCAATGAAAGGTATTCAAATGTTACCTTCAGAGTCTTCGGTACACAGTTTCTCTTCAGGATTGCTGAAGATAAAGAGGAGAGGAGTTGTTTTATTGCCTTGTATATGTGGAATAATATCTGTCAGCAGATGGTATTTACTTTTACAAAGAAGCCTGCTCCTTGAGGTTTTAACCATTATTGTCACTGCCATGATTTCCTATGAACATAAACCACACATTGCCTACCTTGCCCTTTCTAATCCTATTATTACCTCTCTTACCATCGACTGACCTACCATGAAGTGCAGTTGGGGAGGGAGACGCACTCCCTGCTTTCCTCATCAAAATATGGCTTGTCAGGACTACACTCTGGATAGCAGCCTGGAAAGTTAAAGTAAATGAATCAACTTTGTTCTGCTTTACTTGAATCTGAGGCAATCACATGCAGATTTGATCCCAAAATTAATATGATCCTGTATGAAAATTCTTGGTTTTGCCAATTATTTTTCTATGTCCTCTTTTTCCCTTTCATCTGGAAGTTGCAATTAAGTCTGTCAACAGATAATTATTCTTTGCAAATTTAAACTGAATGACCTTGTATCTCTGCCCAGTTTAAAGGCAACAGGCATATTCTGCTATGAATGGTATTATTACATGGGAAATTAGCCCCAGAAGAGGCATGGTCAATGAGTTTCTAGGGCAAAAGAGACAGTCTTTGAAGGTCAGACAGCAACCTTGATGCTTAAGGCATTTAAAATCATACTATATCTTCAACTCATATCAACTGTATCAAAGTCAAGCAAGAATTACCTTCTAAACTATACAGCAAGTTCCCACATTTTCCTTGTGGGTTCCTGCAGGTCTTTAGACAAGGTGCTCCACAGGGTTTATAGAACCACTCGTGTTTGTCAGGTGGATTGTAATAATCACAGAACACAGCTGGAACAGAAGAGAAAACATCCAAGACTCAGACACTGGGAAGGGTTCATTTTCTAATTCTCACAAACAAGAGCTCATTAAGTCACAGGCATGCAGAGGTATCAGAATTCTGCTCTTCTTCATTTCCTGTGCACCTGAACACATAGAACAACATTTTTCTGCATGCATTTTCAATGCAATACTTACGGCAAATGGCAGGTGTTCTCCAGTCAATACAGACACCAGCTCTGCTACAGCTTCTTGAATAAGCAGCCACCGAGGTACAAAAGCACTCACAATCTCCCACACTGTCACAGCCACAGAAGTCAGAAATACAAGATTCATAATATGGTATTGGATTCACCTATCAAAATACCAACAGATCTGTTATCACAGATGTACCTCCTGCACCATGTTTTAATGAGAGAAAGGGCTTTGAATTTCTGCCATCCACTGGCAGTTTATTTGGCAGAACTGTTTGTGACAGTCTGGGATTGTCATGAAGGAGCTAGGACATTTTGCAAGAGTTGTTTTTGTATGTTCACCTATCTGTTAGACTTGGACCTTAAATCTTCTCATTTGTGTGCTGACATTTACACTCAAGTGTCTTTCCAGCGTAATTTACGCAGGACTAAACTACCTTGATTTGGGTTAGCACATCTATATGGTGTGTACATTTTCTAATTGACAGATAGTGACTGATTATAAAATGAAATCCTATTTCCACTGAATTTCACATCTCTCGTGCTTTAACCTGCGTCAACATGAGCTAACCAAGAAAATTAAGCCAAATTTGCTCTTTAAATGGCTTATTAAAATGCACCAAGGCTTTGCATAGACATGCTCATTAAGAATTAGTAGCCCTGTTCCTGTTTAGATTAATTCAATGTGTCTAAAATAAAGTAAATATTTCTTTAGCTAATTTGAATAAACTTTCCCAAGGATCCCCATACAAACAGCCCTGTACTAAGTTATCTCTAGATTTTACAAACAGATATCTACCTTTTATTTCTGGTGGCCAACTATTATCCCCTTTGTCTTTGGTTACTCAAAACAGGCACTGCTGTTTCCTCAGTACTGTGCAACAGGATTTAACTGGCAGAGCAGTAAAAAGAGGTGTTTAAAGAGAAGTAGGCCTTGTACCCAAGAATGCCATGTAACAGCCTTTAATAATAACAGTCTGTGCACAAACGTGCTGCATAATAGCATCAAATGCCAAGTGTGAAACCAATAAGGATGAGAGAACAGGATTACCTTACTGTGGCAGGCTTCAAAGACATTACTCTTAATGATGCTGCAGTGCTTCTGCCCCAGGACAGACTTGAAAGGCTGATCAGCACACAGGTCTGTCATGTTTACATTTGAGCAGGTGCTTGTTATTTTCCAGCTGTTTCCAAACTCCTGGATGCTCATCTCCACAGACTGCCCTCTGGTTGTAAAGTCGTTCCTTGACCGGCCATCAAAGTCCCCACAAAGGCCACAGACTTTTCCCTGAGTAATTTGCGTAGGCACAGTAAGTGGTTTCGTTATTTCAAGTGCAGCCCACTGGCTGACAGAAATAAACTACAGAACAAGCCAAGAAAAAATAGCTGCAAATTTCTAAACAGCCATCCAAATATGTGTTAGAAGAAGCTGGATTTCAAGTGACAAGATCGCTCTTTTAGACCCTCCAATACTGCAAAGAGTCTGGCTTTATTTCTAGTGCCAAGTATTTTGGAGAAGTCCATACCAACTGAATGGTGAAATAAAACAAAGCATGGCCCACTTGCTGCTTCTGCTCCACTGGACTGAACACTTTTCCAAGCCCTACTTTTCAAACTGGGGCTTCAGTTCTGGATGCAGGAGTTTGAGTTGGAAATCATAACTCTCAGTCTGTGAGGCACATACCTGGAAAGATGGTGCCACATGAACAACAACTGTAGTCTTCTGGTCCCACATGAAGTTCATCCCTTGAGTCGTTTCAATAACAATATAGCCTCCTCTGAGATCCACCTTATAATTCTTCTCAGCTCCCGGATCAGTGGCTATCTCCTGAATTCTTCCTTCCAAGAGCCTGATTTCACTGCTCTACAAGGAACAAATACATCACACAGAAGGAAACCAAGTAGAAAACTTAGTGTAATGGCACTGGTATTCTGTCTCTTGTTCTTCATCTAATTTTTTCTGTAGTCTTTGCACTATGTCTTGGCCTACTCCAAGACACGTGAGCCATGGACAAGACCCAGTGAGTTCAATGGGAAACGTCTGTCCATGCATGACAAGTCTTACTTCATGGCCACATAAATTGTCCTTATTCTAGATGAAATCTGTTTGCTGGCACAGAAGCTCCTGAGTGCATGGGCAATTGGGCATGCTAGAATGCCCCGTGTCATGCCACTTTGTTTCACCCTACCCTCATCCCCCAGTCCAGGAGAAACCTCTTTGCTCTTTTGTGTCTGCTTCGGGGAACTGCTAAACCTGAGCTGGAAGGAAAAAACTCTTCTCTCTGTAGTTAACACCTGCCCTGTGCATAAACCATGGCACAGAAATATGCAACAGCCTCCTCTGAAAAAATTATTTCCCACCACTAAGGTCACAGAACCACAGGTGCACACACACACACATACATACATACACAGAGTGCTGTTGACTCCCTATATCAGCCCCCTTGTCTGCAGAAGTGTCCAATGCCAATTATCTGCACCTTTCCTGGCCTATCTCTGCTTTCTGGCTGTTTGACTACCATGGGTACCCTCTAGCGACAGCTAAATTGGACTATAAGGACAAATTACACCAACTGCTGCAAAATCAAGACTACATCTCCACAGCTGTGACTGAATCCAGACAAACCTCAAAAATCAGTGTGATCTTTAGAGAGCAGATGGAGAGTGACTTCCCACAGGCATTGTTCTGAATTACAATTCGGAAGGTACCACCATCCATGTTATTGGGGCAGAAGTCCTTTGAAAAATACATAACATTTTATTAGAGCCTTTTATGTAACTCGTCCCATCTTAAACATTTTCAGGAGCTCTAAATGAATACTCTGTCAGCCTGATTTCTGCTATTTTGTCACATGTTCATTCACCAAAACTCTGGGCATTTTAGAAGAATGTGGTGGTGACTGAACTGCTCATACTTGACAAGAAATTTCAAAGAGAAAAGCTCAAGTAAAAAAACGAGCTTGTCATAGCACCAGTCATGCACAGCCAAAAAGCTTTTTTTTTTTTTTTTATGTATTAGCAAAACCAATTGTAATTTGGAGATGAAGTGTCTCGTTCAGTACTGTCTCATTACACGCAATAATTACACTTGAGTTGAGGCCTACACATTATCATTTACATGCTTAAGACACAAAAAGCAACTGTCACTCTTGAATGACCAAGAGAAACTATTATTTTTCAGCACCATACTAATCCCTCCCTTTGCAGACGCTGGAATTACACCAGTCCAGCCCAGGAGTTAATCATTTAGGATCACACAGTGCCCTCTTGTGTCATTTCTGAGGGTTAATTGCTTTGCTTTTGTATGGAAACTCTCCCTGTGTCTGCTGTAGGTAGAAGAGAGGGGTGAAACTCAGATCATCAGCATTGACTATTTTGCATGGGGCAGCCTTTTAATTACTCACACTGAACCCTACAGGGTAAGCTGTGGGTAGCAAAATTAAAAATGTGATACCTGAGCTAGAATATAGTCACAGTCTCCCAGGAAATCAAACTTCTCTCCATCAAAGGTCATGTAGTGCCCATTGCCATACACAGTACAGGTTCCCTTGCAGGGATTGTCCGTGCAGTTCCACTGCCTTTTGTTACACGTGCTGGGAGGTGAATAAGATAAGGTTCACAATCTGTACGAAGCATTTTTTTTTCCTTAACCTCAAACATGGGCAGAATAATGGAAAGGTTAATCTTTTGCAGTGCTCCGAGGCCATGCCATATAATGGATTGCTATTTACAAAAATTGTGTTTTCTACCAAGACATGCTTGAACTTTCTGTATTTTGATTCTATTTTGTCCCCTTCAAATATCATTTAAATCATTAAGGCCTGGTAGCAGACAATGGGAATTTAGGACCTAAGCTCAAGAAGAACAACTAGATATTTCAAAGATATCTGAATATTAATCCATGAGGTACCACATGGCCAGTTCTGCTCCTATGGTGTTATGTACCAGCATTATCCTCCATCCTACCCTGGCAAACTGCAGCTCAGGGATACCATTAGACAGAAAATTCTAGTTATTCCCTTGGCACAGATACCCTACGATTTTTCTTCCTCTGTATGCGTTCTGTTCTCCTAAGAAAACAAGGACCTCATTTCAGTAAAACCTTGTAATGGCCTCTGTGATATCAACAACTGCTTATCAGGGTTTGGCCTCACATGCTAAATTTGATTGCTTGTACCAGCAGTGATCAGACCAGCGTTTCCGGCTGTTATTTTCTGTGCCTCCACCTGGCAGGACTACACAACCTCATCCTTGCTAAATAATGGGTAAGGATCCAAGGAATCTTACCCACCATGATCAGCAATACCTGTGAAGACTAGAGCACCATTACACCGGCAATTGCAGCAACTGAAGCTTCAAGTTGCTGGAATATCACTGCAGTTCCTCCCTCTCCTAAATTCATACTTTTTCTGGGGTTGAGCTGAGTAGTCCTACAGACATAGACTCAATTCTTCCTTGCACAATAACCAGCCCCAAACCAGCCTGGATGAGGCTGGGAATTATGAAGCTGGTGTGGAAGCAGTTTGTGGAAGACCATGGGAATTCTTTGACATTTGGTACCTATTCTCCCTGAATACAGGCTCCTGCAGTGTGATGCAGAGAGGAAAAGTTTCCCTTTTTATTTTTACTAGATGCCTGATGGCTCTAGTGATGAAGTGAAGGGCTTCAGAACACACTCTGCCCCATGAGATACATTGACTATTTTTAACACCCTTTGTTATAAAACAAAACTCCCTGGTATAACATACCATGTGTTGCAGTCAACTTGGATTGTTTCCCCGGGTTTATAAAAGTGTCCTCCATGGACACATGGGCACTGGTCTTTGGGAATACATCCTCCACTGCCATCCAGTACCAGCCCATCAGGACACATGCAGCCAGAGACACATTCTGTGACATACTGCGTATATAAAGATACGACACAAGGCAATATGGTAATGCACAGAACATACAGGGAGCCTACAAAGGTGTTAGCACTGGGTGCCAAACTTTTAGATTTTTTTTAAACCCTACAGCTGTAAATTAGTAACAATCAAGTTGTAAGCGTCACAGCTAGGTGGGTAGCTACAGCTGCTGTGTTGTCAGTAAACTGGTTGGTCTGTGAATAGCGTCAGCATTTGTTAAGGACAATCATACATGCACAATCATGTCGTCCCACGCTCCTGCTAGGAGGTGAAGTCCTTACACAGTGCATATCCTGCGTCTTACAACTTTTCTGACACTCTGATCCAATTGCACCAGGACCCGCGGAGCTGCAGTTGAAGTAGTACATAGGAGCTGGGCAATCTATAGGGGGAAGAAACCATTTTAGACAGGTCATTTAGTGAAAGCGATAAGGACACCATCAGCCACTGTGCAACAGAGCAGAGCATTTCAGAGCTCAGACACATTGTGGCATGTGTCTCTCATTTACAGTTTCCATTAGCTTTTACTTCTGTCCAGCAGCAGGATGGGAGAAGGAGGAAGATAACCTCTAAGCTCTGGGAAATATCTTCGTCTTTTGAAAAGTGTCACACACTGGTGACATTTTTACAAAGTCAACTGTTATCAATAACCGGCACATTACTGAGAGAAGGCAAAAAAATGTACAGAATACCAAAATATTATAGAAAGGAAGAGATACACAGAAAAACATTATATTTACTAGCTGACACCATAAAGCCATTATTTAATGAAATCTCACCTTTTACCAGGACAGTTTCTCCAATGCAGTCTAATCTTCCTTGAATGCATTTGCTAAAGAGATTCCATAAAATGAAAGACATCAGTTCTTTGCACTTTTCTCTCTCACTAGAAAGAAAGCCTCTGCAAAGCTCTGCTAGTCACACAGATAAATTCCCATCAAAATGAATATTTGGTAAAGCTATCAGGCTCTCAGACATGAACTGCCATCCCCAGAAGGAAGATTAAGACCTAATGATTAAATCCTCTTTCTTCATCTGCCACTATTTTATTGCATATTTTCCCTAAATCAAGTCTTCCCTAAGCATTTATTGTATTCTTATTTTATTTATTCTTATTATCTCTGTGATGAGAGATACTTTCTCAAACAAGAGACCTCTTAAATTACTAGATGAATCTGTGTTTACAAAGCAGTCTAGAAACCTCAGAGGAAAATCTGAGAGTTGGAAGAGAGTGAATACATAGACATCTAAATATAAAAATACATGGCAAAATTCAGCCTGCCACTGGTATTTGTTTGCATTGCTATCCTCAGCTGGCTGAAAATGAGAAAAAATTGTTTTGCACTGGAGATATAAGATAATTATATTATTTTTGTTATTTCCCCCCCAAATTCTCTCTCTTTCATGTTTACAAACTAAGATTTTGATTTCTTTTCCCTTGGCCATTTTCATTTTTTTAGTCTGCAGGATGTGCTGGGGAGTGGTTTTGACTCTTTTTTTTTTGTGTGTGTCTCAAAGCCAGAAACTCCAATCTCAAAGCCCTCATCTTGCTCCCATTGTAAGCGTTTGTTGTTTTTTTTTTTTTACACTACAATGAACTTTGCATTCAGATAAATCACAAACATGACTTTAATTTACATGTTTTCAGCTTCCTGTTTGCTAGGAGGAACATAAGGTCTTAAACTTCACTGTGGCTGCACTACCTGACAGGGGAACATGTGCTTTGGTATGATCAAGTGGAAATTTGTCATTATTCGGTAAAATGACCCCATTCAGGGATTAGAGCAGGGACTTCCCTGGTGAGCCCTGACATTCCCCAGGTATTTGGCCTTTGCATCATCAGAGCAGCTTACCACAGCAGTTTGTCTTCTTGGAAGGAGTTGCCAGGCTGAACAATCTTGCCTTTGTAGTAGCAGGGACAGTCATCTGGAGTGACACATTCCTCCTCGTCATTGAGGTAGGTCCCTTCAGGGCAACCACAGCCCTCCATAGGAGCGATCTGAACTTTACACAGTGGATCGGGTTCATCCAGCGAGCGGCAAGACTGGTTACAGTACTTCACGCTATAGTTATAAACCATAGTCTCAGGACACTCCTCAGAGGGATCTTTGCAAGAGAAATAAAATGGATGTATGGCCTTCTCTGTGCAGTCATCATTTGTACTGTTAATGCAGTGTTCTGAAAGTTGGTAGCCGTAAATTTACTTTTTCCTAACTAGCAGACTTTGACTCCCAGTGGTCTGGGGGAAGTCTGATCACATTAATCTGAACTAGGTGAGATTGGACACTGAAATACGCAACAGGGTGTATCTTGACTGAATAAGGGAACAGGTATAATTTTGTCATTTTTAAAATTTACAATACTATTTATATCATGAACTAAAACCTGTAAATTCTCACTTACCCACGTAGTTAAAAATGGATCTTCTCTCCTTTACTAATGGTTTCTTTGGATGGGAATAATTTAAGAAATGCATTTAAGAAAAACATTTTATAGGGTTAATTTTTGACAATAAGTGGGCAGGGCTAAGGAACTCTGCTAATTATTTGAAATTACCAAAGCAAACATTTTTGAATTCTCACAGATGTCTTGAGGAAAACTCATGTTACCATCTGAAGGGGGGGGTTGCTTACAGGGAACTGCGTTAATCATCTTTGCAGTAATGCTATCACCATATCAGCAATGGGCTCCATGCTTAAACAAAGCTCTGTATGGTTTTCCAGTCCATGACCATTGTACACTTTCTTAGATTAGTTAGCGTGCTAGGTTTGTACACATTAAAAACCACCACCACCTCCACCAACAAAAAACAGTTGGTTTCCTGGTCTCAGCTGGAGCAGACACGATATCCCATGTGCAAAATAGGTCTGCAGGCCATATTTTCCTACTTCATAGAAATGCAACGAGGATGTAGCAAATGGTATTTATAAATCACAATAGGCCAAATAAGGAAGATAATAATAAAGATTTTAAATACAAATTTATATCACAGTCTACCTGACATACCAGAAGATTTACCTGAATGGGTGCTTCAATTGTTAGTTATTTTTTAAAATAATAATGTGTTTACTTTCTCTCTTTATTCACAGAGGGAAAAAATCAGTTTTGGTAAGGTGAGGTCTGGTAAGAAAAAGGTTATTTCATTATAGTACCCATGGTCACAGATCGGTAATCTTAGATTATATATACATCACAACTGGAGGCATAAGTGCAGAGCATATGAGCATACCAAAAATAGCTTAAAGCTAGCTCACACATGGAGAACCAGGAAAACAGTGCCATGACTTAGAAGAGGCTACTGACCCCCCTAACTAGTAATTCAACTAAAGGTTCGTGATTCCACTAAAGATAGTTGTATATGCAGACTGCCATCAGTTAGCTAGCAGGATTTCCTTTTTCTTACACTGAATTGTCTGTACTGTAGGCACCCATTTACAATATAACTTGCCTTGGAGGCTGCCTGCAGCCTGGCACAGCTGGACACAGCTGCAGGAGCTGAAAGAGCCTTTAAAATCACCGCAAGGGGACAGACAACGCGAGTGACTGTTCTGGCCCGTTTACTCTTTCACTCATGAATAGTACAACCCTCAGTCTTATCACAGGCATGTTCCCAAAAGATTATTTCTTTTTACATATGGCCTAAAATGATCGTGCTGATTAAGCCATTAGCATTTTTCCCAAGGTTACTGCACTGTTTGAGTCAATATTGTGTCATAAGTCCACAGATTTCAGACTAAACCATGCTGCAAACCAGTCTTGATTTGGCATGAAATATGTCAGTAACTCTATACTGACAGCAAAGCATTCAATAGACAGAGACTTTCCAGTGCATAAACCTGCGTGACTCTAGGATAAGATGCTGTAGACTACACTGTGTTCCCTTATAATTATTTCAGCACAGGTTTGTTAAATTGTTCTTACTATAACCTTAAATGCCTTCTACAAAGCACTGCATGACTGGCGTTGTCTCTATTAAAAATTCCAGCTAGCCTCTAAGTCAGGTAATTGAATAGATCATAGCTGTATCAAAGTCACATAAAAATCATTCTTGTTATGTTTTATGTTTGGATATATTATTAGTCAGAAAACCCATACATTTATTTCACGCTGAAATAGGAAAAACTCATTTGAACTATCTGATCTTTAATGGAAAAAAATAGAAAACTTCAAAGTAAAATTCAGAATCTGGGATTAGGGAGATTTATTCTCAGCTCTGATAGTATCTCATAATAAGTTCTGGCAGTGCCAAAAAATACACATTTTTATGGACTCCTAATCCAGGATTTACTGAAAATGTATATACCCAAATATAAACTTATGTTCCAAGAAACTTATTTATTTGTTAAATGGTCCTGAGCTGAAAATACCTTGAAACACTTCCAAATTCTCAGAAACCAGTGACATATATTTATTAAAAGTCATTTCTGTTTTATTATAACATGGAAAAATGCAATTAATTAGAATAATGCCCAGTATATGGCCAATGTCTGAGACAGAAGGGCTGAGCAGAACTGTTGAGAATCTTTCAGAATTTACATACATACGGAGGCCCAAAAATTCAAAATTAACATAACTGCAACTAGGTGTCGTGATTTGATTAATACACCTTACACTCCTTTTCTTTGTGCTGTGAATTCACACAAGGAGCATGTTTCCTAAGAGCCTTTTCATGAAGTGGACACAAGCTGATTTTAGCAGGCAGAGGTTTTTTTTATAGAGCATATGCTTTTTCTATTTTTCAAAGATCTACAGCCTTGACTGAGCTCAAAAGCCTTGGGCTGCCACAGAGTGCAGTCTCCTGAAGCTACTCCCCGGATCCCTACCCAAGATGCTATAGGATGCTTACCACAGATACCCAGTCTCCAGCCCTTCAGGGACATGCCAGCCACAGCACAATCTCTGGAGTAGGTAGAAAGCACACTACACAGTGCAACTTCACTCTTCTCAGCATTACAGGTGTCATACATGCATTTCTAGGGAACAGAAAAAGGCACGGGTGCAATAACGCCTGTCTCACAAAACAAGGAAACATTCAGCAATTCAAAAAGTATTCAACCAATACTTTCTGAAAAGTATTACTACCAATGAAGTTTAATTTGAAACATCTCTACAATAAAATGTATAGTAATGAAATGCTATGCAAATTGGAGAAACAGGAAATCCATTACAGCTATGTAACTTCAATGATGGTATGTCTGGCACTCATAAAAGATGAATAATAAGAGTGATGATGGCACCTATAGCTCATTAAAGCACTAACAAACGTATATACCAGACTCCCATAATGATGCACATTTAGGACATGTCAAAAAACAGCATCTGAAAATATACAGAACTGAAAGTACTACACAGTGATGACTGGTGTTTATGTCCCTGTCTAGTGTGCAGGTAAGATGCAGCCTACTAAATGACAGGTACATAAGAGAAGATGATTTAGCAGTGAATCATATGTATTGATGTCTAAAGAAATAGTACTAATAGGGATAAAGGGCATCTAAAACTCAAGTTCTTTTAATTGGGTGTCTGGGCAGCACCCAGATACAGCCAGCCACTCAACAGCAATATGGTCATACTGCATAGATGGCACTTTGTCCTGCCATCACTGGTGTTGTGGAAAGTACTTCCACTAATCATGGTTTAAAGCCCTATAAGATCAGCAGGAGTAACAAATATATCCATAGAAAATTAAATAATAATAAAATAAGGTTATTACTTTTCTTCAATTGTGAATTAAATTCCTATTTTACATGTAGTTAACATGAATTTTCAAGCAGACATTTTTAAAGGAAAACTTGGGTGGCACAAAGGATAAGCCACAATTTTAAATGTACCTGAAACACATTAAATTTCATGCAAAATTTCAGGGTCAAATATTTTCTCAGTAAGTTGTATCTCATACAGACCCTACTTGAACTTTCTGCAGTTTTTGCAGAACCTACTTTACTATTCACAGAAATGCAGTAACTTGCTTGCTCAGTCAACTTCATCAACAACATTATACAGCTGAACACCAAGAGTACTTGTGGGCGGCTTCATGCATTCTAAATACAAAGAGCAAAATGTCTCCTTAGTAATAAATGGGTTATAAACAATGTATGTTCTCCCACTAGATGTGACTTTAATAGCAAATCAGACCGAATCCATGGAGTATGAAACCTCTGTTTGACTCCCAACAGAAACACTGATTTAGCTTTTTAAAGACTGAACAGTTTTCAAAAACAGTGAACCCTATTTTGCCCATTTTGCTTCTGGATCATGCAATGGAACTGTCAGTGACAGCAGGGATGCTCATGGAAAACAAGACACTTAATATTTCAAGCAAGCAAATAGCAAGCAAAAAGTCCCACGATATCTTGCATAAACTCTTGTTTTGTTATTTTTCTCATCAGCATCACTGAATCTATTTCCAAACTGGCATTACTAAAACCTATTTCACTCCTGAAGACCAGACCTCCTTCGCGGCAGGATCAACCTCTGGACAAGAATAAGCCCCTGATTTAGACCAGTGCCTTACCTTGATGTACACAGCAGGGTCTACAACAGAATGGCAGGCAGCAAACACACTGCTGGTATTAGACAGAAGAGCACACCAGTGTTGGGCAAATTTTTCTGAATGGGAAAAAAAAAAAATAGTGCCCACAGTCACTTAAATCACACCACTATGTGAATTAATATTCTTATCAGGTATCACACAGACCTAGAATGTCCTGAAGTGTTCAAATGATGCTGGAAGGAAATAGTGGGCAAAAACATGGTGATAAGCATAATTGGATGGGTAAACTGTCATCTTCCAGAAAGAAAAGTTTCCTCCTTCCAAGTAGTAACACTGTTACTCTGACTGGATTTGCAGAACATCAGAAAAAAATCTCCATTTTCATTGTTTCTCATAGTTCTTTATGAAATATAGGCAAACAATAACACAAAGCATATAATATTTAGTGGGCTTTTATTATGGTTTATTATGGTAATACCTAGGAGACTACCCTCTAAATCTTCTATATAGTCAAACCCAGTCAAAATGAGAAGCTGGACAGGGCACCTAGTACAGAAGTGCCTACTGAAGTCAGTAGTTTTGACAACTTATTCCTATTGACTTCAGCACAGCTGTAACAACCTAGATGGGATGAAGATCTGGCCCAGATACTGACAACCAATTATGCTCTGCCTTAAACCTAAATTGTTCTCATTGATGTTGTGTGTGCTTTTCAAGCCATCAAATAAGGTGTTGGCTCTCTCTGCAGAAGTGTGTCTTTTTTAAAAAAAGAGCAAAGCTGCCACCTTAGCGACTTGCAAAAAACCAATGTGTTCTCTCTCATAATAATCTCAAAGGCAGTAGTGTTTGATGTCTACGAGCTTTCTAAAGCTTTTTCAGTTATTTATCATGGGAAAATTGTTTAGCACTGATAATCCATGAATGAAAAGCCTGCTACCTTTATCCACACTGTTTGAACAAGGATCTTCAAAGCTGTCCTCAACATCAAAACAGCTGGCTCTAGTTTTCCAAGAGTTACCAAAAGCAGAAGCTGAATCTTCCACAGCTCCAGTGGCTGTTCTGAAATCATCAGTCTGGATGTTATTGAAATTGCCACAAAGACCTTGAGTGGGTGGCAGGGAAGAAAAAAAAAAAAAAAAGAAAGAAATCACATGAGTGGAAAAAGGAATGACTCCAAGATAAATACCCTTAGCTCTATAAAGGTACTTGCCTGAAAGTAGCTCATTTTCCTGAAGTTCCCACAAATCAGACAGTATACTTACTGTCTTTAGTCCATAATTATTATTTTCTGCCTTACAGTAGTACTTAGTGATAGCACAGAGATTGGAGGCTGCTTAAATGTGCTTCGTTAAACACCATCAGAAGGAGAGTTCCTTTCCCCAAAATTTATAATCAGAGAAAATGGCAAAAGCAAAACAAAATGAATTGGAGAGATGGGATATTATCCCAATACACAGATAGGAAACAGTAGCACAAAAAAATTAAGTGATGCTAATGGAAGATAGGTGACAAAACCAAGATCCTAACTTGTATCTCATAAGTCTCTGATGATGGTCTGCTTTTACAGATAGAGTCTAAAAGATCTGCACACACTGAATATCACATAGCTTATCTTACTTTCTGCAGCAAATTGAAGGCTTTGGCCAATCCTTTGTTCCAGGAAGGCTATAGATTTAATCAAAGGTTCTAACACACCAAAGCCAATATAAAATGAAATAATTTATTCGCTTAAACTGATAAATCAAGTTGTAGCTGCTTGTCTAAGAGCAAACTGAAAGAATGTGATATGTCCTACCAGATGTGCGATTCTGATAAGAATGATCAACCATTATGGAGAGCTGCATCACAGGTTTCATTTGCACTCGAATCTGTACTCCAACTGAGCTCAAGATTTTGATAAAAAATGTAGAAGGTCTGAAGATGGTGATGCCATCTAAAAAGGAGAAAAAAAGAGAAATGAAAATGTATGTATGTACCTGCAAATCTTTATAAAGCTCAGTAAACAGGAATTCCCTTTTACCAGTGAATTGTGTGCACACCGGAATCCCCAGAGACTCCCAGACCTTGTATCCACCTAGGTCAAAGGTATCTGACAAGGGGCACGGTCTGGCTCTTCAGAGAAAGGAGCAGGAATCTGTCTTTAAATAGATGCAGGCTAGTCTGAGAACGATGTGAAGAAGACATTTACCTTTGCTTACTGGCAGCTTCACAATGAAATTGTTCATGTAGATATTTCCACAGGAACATATTTTTATTGTCTGAAGGGAAAAAGCAAAAAGCCCATAGTAATGAATGCATATGGCACAAGACAGACAACACAGCCTCACAAATTTCCATAAACATTAACAAGTTATGTCTTCAGAACATGATTACCTATGAGTTCAATATAACTCAGTGTCTGGATACCATACAGTGCCACAGAACAAATCTGTACTCCGTAACAAACCAAAAAAACATCTCCATGGACAACAACCTTGACTAAGTCCTCTTGCTTACTTAAGAGGTTAGTTATCTTTTGGAGAACTGCACTCAAGATGTTTCATGTAGGTTCAGATCCATCTCACTGAAAATGTAACATACCCAAAATGAGAGCTACCTGACTCAAACTCCCTCATAGAGACATGGCTCTACCACTCATAGACATACACAGTGACTCCTCCCATGGGCAGAGACACCTCCAGAAGCCGCCTCATGTATTAGGCAGACTGACTTGTCCTTTGAAGATCCCTATCTTCCTTTGCTGACTACAGAAGGAGGTTAAGATGCTGAGTCTCCTAACCCGGCTAGGACTACACTAATTAAATATCATTTAGACATAATGAATCCAGGCCTTAGGGATACTATTTTTGGACTCCTAAATATACACAGGTTTATTCTAAGTCTGTTTCCATTGAATTCAGTTTGAATCATGGCATAATATTCAGTAGGAGAAATCTCAGGCCTTCATTTGGAAAATTCTACTACTTCACTCATTGCATTAGGGAAAACCTCAGGACTTAATGCTGCTATAAAAATACAAGACTCTTACAGAAACATACATGTACATCTATCAAAAATAAAGAAATTAAAAACTTTAAAGTCACTGAAAAGACAGGAAGCCACAACAAAGATAATTTTGAACCATCTGCCTCTAAATAAAATGAAGAGAACAGAATCCAAAAGGAGTGGAAAGTAAATAACTCTTGTAGAACAAAACTAATAAACACATGCACGATATCATCTGCTGATATTAATCCTGCAGTGTCAGGACTGCAACTGATCCAAATGAGTCCACAGTATTAGAGAAACCCCATCTTTGAACCTAAATAAAAGTGACAGATTGTGTGTCACTAGCTAAGGCAAGTTACTTACAGTTCTTCCTAGTGTGACTATTACATTCTTTAAGCAAGTCATTGTCTTTGATGTCCCACACTGAACGATCTCTCCAATCACCACAAATGTGTCATCAGTGTTCTGAAAAGAGGTGAAAGGAATGTGCAGATACTGTTAGCATGCTATAGGAAGGGAGCTAGAAGGGAAAAAACGTGTCTCTGAAAGGCTAAAATGTAATAACAAAAGAAGTGGTGCATTTAATCTCTAACTGCAGTTTTATTTCATTTCCAAAACCAAGAATGATCACTGCCTTTCCCTCATTTTTTTTTTGCCATCAACCTGTGCAGATCATGTATTTGCAGTCACATGGCAGTCAATCTTTGTGAAGTAATCATCTCATCCACTTACTTTTGACAGTCACATGAAGAAAGCTTCAGAAGAATGCTTTAATCTACACTAATAAATCGAATAAGAAAATGAATTCACTATAAAAAAAGATGTAAAACCGTGTTGAAGTTGCAAAAGCTTGATGCTTAACATCACAGTTGACTTGCAGTCCATTGCAAATGGAAAAATTTACATGATTTAAGATTAAGCATGTGTTGAAGTGCTTTGTTGGATTGAGGTCATTTAATCAAACGAAGTTATATCAAGCTCCAGCACAGCTTAATGCTTCATGCTTGTCTAGAGACTCAGGAGTGAAATGGGAGATTGTTCATACCTTAGCTAAGACATAATGGCAGTTACCATGAAAATTGAACCTCTTATTATCAAACGTAGTTATATGGAATCCTCCATCTATATTGCAACTTCCAGAACATGGCAGAGAGACACAGCTCCAGTGGCCTCCTTTGCAAGTACTATACAAAATCCAAAAAAGGAGTAATTAGAATAAATATACTTTAAAGGAGCAAAGACTGAGATCTGTATCTGATTGGAACCTCTGTCTTATTAGCTGTTTGTTATTCATCTGCTTATTAAATTCAAGCAGGAGGAAGATTCTGTACTATGCCCTTTGAGTATAAAAGTTGAATGCCTATTGATTGGAGTTAGCTGCACTCAGCTTTAAACTAAATCCCTCAGAGACACTGAGTTGGTCAAGAAATATTCCAGGTCCTGAATTAGTTTCTTAACTTTTTAAAATGAAGAATCTCTTTGAGCAGGATCTTGCAACATTTTATGTTATTGATGCAACCATTCAGTGAGTCGCTGATGTGACTTCTCAGCAGCTTACTGTGGAGGACCTGAGTTAATGAGCTTTGTCAGTTCTTAGAGTTGTGAACACAAGGGGAGAACAGCCAGGCCACGTCAGCTTGGGCTTTCTGAAGAGTAAGCAAGGATGTTGCTATATGGGAATCACCCAAAGCCCATCAAGGTCATTTCCTCAAAACTGCAGGTTTTGAAGAGTATTTCCTGCATTTGAGGACAACGTAGAAAATACTTGATCCAAAGGGGTTTGCAGAATATCTGCTCTACCCAACCATGCACCACAGTGTAATCCACTGCTCCCTACAGAAAAGGTTATTCCTAAGGTTAAGAAAATGTACTGTATTTCAGAAACACAAAAACACATAGAATCGTTCATTTACTGGATAGATATCAGAATAAGAAATATCTCTTCTGAAAAGAACATACCCAAGGTCTTATCACATTTCACTATTGCAGAGTAGATATGGGTTCAAGGTACAAATTTTGCCAAATAATTTTCAAGAATCATGAGTTTTGAGATCCAAGCCTTGGAACAGCCCTTTATAGATCTAGAGATCGCTTGAAAATTACTCATTAACATGGTACGACCCTCTGCTCCACTTCAGTGGCCAATGCTTTTAAACTAACCAGCAAATAATCTCATTTTTCTGCATTATAGTAACTTGGGCTCAATACTTGCTGGCAATTCTAAGGTAAGGTGATAGCTATGTGAGGTTGAGGGCTGCCTCAAAGTTTTTCTGAAGGCTGTTGCAATTCAGACCTCAGTTTTTGTATTGGTGTCATAATTCCTTAAGACATTAGGAACAGCAAAAAGGAGAAAGGAACAGAATGAAAGTCATCAATGCTTTGCAATAATTGCCTCTTCCTTGTTACTGCAATCAAGTTCATAACAGTACCAGTTTTGGCAAGGAGTAGAGTAAGTCCCTCCAGATGGGTAGACTTTGCCTTGAAACATACAGGGGCAGCTGTCTCTGGGGACACATTTTTTGCCACCGAGGTCATCAAGGATGGTTCCTGTTCAGACATATTGGCTAGTTAATATTCCTCAGGTGAGTCTGGGAAACACCATGAAGGAAGATCAGAATAAGCAAAAAAAAAACAAACAAAACAAAACAAAACAAAAAAAACAACTCTGGAGGATTCAGCATTTCTGTAAATGATTGGGGTATATTTTAATGAAAACATGAAAACAACACACCAGGCCCTCTCAGGTGTTAATTGATGAGAAGCATTTTTTTACTAGACCTCAAATAAAAGCAACACAGCAATACAAAAGCAAAAGAGTATCTCTACATGTTACCCTAATCCTACACCTTGAGCAGGATTGTTAAATGCCAGACTGTAAACATATGAGCTAGTTTTCATCCATTTCTAATAGTGCATCTAGCAAATCAGAACTCAAATTCTGCATGTGCAAAACTGCTCAAGCATGTACCTGCCAATGCATTTATTTTACATGTGACTTAACCTACAGTCATAGCTATCATCCCATAGGCTAGATATACACCTACACTTGTAATAGGGAGGTATCTCACCAGACATCCTCAGCTGCATTTCTACTGTCTAGAGAACCTCTTTCCCTTTTCTACATCTGTACTTTTGTTTTTCTTTTCTGCCTAGTCTGTAGGAAAACATTCTTTCTCTCCCCTTCTTCAGTGTTATGATCTTGGATCTTTAGAGATCTGACTCTTCCAAGATGGAAGTTGCTTAATTATGCTAGAAGAAACAGTTTGTTCACTGCTTTTAGTGTAAAATCATAAAGAAAAAAAATTGCCACTAACTGAAAAGGAACAATATCCCTCTTTGTCCCTTGATGTGTGAGACCAATAGGAAGAAGCAGATGTTTTACCAGCAGGACAGAAACAGCCATCTGTACATGGGGTTTTGCAAATCTTGCTTCTTTCTGGGTCAGCACAAGTATCTGCACAGGAATTTCCACATTCCATGTATTCCATGTTGTTTGGGCATTCCTGATCTGCAAGACCAAATGAAAATATGGTATGTTACTGTTATAAGTGCTCTAAAATCTTTGCATTGCTGCCCAACTCCTTCCTCCTTTCCCCCATATCTTGGTTGGGGAATTCTCTATCATATTGTAATAACTTATTTTTGCCTCAAACATCAGTCATTCTGGCATTAGTCTTCTATCCCAATTCACAGCAGCTGTTTGGAAGAACTACCAGTAGCCTTCCCCCTAAATTTATGGTGATTTCCTGCCCAGTACCTGCAGCTACTGAGTTGAGGACCATTTAAGAACAAATGTGTTAAACTTCTCAGTGACTTCTTTGGACTAGACATAAAAAATTAAAACAAGGTTAATTATAAATTAACTGTGCATGGTAAAATTCAAATAACTGGAAAAAAAAAGCCATAAGGAGGGGGAAGATATCCTAATATAAGTTCTAATTAAGAAGTAAAATCAAGTTAAATTTCTAGCTTTTCCATTAACAATGTTTCTGTCAAAAGTACTTCTACAGATTACAGAATCACAGAATTTCTAGGTTGGAAGAGACCTCAAGATCATCGAGTCCAACCTCTAACCTAACACTAACAGTCCCCACTAAACCATATCCCTAAGCTCTACATCTAAACGTCTTTTGAAGACTTCCAGGGATGGTGACTCCACCACCTCCCTGGGCAGCCTGTTCCAGTGCCTATTAATTCACTGTAGTTAACAGAGTTCCTATCTTTGCTCTGCTGGGATCAGGGTTTGTACATATATGTCTAACCTGAAAGAGATCTCCAGAGGAGTAGTTACTTACAGCAAAGTTCTTTGGTTCTCCATTCCCCTGGGTCTCCCTTGCTGAGGACACAGTCCCGAGAGTATTGGTTTAAAGTGCTGCATATACAGCTGGAAACCAAATCGGTGTGAGAAGAATTAACCATGCAGCTGCACATATCCTCAGTGCAGGTAGCTACATAATCATCAAAAGCAACCACTTTGGGGCAGTTTCCAAAATGAGAGAGAAGTTTCTTGCACATTTTTTTCTGAGGGGGAAAAAAAAAAAAAAAGGAGGAAGAAGAAAAGAAAAGAAATAATTGACATTTTACCAACTTTCAGGTTTTTGGATGTGCATCCTAATGACACAAGTTCATGGAACTCCAGAGGCCACATAGGTCTGATCTTCTGTTATGTTTTTTTCTTGGACTGGAAGCTATCATAAAATTGTGTATTTTCCCACGACCTCTTTCATTAACATTACAAATAGGATATTCTTTCAACTATACAATAACATTTTGCCAAGATTCATGGTGGACTCCTGACAAAATCAGTTCACTGCATGCTCTGTAAATAGCCCTTGTTTCATACAGTCACTTCAGGGCTGTAGTTCAGGAGGGTTTATACTCCTTAGCCACACATACTTACATATTTACTGCATCTGTCATCTTCCCTCCTAGGATGCCTTCCAGTATGGTCATCTGGACTCACATCAGCACACTTTTCAGATGGATCCTCAACTTTGTGAAAGTTCCCAAACTGCCTTGGGTGCATTTGATATCCTGCAAAATCCCCAGATGCATCTGAGCGACTGCCTGCAATCATTTAGATCAGCCATTTTGCTATAAATATGCACTTCATTTTTGGGCTGTAAGGCCCAAAGTATGGTCTTTACTGAATGCCTCAGCTTAACCACAGCAATCATAATATAAGAAATAACAGCCTGGCATAATATCTGCTGGGCTAGAATCAGGAATTTTGCATGCTTGTATCAAGAACTGCTGGCAGTCTGGGCAGTAATAATCACATGAGATTATTGACCTTTCTCTTGCATGTCATAACTTTCAGAGTTCATTTTTTTATGGGTGCATTTGGACTTACAGAATTCTGTATTTGCATGTGTAATTGCCATACAGTTTAGTTTTCATTCTACTATCACATCCTAAAGTGCAGGCTTAGGTGCATATGCTCATAATCATCCGTGAACTTACTACTTTTCAAAGGATAGACAAGATGAGAAGACAGGCACACAATATATGTATTACACTAGTTATAGGGGTACACTTGACCAAGGCATTACCAGATAGATCCTAGATCTGTGAAACTTTTCTGACAAACAGAAGTTTGAAATATAAATATTTCAACCAGAAATACTGGATTCCAGTGGATATTGGTTCCAGTGGAACCAGAAACATAAAGGAAGAGCCTTGCTTTTCTCAGAGCAACGCTTTGCAACAGAAAACAGTTACCTCAGAAAATTTTGAACTGGCTCTAGGTTTTACAGATTGCAGCTGTGAAGTAAAGGGAAGAAACATGACTAAGATGTGCCCAAAAAAGCTTAATATCAAGTACGACAATGAGCTCCAAATCTACCACTACGACTGGTATATTTAATCAAATCTCACAGTTCCTTCTGAAGGGCTGAGGTAGATGACAGTATTTTTCTGGTGACCTAAAAAGTCTAGGTATTACATGAAGGGATGGTATTACAGTTTTGGCTTTAGTCCTGCATTTAGTACCCTGGGATGCAGCTTTCTTTCCACTCACACACCATGCTGCAGGATGGTAGCCTCATCTGTTTGCTGTGCTGGCCTTTCCAGCCCAGTGCAATATTTGAAGGTGTCAGTGGATGGCACCACGGTTTCTGTAAAGATGCTCAGTGAAATCTGTCTGGGTCAGCCATGGCACTGTCATTTCATTTCAGAGCCAAAACTAATCACACTTGATACCCAACTGTATAATGATGAAAATGGAAGGACAGAAAATGCAGTCATGGCTCATTTGAGACTACAAGTTCCTTAAAGTTTGGTACTATCAGTTGGAAACCTGGCAATGTTGCTACATGACAACTGGGCAATTAAACTGGGTTGATGAGGTTTGAGAGACTTGCAAGTTTGCAAGCAGCAGAGGATCTCAAATCATCCCACAACTTCTTACGTTGCACCTCCCATCTATAGAAACGTTGGGGTATTTCAGGGCATCTGTCAGGAAAACTGTAACCCCACTCAGAGGAAACAAAATTCAAGTTTCATGCCATATATTAACACACTCCTGTTCTCTGTGGAACACACTGCATTCATGGCCTACCATCCAAAATCAGATCATTCTTCTTATTGCCATCATAGTTCCCACAGAGACCACATATTTTCTCTTTATATGTTTCTTCCAGGTCCAGCTAAGAAACAAAAGCAGAGAGGAAACACAGAGTTTAAAGGCTTTTTCCCCCAACAGCAGCATATTACCAGATGGTTCACTATAAAAAAGCACACTGGCAGAAATGCTTTTTTTTTTTTATTACCTGTTTTCAGAAGTCCCCTTTTCAGTTACAAACCCGCCATGAAACCTACTGGCAGACAGGCTGAATTCAGATGAGATGATGATTTTCCAACAATTGACATTCCTACTACCTATTAAACAGCTAACTGCAGTGTTCTGAATACTGGACTAATCCTTGGACCAGGGTCTCCCAGTAGAGAGTACTGGGCAGCTAACTGTGCCCTGATGCTGGAAGATGTGAAAAATCAGCTTCCGGGCAGCTTTGAGCAGTATCTTTTTTTTTCTCTCTCTCTCTCTCTCTCTAGTTCATAGGCTAAATGGAAAACTTCATAACATTGCTATGGGTGGGTCTGCCCAGCATAACTTGTTCTGCCCATACACAGAGGCAACAGAGAGCCAGGTTAACACATTACAGCCTTGCTAGATAGAACTATTGAACTTAATCATTCCTACTTGCTTGGAGGGTAACAGTGGCATGACTCAGGTCCACTTACAAAAGGCAGTGCTTTCTACAGGCATGTCACGCTAAAACTGTGTCTGCTGCACAGGTGATGCCTGTAATACTTCAGGTATTGACTAGTACAGAGGGAGGGGGAAGCAAATACTTCATTAAATCAGTATTTAAATTACAGCTTGATTGCTTCCTGATCTTTTTTCCCCTCTGTGTTCACCTTCTACCCTCTTTCTGTCTCTTTGGCCTACTAAACATGACATAGAACTTCCATTTATTTACTCTCAGTCCTGATTATGGAGGATAAATGCTCACACCCAAAAGCGTAAATACACTACCACTGCAGAAGGTATTTTGGGGTGAATGTATAGAGGGAAACTCCCCCACAGCAATGCCCTGGAATGAGAGAGGCCAAGGTCTGCACTGACCACACTGATTAGTTTCCCACACGTGATGTGAATTGAGAAAGAGGGTAACTAGCAAGTCAGAGCTGGGGGCACTAGCTGTGTATCTGCCAGCGCCCCATGCAGGAAGCAGATAACTATAGAGATGCTATCTCCAGGGTTAACAGTGGCAGCTTTTGTCACGTAAAATTGCTTAGGGAGGCCTGGGTGTTGCAACTCTACTGCCCTGCCCCATGAAACAATTAACTAGTGTGGTATGTCCCCATCAGTTTATGGACACAGTGATACCTCCCCCCTCTGCCACCCCTCAGTATTCAACACGATGCCTGCATCCAGCTCTGCTTTTCGTCATTGATGAGGTTCACCAAGAGAAAAACAACTAACTGGCTGTTCATACTAGGAGAGTGTCAGCCCAGTTCCACTTGAGTGTCAGACCCAGCTTGGAAGTGACTTGGAAGTAAGCACAGGTGTCCTCAATCAGGATGCTCTTCAAGCTGAAGGGCATGGGGATCCTGGAAATTAGAGGGAACAAAACAGATAGCATTGGAAAATAAATAAATAAAACCCTCTCAGAAATATAGAAGAACTAGAGTCAAAAGGAGGCATATAAGTCATGGAGATATTCTTTTCAAGGTCAGCCTTCATCCTCATTAATGCATTAATTTAGGTCTATCACCTTGTCCACTGTGACATTCTAATAATCTTAATCCACAACACAATGTATTTTGGTTATGAGCATGTCAATAGCAAGTTCACCACTCTACGTATACCAATGCAGCACTGCTTGTTTACATGAACTGAGGCCCTAATTCAAAGCATTATAAGGAGCAAGATCACAATACTGGGATATCGCTCCCCATTTGAGGATACCACAGGTTATCATAATCTCTCCAGTATTTTCCTTGGTATTTTGAAGTCACAAATGCATTTTGGTCTGTTCTGCTTCCAATGTACTGATGTGACTCAGAGACATGTTAATTTTTGATTTAACTAAGGCTATTATTATTCACTTTCCTAACTTCCCCCCTCCACCCAACAAACAAACAAAATATATAAATCAGAAAATAGTTTCAAAATGGAAGATTTCTTGTCCTTTGATTTAGGAGATACATCTGAGTTATGTTATTATGTATTTGGCTGTTTATGGATGGCTATCAATAGAAGACAGCCCATAATGTTTGTGATTTTTCTCTCCAACAAGATTGTGAGTGTTCTTCTCAGAGATAAAACCTGCCTCAGCCCTTCATACCTATATGCTGGGAGCAGAACACTGCACTTGTCATGAAGTTTGCCCTTATAAATACACCCAGCTTTCATTACTATTGCACATGAGTGTTTATTCATGGAGTATTTTTAACCTTCTGCTTGCACTTTGCTTTCAGGTTTATTTCACGCTGGAATTAAAGGCATGGATTATGACTTTGAAAATTCTGGGCTTTGCATAGAAGACCCCAATGCAAGCTGTGATCTGCAAAGGAGTGCCATTTCTAGACGAATCCATCTGGAAACAGCAAACTTTTTCTAAAAGGATGATCTGTTTCTGAATAGCAACAACACTAAGGTTAGTGTCACAGAAATAATGTTTTGAGAAAAAAAATACTGAGTTACTACAAAATCAGTTCAATAAAGTGTTGATTTCATCCTCAATCCCACCAAACAGAAGCAACATTAAGGAAACCTACACCTTACGTTTTGTTACATACACGTTGCCTTTTCTTACGGCACTGCTGTTGAACCCTGGGAAGTGTAGTTCACATGCTTCTTGCCATCTGCACCACTACAAGATGGACTCTTCACAATACCATCTTCAACGTGCTATGAACAGATCGTATGCAGCTGTTTGCACCTCCACATGGTGGGACTCCTTTCTAGACAGACCCCTGATTGCTAACACCTAGCAATAAAATGACAACACAAGAAAACAGCCATACAGTCATTACTTACTGGTTTCCATTCACTGTGATGCCAGTCTCCTTCACCTCTAGGATCACCCCATCAATGGTGACCGTGAAGTAGATAAGGTGACTATTTTTGTCATTGCGCCTGATTTGGATGTTAAAGTCCTGGTAGCTGTCATTGCAGTGAGAAGCAAAGACATACGTGCAGGTTCCAGGAAAAGTGAACTTAACATGGTCAAACGTATGAAAGTGGAAATTGCCCCAGGTGGCACATTCACTCCTTCCAACAGTAGAGACATGGACTAAAGAAAGATTCAGAGGAGGGAGGTTAATGAGTCACCTTGCATGAGGTTTTTGTTGAAAAATATTAGAGATTTTTTGAATGCAAAAATGTAAACCCCCTGGAAGATACCAGCTTGTAGGAATGAGATTCATCGCAATTTCATTAGAAATCCATTTCAGAGAAACCTCCAATTGATCAGACAAACCCCGGCTCCTTTGAAGTTAACAGAATGAAGCAGAAGAGACTTAGCTTCCCTATCTTAGATATCTAGCTAGGAGGGAGATGAAACCTGCTTCAAGGCTGCCTGTTTCTTTCTGTTGTCTACAAAGGTTGCTGAGAGGTGTCTCCTTAGATAGAGACATAAATCTACATTCTAGATATCTAAAGTGGAGTGAGGGCAATCCCATCCTGGCTGCCTAAATGTTATTTCTGCCTTGGAACTCCTACCCCTTAACACAGACAAGAGTTTTGTCCTGGAGATCTTTCCAGAGGCCACCAGGCTTTTCAGCAAAATGGTAGCCACAGCTGAGGCTGCCACCAACTTCAGCAGTCAGCTCAGAACTACTTACTTTTCATCTCAAACAAACTTGTGTCTTGGAGCTGAGTTGTACTTCTGTCAATAGTGTTGCTAGATACTTTAAGTGCATTAAAGACATCACTTTAGAAAGTAGTTTTCACACCACTGAGATGCATAAAGCCAACGTGAACCAAAGAAATCTACACCTTGAATTAAATAAGACATGCTTGTTACATTATGATTTTGTCATCTCTTCTGGGCCACATGAAAGAATGGTAAGCAAAAATGAGCAAATTTGTTTGCACTATTAATGCATCACATTTAGGAATTACAACATGGCAACTTCCTTCATAGATCAAAATCAGTTATTAGTATACTCAGTGAACTCTAAAATGTTATGAGATATTCATACCTAAGAAACAGCAGGGGAGCACAGAAAAGAAATCTAATCTTGTTAAAAACAAGAAAACTCAAGTGCCAAAAACTCAACAGAAACTCAATTGCCAAAGCATTCTCACAAAAAACAGTTGTTTAAAGGGATTGTAATTTATATAGGTGTTTGCAGCACTGTGAGTGGAATAGGAAAGTGGAATGGGGTAATTTAGCACAGTTTTACACAATGAAGGAAAATTAGAAAGTTTAGTTTCTTCTTGGGAGTTGATTTCTAGAATTACTAGTGCAGCAATAACAGTCACATCAATTGTTTGTATATTAAGTGATTAGGAAAAGTATAAGACATTCAGAACCAGACCAGGAGGTAACGGTGCAAGAGACCACAGAAGTGTGGTTACTCCTAATGCAGTATTTCATACTGGTCAATCAAGCTTAGCAGACATTTTGCATACATTTTTAATAGAACAAGCGTGTCAACATAATGTGTAAAAAAGGGTGACACTTTTTTTTTTTTTTTTGATGCAAACTGCATGCAGAGAGTCTGCTTTCTAACATGAGTTGCTTAAAACGTAAAGCAATTGATAAACTACACAGTGGTGGGAAAAAACAACAAAAAACAACAGAACAACAGTAAAACTTACATGGCTTAAATAAAAGATGAAAAAGCAAAATATTAGTTTCTGGCACATCCACAGCTCTTGTGAATATGTTATATGTTTTCATTTGATAACTCTAGTTGTCACTTATGGAGATCAATATGCAAGCAAATAATCTTAGATTTTTTTTCTTACCTATCTGAACTGGTTCTTTGCCCTTGCAACAACTCCAAATTAGGCAGAAGATCCAAAATGACCTCCCCTTTTTTATTTCCATCTTGCCATGGAGCGGTAACTTGAAAATCCTTCCAGGGAAGTGTGTTTTTCTTGGCTTATAGGCAGATTTTTATAGTCCAGGAATTTGGCGTGAGAACAAAACATTGATGGCAGGGTCCCTGAAAGGTGGAGCTTCATTCATTTTTCTTTCAGTTGTTCATGTTTAGCACCCAACAACGTTCTGTCTTTCGGAAAAGACAATTATCTACTTCTCTCCTTTATGTGGGGATGGAGAGCTGTCATTTTCTTAGCCCCTTTTTTTTTAAAATATGTATTTCCCTCCCTACACTGTTTCCTTTTCTTTAGTGAAAATCACTTTTCATTTTCATAGCATCTGATTAGTAACAACCAATTGTTGCCCTCTTTTTACAGTTTTTCTCTGGTTTGCACATCAGCACAGTCCCCCAGCTCAAGGAGAAATGTTTGTTGCCTCTGCTGGCTTGATGTTTTTTTCTGAATGGTCAAGCAAAAAATATCATAAGATCAAATATAACATATGCTTATAAAGAGTCATAACCATCAAAAATCCAGGGAGCTCAGTCATGCTCTAACCTATGTCCTACTGTAGGACAGTTCTTAGATATGCCATCACAGGTGTTTGATGTTGGTGATTTCAGGGTCTTCTTTAGAGATTTACCTGCTGTGTTGGCACAAGCTGACCTTCAACTTGTCCGTGCAGTGGGGAAATAACTTCTGTCAAAGAGGAAGCCCCTCACCCACCCCAGGCAAATCAGGCAAACATGTGTAACAGCTGTTCCCACACATTCAGCTGCTCCATGCCCCTTTGGGAATAAATTAATACCAGAATGATTCCCAACAGAAAGCGAGCAGAAATGTGGCTTGAAGTGCATTCAGGTTTCACTCTTGTTGCAAGTCCTCAGGCCAAGGTAGTCCACAGACTTGCTGGGGAAGACCGATGCCCTTTTATCTGGTTGGCAGACAATGAGCCAGCCTTGAGGACTACATCTTGCTCACTGCTTTACCAAGCTTCCTGGCATATGCAGAGTTAAGTATCCTAAAGCTGGCCCCCTGATTGTTTCAGCTGTTCTTCTTAGATGTTTCTGAGCCACTTTCTAAGTGGCTTACAAAGGTGTAGGTGCAAACATCTGCCAGGTGATTTGTGGCTGCCGCTGCTCTTAAGAAAGCCCTGCACCGGCAGGCAAGAGCATTGTGCAGCACATGAAACATGAGTTCACGTTACCCCTTTCCCACTGCCTGTGCCCCATTAATTCCATTGTCAGTCATACTTGAGGCAGGGCACTATTGGAAGGTAAAGTCTGTTCTTGAAGCCCTGCCATTTTGGCTGGGGGACAAACTGACAGGCTGTATGGCACTGGTGCAGGAAGCAATAGATATCTGCTTCTTTTCCTTTTAATCACAATGCATATTTCCCCACTCTTCTCCACCCAAACAGTTATAACATAAGACTGCAGAATACCTAGTAGATAACACAAACAGTGACAATAGGACCTTATAGATACCAGGATGACCTGAAATCCTACACAGTGCAGTAGTAACCCTCAAAGTCAGCAGACTCTCATAGTAACTTTCAGGTTGAACTTCTGATTGATGGGGCCTCCTCATTCAGACTACAGAACAGTGATAATTGCAGGTGTGGCAAAGGATTTTGAAACCAAGGAGGAAAAGCACATAGGGTAGTAGCCCACAGCCACTGACATAGAAAGGAGTGTTGTTAAGGCTAATGGTGGAAAGCTGAAACCTATTAGTTTTCTCAAATCAAGGCTAGTTTCAAAATCCAAGGGCAGAACTCTGTTGAGATATAGTCCTTTTTATTTTTATAATTGCTGTCCTCTTCCTTTCCAATTCCGACTCAGACAATCAAGGCGAACAGTTCATTCACATTGATCTGAGAGCAGAAAGAAGAACAAGAACCCAGTGATCTAATTCCTGACCCTAGAACAAAATCGCTTTGTCCCCCATGGGTAGCAAGAAAGGGACAGGAACAACATATGAAATACTCACCGATGATAGCCTTCAGATTGGAGTGGTCCACAAGGACACAGCGAGACTTACTACCACAACTCTCAGCCCTTATCTCCTACACGGGGTTCAGGGGCATGCCAGAGTGTGCAGGATGAGCTAAAGCACGATTTCCCCCTGGAAGCTTCAGTCAGCACATATGGTCCTGGGAGGAACATTAACGGCACACATTAGAATTGTGTCCAAGGGACAGACAGAATAAAACAAAATAACTCATTGCATTGCCGTTCATTTCTGCTGCATTCAGCACAGAAAGTAACATCAGCCATCTGGAATCGTCTGCTGAGAGGACATGAGCCCTTTTCTTGCTGCTGAGCGACACAGCAGACCTAGTCCTCCTGCTCTGCACCATTTACTTACCTCTGCTTGTCTGCTCCGTCACCTTTGCTGCTGCTTTCCCATTTCTCCAGGAGCAGAGATCCTGCTAGTGACTAACCAGGGCTACTGCTTCTGGCTTCTCTGCTGAGAATGTGGGCTACACTCGTTGGAAAGCATTGGATACCCTACTCCCTTGCAATGATTTCAGGGCAACTGACATGTGGAGGATATTTGCATTCAAATTAAGTCTTTATAGTCAAGTGTGGCAACACTGAGGGTTTCAGAAGGAATATATGGCAGCTTTTTTTTATTATTATTTTTTTTTTTTAAGGAAATTCAGTCCAACAGGTACTTTGTGAATACATTGATCCATTACTACTGAATTACTGCTATGACAGGTATACAAGGTATAATTAATCCCCCTAGAGTGACACACCAGGATTAATAACTCTTCCCTTTATTGGGCCCTCTAGCTCAAGAGGCCTTCACTCTGCTGCAGCTGTACTATCAAAAAGAACAATTCCTCTTGGCCCCTTTACAGCCCATTTCATGGATCATTTGCCATTAAAGGGTATGTGATTTTAGTAAATACAATTGGTAAATATTAACTCAACTTCTTTATCGCCACTGACTCACTGGAGATAAACCGTCATGAAGGTAACGTAATACACCAGTGACTCACAACCCATATTTTTTGATACAAACTTGGTAAAGAGGCACTCAAACTGTGGGCATCTTGGGGATTAATACCATTTCACACCCAATTACTGTACTGAATCCCAGGTTCACTGGTACTGAACTGGTAGGGTTCTGCCTGGAAATCCTCTAATATTCCCCTTCCTTTCAGGCAAAAGTAACACTACTATATCTTACAATGTGTAGCCACAATGAAATTGTGTTTTACCAGCACTGCCTAGATAATAACTACAGAAATGCTGTTTACTTCATTAAGAAGGTGAAGTTAGCTGGAAAACAATTACTTAGGAATTGATAGAAAGCCCTTTTGCACTGATATTCCATGTGATAACATCTGAAATTAATTTGGCAAAATATTTTACCTAACTGACAGTTACAACACTGTATTACACACTTAATTGCCAGAATTCAACATGGATTATGTTTTTATTGGTATAATCCAATTGAATTTAGGAAATTTATTTCAAAGATTTGTTTGGTCCATCAGGTTTGCATCCACCACACAGTTTGAAATGACTGGCAGCGTAAGGTGGTCTGTAGCAGGCAGAAGAAGAACAGGGACTGGGTCTCTGTCATTAATTGCCTATTAAAATACATGAAGAATGTCTTCGATATTTTAATTTTGATAGGAGATCGTTGGATGTTTTCTTACATTTTTGCCTTAGAACAAACATAAAGCTCCTTAACATCTCATCTTGCCATAGGGTTCCTTGACCTTTCCTGAACTAATCAGAGGCATCAGTTACTCCCATTTGCAAGGAATCAGTTCACTTGTTCTTTTTTTGTGTGTGTGTGTTTTCAAGAAGATGTAGATCTTTCAAAATCCACATACAAGGAGTAATGACACGGCTGATTGGTGTTTGTGCACACAGGTCTCATTGACCCATTGGCACTTCCTCACTTCAGAAAGACTCACTGCACAGAAAGCCATCTCACCAGGGGGCTGGGCCCTTGGGCTTTCTCTACCTTAAAGATTTTTTTTTTTTTAAACAGCCTTCCTGATGGAAAACATGGTGTAGCAGAACAAAGAGAGCTCCAGGCCCATTTGGGGAAAAATATGAACTGATGTTTGTATAACCCTGAAATTACATGAAGTTATACATGCAGTAACCACTTCCACAATGACTGAAAGTTACTACAAACCAAAAGAAAGGCAGAGATTAACTGCTTTGGTATGGTTTGGCTGTATTGCTGCTTCTCCAAGTGAAGATTAGCATCTGCATCCTTCTTCTCACCCTTCAAAGCAAATGAGGAGGTTTTATCTGCCAAACATATCATATAATATAACCAGGAATAAATTTCCAGGATGATTCTTAAAAGTTACCCTTTGTCTACTAGTGTTTTATATAAATGTGCATACATGAAGTATATAAAGAAATTACAGAACATTTTAAAGGCTATAGACCCTTCCTTAGCTTAAACTGAAACCTACAGAAATCATTTGTGTTGAAGGGGAATTGCTTCGCACTGGAAGATCTGTGATTTCCTGGAACTAAGGAAGCTTCGTAGCAGCTGGGAGAACCCAGTTCTTTGTCAAATGTGGAGAGGAGGCTAGCCAAAAGCATAGCAAAAGAGACACACAGTATTTTCTGTCTTTAAATCAGGCTGCAGCAGAAGTGCATTCTGAAATGGAAGCTGTTGCACTGAAGCAATATCAAAAATACATAGAGTTCTACTATGTTTTCTGAGTTTTCTCAAAGTCTTGGAATAAGGAAAAAAAATACATGTGATGTTTTTCATCATTCTAGAGACAAGTTTGTGAAAGGAATTCAAGCATATTTACATATCAATGCTGAAAAACTGAACCATTAAAAAAGTCCAATTTAAACACACAAGATTATATAAGGGTAATGAAAACAAAAACAACAAAACAAAACAAACAAACAAACATATAAAAAAAAAAAGTATAATGACTTTCTACATTAGGGATGGGAATATGACTTATATAGCCCAATTGGAAGTTAATCTGTGAGGCTGACACTTAAAAGCACAGAGGCTTACAGTAACCTGAAAAGATTGAGTTAATTTAGTAAATTTGGCTTAAGAAAAGGGCTGCTTAACTAGAAGAACTTGTTCTCCATTAAAATATCTCCACCACCCAAAGCTGCTGCTGAGAGATGAAATACAAGAAATTGTATATCAAAGCTACAGTTATTTAAATAAATTTCAGCTTTTGTCAGACATAAAGTTCACAATAATTTCTCTTCCTGTGATTTTTGAGTTTTTCAGTCTATTTCTGCTTCCTCTCTTTTCACAGTATCTGGGTTTGCTCTGTTACACAAGTTCAAACAGTGTACAACAAACACCATAACTACATGATTATTTACTCAGGGCTTTGCCTTTGCTGAAATCCTTTGATTGGGACTTATGTGCAGAGTTGCATGTGCTTAGTTCAGTGAAGTGTGGTTTAGCAGAGTACAGTCCAATGGTAAACATAAGGAAAATTCTATCTTGCCCTTCTCCTACAGCAAAAAATGATAATGTCGTAATATGGAATTACAGCATTAAACAAGATAACTACCGGATCAGAAATCCCTATCTTGTATTCTTTTGTGGAAGGTTGTTCTTGGTGTGCATGGAGCTTTTCCCCCTCATTCTGAATCCCATCCACCTCACCTCAGATTATCAGAAGTGACTTTTTCCATACTGCTAACAAGCATATGCCTTTTTGCCTGTGGTGTTCTAGAAACAGTCGTACAGTAAAATGGTTCATAAAGCAGCTGTGTTCACTTTATCTGGAAATCTTCCGAGAACTCATTTTTAACTCCAGATGAAAGTTCTTACTATATTACTGTAGAGCCATGTGAACAGCACCAAGTTTCCAGTACCACTCCAAATAGTTAGGAAGAAACTGTCTGGTATTCAAGATATCCCAGGGAAGACTACAACTAGTAACAAAACCCATACACTTCCACAAACAAGGTACACACTGCAATCACCATGCTTCTAGGGAAGCATGTAACTTACTGTAAGGAAGACTCAGGGTGCATTTCAGGGAATACGTCTGTGTAAACCCCTGCCCCAGCCCCAAACAGTCTACAAAGCAAATGGGCAATGAGCTTTTCTTTTAGGAGCTGTGGAGGTCCTCAGTTCTCTTTACTAGTGTGGCAATGGCACCCTATCTGAGCTGTAGGCAACCCGCTCAGGTTTTCTCCAGCATTCAGTGGTGGTCTCCTACACTGGGTCTATGCTGTGAGGAGCACGCTTTAAGACAACAGCTGCCTGGAAAGGATTTTTTCAAGCTTCTGATTACCTTGGAGGAGCCTCCATCTGAGGAAGGAACACAAAATCCCAGCCTCCAGCAACCAAGGCATTGCTACAGGTAAATTGTAGCTCCAACCTGTACTTCGGATACAGTCAGAAAGTCTAGGAAGAGAACACAGGACTCAGGTATGGAGACGTGAGCAAGTTCCAGCCAACCTGCCACCCTGCTGAACTCTGCTGGAGCTCTTGCTACTGTTTCCTTCTTGTTGGGCCCTAGGGGACTGTGAAATTCCTGGAGGACAGCCCATTCTCCTACAGCACCAATACTTTTTGTGAAGTTGTCAACACCTCTTTAGGTCTTGGCTGGGAAGCAATGGGATCAGAAGATTTCACCATCTTTTCTGCAGCCCCGAAATGGCTTACAGAGCCTTGTGAGAGATTTCTCAGTTACTCTCCTGGGTTTTCCAAATAAGACTGCGCTCATGCAGACACAACAGTTGTTGTGTAAGAAACCAAATGCTTCATGGGCTCAGACAGGACAGGTCTCCATTTGCTTTCAAGAATGTTGTGGGAAAGAGTGAAAGTGCTGCTCATTGCCACCACTACTGCTCTCTTTGCTCTCTTTGAAGGGATACAGAAATGAAGTGCTTTTTTTTTTTTTTTTTTTTTTTTAGACTGAGAGGCTATTTGAGGATTTATCTGCTAGAAAAAAGTTCAGACTGTTCAAAATTTAATTTTGTTACCCACTCCCAATGGAAACACAGGTATGTAAAGTTCTGAGGGGACTAAATGTGCAGAAAAGGGTGGAGGTTTGACACGTACAGTTTGACCTGGAACTGCCAAACATTTGTAAGAAATCTCTGGCAGTGCCTGCTTGGGAACCAGCCTGCTTATAGGCAGCACTGACAGCACTGACCCAGCAGAAAAACTGAAGGGGCTGCTATAATCCAGAGCACTGTAAGGAACACCATGCTTTGCATGCGTGTCAACTCCCATCAGAAGAACTTCTTTTAATTCTTAAATTCTTACTGAAAGCATGCAAGTGTCTGAGGAAATAGCAACATTCACTGTTCTCAGAGGTAAAACTGTACCTGGCAAAGTATAAATTCTCTTTTGTAGGCAGATGGCTTTTCAGGTGGCCTTTTGTTTTTTTTTTTTTTTTTTTTTTTTTTTTGTTTGTTTTTTTTTTGGTCTCCGAAGTAATTTTGCATTCTTAGCCTTAGACTGCCCTATAGTGGCAAAAACAAAATTTGCAGCGTTACTAACTACACAGGATCTTTTAACTTCTGTATTTTCAAGTAGTTTGCATGTCACTAGGAGGGACAGAAAGAGCCCATGCAGACTACAAAACAAAAATGAAAAAAATGAAGTCAGGGACATTTTAGTCTTTAGTGTAAATATAGTGTGCATCAAAAAGCCACTAATGATGGATTTTTTTTATCCTTTTCATAGGAAACAAGGCAAAATTGATCACACCATGTATCTGCTTGTCTCCAGAAGTGATTCCAGCCAAATTTAACCGCAAAAATGAAAATCTTAAAGACAGCTAATGACCAACAGATTTTAAAACAAGTGGTCTTTAAAAACAACTCAAGGAAAAGTATGGTTGTCAGCACAGAGGTTCTTATATAACAACGAAACCACCAGAGAGACTGACCTGGTAAATGCTCCAGGAGAAAAGTCTCATTCACATCTCACACTGTACCTAGAGAAATCCTTAGATCCACATATTGAAGTAGAAACCAGGCTTCCATTGCGCTGGAACTTGATACATAAAGTGACTAAAATTTTCTTCATAGATCAGCTGTCTTTCCCCCACCACAGAAATTAGCTCTCTAAAGGCAGTATTTTGAAGATGCCAAATTTCTGATGTTTCATATTCTGTACATCCCTGCTAGTCTCTGCCTTTTAAGCTGCAACACATTCTTACCCTCAGAAGGGTAAGACAATTACTGTTCATTAACAGAAGCAAAAATAATGCCAAATACAATTTCTGCACACAGCAGCAAGCGTGTGTTACTCTAATTGTACTTCAGGTATCTTCAAGAGAACTGTCCATCTCTCAGCTAATCTTCAACTACCTTTGCAGCAACATCAGATAAACAGGCACTTTGGAATACAATTCAGCTAATCTCCTTTGGCATGAGTTGAATGAATGTTGAAAAGAGCCATTGCACTCAATTTCCTGTAGAAAAAAACTAGGACTACTAGTTTAGATATGGACATCTTTTTTGTGAAGCTTGAAATTTGAAGACCTCCTACTATAGCTATAAATCTAGTATACATGTATATGAGATGTATATGCTATACATCTAGCATATATCTGAGGGATATATACACTGGCTATACATCCCTCAGAGTTCAAACAATGTGAATAAACTTCATATCCTCACAGCTGATGGACTACTTAGTGAAAAGACATAACAGTGATGAACTGAGACTGTTCTAACTCACACACAGCCCTACTAAAATGAGACCTGGTGCTGAACTAGAGTGAAAGTTTCTCAGAGTTATCTGAATCATTTTATAATGCATTATTCACCTTCAGCTTTGCTCTGGAAGGCGGAATAAATTTTTTGCCCCACCTTACATGTTGGCTCCTCCAGACAGAACCTTCTAATATTTCATTTTTTTGGGAGCTATAAAGAAATACCCCAAATATTTGGGAAATACATCAACTCACTTCCTATAACTTGAAAAAAAAAATCCTTCTCTTTTAAAATTCAGGCTCATCTAGATAGCACATGAATAAACACAAACCCCATGTTGTTTGAAATGCACTTTTAATCATTCAGAGAAAATAAGCTGATTATTAAACAATCTAGAGGGCTATGCACTTAGGAGAAAGTTCACTGTACTTTTGTACACAAATAAATAGAACACTGTTAAAAATAGTCAGAGAACACATAGAATATATTAACTGGGAAAAGCAAAGTTTAAAAGTAGTCAAGGAAGATGAGAGCAGTGCATAGTCCCTTTAAATGCAGTTAGGTTTCTTCGCTTTCATTTTGTTGTTAAACTGATGGCTTCTTATGCGGTTGGAGTGCTAGTGCTCTCGTTATTTTCTTCTAGGCTCAGAGGCTCACTGGATTGTGGGATGTTGCAATGAGTGTCCTGGCAGCTGCAGCTTTCCACATATACATACTTATGTTGAATTGAGCGCCCAGATGGGCATTTCAGTTCCACTTCCCTCGTGCTAGTTTTTGTTTCCCTGCAGCAGGAACAGCTGTGCTCCAAAGAATTGGCCTCAACAGAATATCTGTTAAGGTGGAGAAAGGCAACATTACTTTGTGCTAGAAGCCGGTGTACATAGGAAAGAGTAAAGTTAAGTATAGAACTCTGTGAGGAGTTTGGTATAATATCTAGAAAAGCCATATTAAAGCTAGTGAATAGTGCTGAGTTCATCTGACAGAGCAGTTGTTTTAACAATATGCTTTTAAAATTCATTCCATTTAGCTGAGATTTTCTGGTTAAGAAAAAAATAAATAAAAAGAATCAAGATCCTACTAAAAAAAAAAAAAAAACACATTAAGTTCTAGGAGCTCGGATTCCTTGTATTCCTCTCATCATCCCAGCACTGGTGGATGTTAAATACACCAGATCAAAGAATGATGAATGATAAATACCCCAGACCAAACAATTAAATGCAGATGCAGCTCTGAGCTGAGTAAGAAAACTACATAGATATGTGGTTACAATGCCATCTACGATGGCATCACATCAATCAACAGGCTACAAGAGCTACACTTGTATCAAATAAATCACAGTGTGTATTCCAAACCCAAGTTAACAGGAAGATGAACCAGCAGCTCCTTCTGTTGCTAGCTCACAATAAAGCAGTTTTTCTGCAACCTTGTGTTCATTAGGTTCCCAAATATCACTCCTAACCTGCAGAACCTGTCAGTATCAGCCTATAAATTGTGTCAAGAGCCATCTTTTTCTTATGTTTGTGTACAGAGGCAGCCACAGCAGGACAGTAAGACTATGAGATATTTCAAAATACTAATAATCCCTCTGACTAACTGGGGTTTAATCTTAAACTAAAGATGAGGTTAATCCCATGTAAGGTGCCCTGTGGTATATTCAGTGATAGGCAGCAAATAACATTTACTTTGGGAAGTTAGAATTATATATTTTTTAATGTGTTTTAATAGCTTAGTACCAGGTGTCACACCAGCCACTTTCTTATAGCTAGTAACACCACCCATAAGGCATTTGTTTTCTCACTTCGTTACTGTATTAACAGTCATTCATGTTTGAAACTTCCTTTAAAAGACAGATGTGTATTTAATCTTATATGTTAATTCTTGAGAACCACTTTTCAACTTATGAACATCAGGTTTGGCTGCTCTCTGGGCTCATTCACATTACAAGAAATAATCCACGTTCTCTTGTGATGACTTCTGTCCAAGATGGTCTGACAAAAATGACAGACAAGCCATCTCTTAATGAATGAACAAACCTTATCATATCTGGCTAAATCTCAATGCAATCCAATACCCTTTTCTGCTTTGCATTAAAATTAATCAGCTCTTCACTTGTCCATGATTTTGTACCCATGAGTTTGAGAGCTGATAGTTTCAGGTCTAACATTCTCTAATCTACCTATGTGTTGTTCCTTTTATACAAATAATGTCAGTGACAGAATTCAAATCTCATTGTCCAATCAGTTTACTTACAGTGAGAAAGTTCCGCATGTTCCTTCACATTCAGTCATGACAACTCTCTCCACAGAACGGCAGTTCTTATAGACAATAAAGTCTTCTCTTTCACGGACAGAGCACGGTGTGGGACTATCCAGAGGTACACCTAAGGGGAAAGGTCAGAGCATACATTCAGTGAAATAGCTCCATAAGTTCCCTGCGGTTCAGCACATTTGGCTTAGCTAGTGTGCTGAAAAATTGTCTTAAGTGGTATTTCAGCTTCAGTTTAAACTTTCCCAGAGAGTTTGGGCACTGAATACTTGGAATAACAAACATAAAGACAAGAGTATCTATTCAAATAGTAACATATCAGCCTCCATTATATGGGCTAATATAAGAAGAAAATTACTTCTGTTTTCTTGGTTCAGGTATGCTGACATACTTACAAGTTTTGCAACAACCGTTAGGTAAGAATGTAATAGTTCCCTAAAAGAACAAAAAAGACAGGAAAATAGTATTATTTTCATTCCCTGAATTAAAGAGGCTTTTAGGCAAATAACTGAGGAGATAAATTCCTTATTGGCTAGAAATTAGTAGCTAAAATTCTAGCATCTGAATAAACAGACATAATTGTCTATACCAGACTTGAAATCTATCAATTTACAGAATCACAGAATCACAGAATTTCTAGGTTGGAAGAGACCTCAAGATCATCGAGTCCAACCTCTGACCTATTTACAGACAACCATGGAAACAGATTATGATTTAAAGGAAATCTACAGTTATCATCATGCATTTCTAACTCAAAAACAGTCCCAGAAAAACATTTTTATCAGGGACTTCTATATTTGAATGGTGCATAGTGTTATTGGCAGCCTACTGTCTGAACAGCTGTGATATTCAAGAAAACATGGCTCTTTTTCAGACAGGACCCCACACAAAGCAATCAGCAAGGACTTTTATTTCAATGCTGACCATTTTTTTTTTGGCTACTGAGAGATGCCAGCAATAGGCTTCAAACTGTAAGCCAGGTACCTTGTTTTATACACTGTGTAGGTTTGTACATGGATGCAGTGAAAACCTGTGCCCTTGGGACAGAGAAAATTTGGAGAACAATCATCAAAGTTGAATGTGACTTTTGTTGCTAGTTAGGTGGCTGCACTAGACTGAACTAATTTATACATTAAGTAGAGGGTGAGTTTTCCACTTACAGATTTACAGCTCTCTGCACTGAACGCTGGACAGGTAATCTCAGATGTGGAAGAGATAAGCTGGTTTTGGAGTCTTGTACAACTATAAATGGTGCAGTTGTCATAAGGATCTTTTACAAACTCTCCAGGCTGCAAGTGAAATACAAAATGTAATAAGAAAAGCTGAAGGGAGCTCAGGCAGAAATTTTCCTGTCTTCTGACGACGACTTTTGTATTGTTTCCCACTCAATTATTTTTAGGTTAGCAGCCATTTTCAATACTGATTTTTGTGTGTATTGCAGTATGTCACAAGTGGAGAGAATCTTCAGTTGTCCATGAGATTTCCCTTGGAAGAGAAACCCTCTAAAGCATTTAGAGCACATTAGCTATATTAACAGTCATTCATACCAATGGATTTTACCTAGGGAAAGCTAAATAGGGGCAATAAAGTTGTTTCATATGCAGGCTTTTCTAGCATTCTTCAGTACACAGAAATTACATGTAAATAATATAGAAAAGCTCACAAAGTTACACTAAGCCTTATCTCTGCCAAAGGGATGTTCACTCTGAAATGGGGAAGTTTACAGATTTGGTAGAGATGTAAGATGTAGAACATACTTACACTCAATATGAGGTTGGAACTCTGTGATGCATGTATAATACACTTAGTCTGCACACATTTTCCACAACATTCACCTTCCACTGATTGCCGTTCATATCCCTAGATATTAAAATGAAATAAAAATGAGAGCTCTGATAGATGCATTGAGGAGAAATAAGTGAAAACATACTACCCTGTGAATTGATTATGCTTAGAAGTGTACTCTAGAATTTTGCTTTTCTGTGCCTGAATATCACTGACTCCACAGAATGCAAGTAATAAACTTAGGCTATAGATAGAATCAATTAAAGCACTGTAATAAATATACCTAATAACTAAATATCATTCCACTAAGTGCTCTACAGAAATTTGTTAGCTAATCCTACCAACATGAACTGAATACTGTTGACTACATTGCCAAGCTACATAAAACAGATTGCTCAAGGACAGTCAGTTTCCAAGCCAGAGTTGGATTCTGGATTTCTGCTCCCTATCCTTCAGTTATGCAACAAATTGATCACAGTATTTTTCATGTACATGTGTATTTTAGTTTTGTTTATTTGTTTAAGTTTGTCACTTACAGGTTCACAATATGTGTCACATGGAACGTGTTCACAGGAGATGACATTCAGTTGAGTGCTGACATTAACTTCGTTAGTGCAGAAGCAATTCTGACACTTATCAACAAAGACTGAGGAATTAGGCTATAAATTTAAAGAAACAAAGGTTCATGTATTAATGAGATATTATGTGTGACAGACATTACTTAATTCCCAAAAGCCTTTTGACCAAACAATGGAATAGGAATCCATCATAAACACTACTGGATAGCTATTTAGCTAGCTGTTTATGACATCATCATCAATATTGAACTTAATTTAGTATGTCTTCATTGAAGTCCTACACAGCAATGATGAACTCAGATATTAAAAGCAGAGAAGTCAACATATACAATAAATCAATTACTAGACTCAAAAGAACTTAATTGGGAATCTAAGTCCATTCAGAATAACCCTTCTTTACAAATCTTTTCATTTCTGAAAGCAGAGTCTTAAAACTGAAATAAAGTGCTGACCGAAAGTGTGGACTAAATTTAAAAATGCATACACACTTTACTCTAAAACCATATCCCTCTCTGGTACTGACATTTAGAAACAATTCTTCAGTCTCTCACACATGTCAACATTTTCAGAAAAATTTTAAACTATGCTGAGCTGATAAATCCCTGACAGGAATCTGAAATTTTCTAAAATATTCTTTCTACTGGATAAACCTCTTCATAGCACCTCAGCTAAAGTATGCTAATTGGTCTTTCAAGCATTTTCAGAATACTTTTGAAACAGGAACTTACCAAGAACTCAGCATTCTGATGTACACAAACCCTCTTGGGAACTGTTAACAAGGAAGGAGTTAGGCAGTTACATCAGGGGAAAAAAGAGTCTTTACCCAACTCTAGTCACACTCATTTCTTCCACAATGAATCACAATGCTTTTGTTCAAATACATGGGTTGTTTTCCATTTTTAGTAGCATATAAGGCTTATATAAAGTAAAATAACAAATACTTCACATGTAAAAAGGGAGGAAGATTTGGCCCAATATATGTAGTCCAGTTCATAGCCAAGAATGTTCACCTGACAGTTACAAGAAGTTACCTGTTTCAATTACTAAGAATAAAACAGACTTTGTATTGCTATCTTCTCTTGGGCACATTAACAGGGACATTTTGCTAGGTTAAACTGAGACCACAATCTCAGTTAATTCTGTAGCTTTTCTCACAGGTACTTACAACCAGGAAAGCTGCACTTGAACTACCAGAGCTCTATATGATTTTGCAGCTGTGTGTCATAACCATGGCAGTAATAACCAATGTTAATAGTTAATTCATGCAATCCAACTGGGTTTATTAGCTCTTTCAGTATTACATACAGTCTCATTAAGCCTGATACTAAATTATGTAATAATTATATAATATATAATGCTAGTCATTGTAATATATTTCCACGGTACTTACCACACTCGTACACAGGACAGCACTGATCACTGGGAATATAAGAATAAACTTCAAATCCCAGTGTACACTTGGGGGATTCAGTTGTGCACAAGCTTGTATTGCATTCTGAAAAAAAAAAAAAAGAGAGAGAGAAACACAGAAAGTATATTAAATCACGGCTAGAAAGAGGCATCTCTCGAACTCCCACCTGAGAACTTAAGATAGACTTTCCACTGCTAGGGAATATTCCAGATTCTCCTCAAAGAAAAAAAAATCAGAAAAAAGACATATTTTTCCTAGTGAATCCAGGCACTGGATGGGGGGGTCTACACTCGTTTATGAAACTTCTAGTATGTAATTATCAAGTATAAGAAAAGTATCACAATTTTTTGCAGAGTAACAGTGAACAATTGTTATAGTACTCTGTCCAAGATTGTAGGCAACTGCTGCTAAAGGAAAACCTTACAGCCACACAGAATTCTATGATCTGCATTTTACTTTAATAAAATGGTATTCTAAACTCAAGAACTCATTCAGTTCAGATTCAGTTATGTTGAAACCCAGAATTGTAAATCTTGTTCTGCTGAGTCACTTCAATATTAAAATATTAAAATATTAAAATGAATTTTCCATAACACTGGACAAACTGATTTTCAAAAGCATGATATTATTTTGTGACTCCCTATTGCAGGTCTCTGGTGCTAAACTAGTTCAGGTTCTCTTTTCAGTTCGTAAAGGTTAGAGAAAGGCTAGAAACAAAAGTAAAAACTCACTGCAGGTGACAATGGGGCAGCAGGAATCTTCAGGATTGACTTCATTGACCTCATAGAAGCCGTTTCCATTACAACTCTGCTTATTTTGACTGGGACATTTGTGAGGCTCACATACAATGCCATTTCCACCTTCTAGGCAAATACAGTCCTGACAGTCTGCTGTAAACCTTTCCCCAAACTGTCATTAAAGAAAATAACGTGAGTGATTGCATGGTTACCAGTTAAAAAGAACAGAAATAAAAGCAGGAATGAAAGGCTGGGAAATGACAAAGCAGAGAATATTTTTTTCTCCCCATCCCAAACCTCTTCTTGAAATACAAAAGCAAACGTACCTCTCTTGGTATCATATCCAATCCAACACAGCCTGTGAAAATATCAAAATACATTTCCATTACCACTTATATAACAGTAGATATCTCCACTATATGTTGCATGAATACTGCATACAGTCAGATCTATGTTGTATGCATCAGAAGGAAATAACAAAAAGGAAACAAGCATGCATCCAATTGAAGTGGTTAAACTCACCGCAGGTGTTTACACAGACATCCACACCAGAGTCATACAGCATTGTACCATTAGGACAGAAACAGCCTTCCACTTGTTTAACTGCAGTTTCATTCTGTTGACTGTATGAGACAAAATGTTCAGAGGAGCACCATCACTGTCACAGGCATGCAGAGGAAGGTTAAGCTGGATAACCATTAGTTGAAAATAACAGGGCAATTAACCTGCAGACTTGTGATTCAGGGCTTTTTGATGTTTGGTTTAGCCAAATAAAAAGTACAGGCACCCAGATTTAGGATCAAGAGAACAGTGGTAACAAATAGGATAGTCAGCTAAAGACAGGACAGGAGGCTGTTTGACTTCTCTCATCCACTTATCCTTTAGGTATGACTGAACAAATATATGAGATCTAACAGTGAAGGAACTCTTTACCTTGATTTGCAGGTTATCTGTTTACTAGGACCACATGCTCTATATTCTTTATGTTTGGGACATTCATAAGCTGGAATAGGAAAATAAAAAAGAAGAACAGCTCAGGGAAAATAACGTAGAAAAATCCCATGACCTTATGACAAGAAATTCAACACTACTCATTTTTCTATGTATCTTTGACAATCTTGAAAAGCATAGAGATTAAATAGTTACCAGACTCACGTCTCTGAGTGGGATTACTTTATACAATTTAGCCAGAGGTATAGCATGATACTTTAAATTTAAGGAGATAAAGCCAGGAGTCTATATCCTGAATACAACTTTTTCATAATTCTGGTCTCTTTTGTGTAAGTTCTCAAAGAGGAGCGTATTCCTACCCTCCTATCCTCTTCTGATTACACTAAATACATGAATGATCTGCCAATGCCTGTAAAATATACAGCTGACTCTGCTAAAAAAAAGAAAAAAAAAAAAGTATCTATTAATACAAATGTTTCTGATATGGTAAATGGATGCATATTGCAGGCTCATTTATCATTTCCATTTATAAAAATGTTACCTGACAATTACTTGAGGAAAGCAGCTAGTGTAATTTATTGGTATCTTCATTGCTTGGAAAGCAATATGGCATCATTAGGACATTATCATAGAATCACAGAATGGTTTGGGTTGGAGGGACCCCTGAAGATCGTGTAGTCCAGCTCCCTGCCATGCTCCCTAGCATAGGGTTTTCCCACAGTTCAAACTGAAATAGCTCAGTACAAGCTTCCCTAACAGTTCATGATAAAACAGCTAAATACTTACAGCAAACACCATTGGTATGACTTCTCCAGTCGATGCAGACATTTTGATCAGCACAGATGGCAGCATAGATCTGCAGACTTGAGCATTCCAGGTCTAAGCTGGGAAGTGCACAACTATCAAAAACACAGGCTGCATAGAACCTATCAGGGTTAACAACAGCATGGCACTTCTCGAACACACTAGAAATAGAAACATATGTCATTATTAGTTACAGAATAAACCATGAATTCTCCAGTGTGCTTTGCATATTATAATGTGGCAACAGTGACACTTAAAGAGATGTGAACAAGGACTATTACTGAGAGATTTCTACTAAGAGCACTCGATTAGATTGTAACCTATCAACATATTTTAAAGAATTCTCCCCTCATCTACAAAACAACCAGGCACCACTATTTTCTGTCCAGGAGCTACATGATTATTATGAAGTGTAAAGAGGGACTACTTTTCAAACTAGATTTTATTCAAACTATTTTTAATTCTGGCCAAGTTCCTAAAATGAAGATCTCTTTCTTCAGTTGGTCTCTGCTGCTAAGTAAGAATAGGAAAAGGCCAGAGCATAGGACAGTGAGAGCAGAAAGCACAGAAGAAAGTGAGAACATCAGGAAAGGCTAAAGTAGCAGTCAAATGGTTGGGAGTAAGCTGTATCAGCAACGAATGACATCTAGAAACAGCAAAAGAAATGGAAGAAACCTACAGAGCTACTAGATGGAAGTAGCCACTAAATGGAAGAATAGATGGAAGAATAGTTAGAACATTTTGTATTAAGAAATGAACCCCAGAATTGCCACTCAACTTAAAGATCAAATTCTTATAAGCACCAGAGGACTATTGGAATATCTACCTTCCCAAAATAAGCTTGCAGATGGAAGATTCTTTGCAAGGCTGTCCTGTGGTTGTGCCAGGTGATTTTGTAGGAATTAGGCCTGGGGAGCATTGCGGTTTGGAGGGATCAACAATTTGCCAATGATCTGCCATGGTTTCACAGTTTTCTGCAATGTTACCATTAGGTAACCTGCAGTCATCTGCTGTGTTGTTATTGCAAGTACCTAAAATGGGTAGGGGAAGAAAGAATTCACTTACAGATTTGTTATCAAACGCCACTCATCTCTCTGGCACTGTTGTCATTTACTTGTTTGTGGCTTTCTGAGAGTATAAAAAACATAACGGTAAGACTTACCACACTGTCCTTGAGTGTTGTTGCCAAACAGGCTGTAGGGCATTCTGATAGAAAAGGACAAGCCATTGTAGGACACATTCATTTTAAGCTCAGGAATTTCCACTACATGATTTATGCCTGACTCATAGATGCTCACTCCAAATTTTTTATAAGGCAAAGCCACTGTCTGTTTGTTTACAGTCACCTGATAAATAAAATAGAAAAGAGACATATATTTCATTTGATTTCAGAAAACAATCAACTGTTCATTACTTAGCATTGGAGATGCAAATGTAAAGGCAAATAATGTGCATTTAGTTTATAACAATTGTCCCTGTGTTTACTTTTACATTACTGAAAAGTCAAACTTGCTTTCTTGAAGCCAAAGAAAAGGCCTATCATCCACTAATAAGCTAGACTACAGTTTGGAGCTTAGACCAGCAAACACTCTATAGATTTGTTAGAATGACTATGGCATTGAGGACACCTTGTACAAGTACAATATAAAATTATCCTAAATTCTGAGTGCACAGAGTTTTATCCTTCTTGGAACTACCAAAATCACCAAAATAAAAGGAATATGCTTGCAGCATTTTTTTAAGGAAATAATTATAAGGAAATTGCAGGAAAGCACTAAGCCAAAATCTGTATTATTTATTTAAAGACTTTGCCTTGATATACATATGAAATGAACACTGATAGTTTTATTCAGCGACAACGGACTTAATTGCTTTAGAGAAAAAAAAAGTCTATATGTTGGAAATTTTCAATAATTTCACAGATTTTTTCAATCATTTCAAGAATCACAGAACAGCTGATGTTGGAAGAGACCTCTGGAGTCATCTGGTCCAACTCTCCAGCTCAACCAGGGCCACCTGCTTGTCCAGAATCATGTCCAAGCAGCTTTTGTATAGCTCCAAAGAGACAGCTTTGCCTAATGCGGTCCATGATACCATTAACCTTTTTAGTGGCAAGAGCACATTTGCTGCAACCTAATTTGTAATATTCCCACACAGTAACATTCAAAACAAACACACAAACACATCAACCCCACAAAAACCTAAAAAAACTTGTTACCCAATTTTGAATTCCCGAAGTTAGGACATGATATTTACCAATTAGATAAACACACGGGAAATGTGTTTATTTCTGAATGATGAAATCATTCAGAAATAAACTGAAAAATGAAAAAGGTGACACCAATCTAAGATAGTCAGGATCATTTCTTAAAAGCTTAAGCTAGTACTTTAATTGCGATGTCTAGTTTATGTTGTATCCTCCCATTCAACATTCATTCTTTTTCTTTCTTACATCAATGTCAACTGTAAATTAATTTATTTTATACCCTTAACTCTTAGCTATTCATCCATGTTTATGTATTTAGAAGAGATAAGGCACTGCAAATATTTATTATAAAAAAGGGATAAAAAAGAATTTGTAGAATATTTTTCCAGTATTCAGATTCAGAAAAGAAGTCCTTCCTTCCCTGCAGTCCTAATTTATAATCCACTGATTCTATTTTTATTTTTTTCCTAATAATGTATAATTACGAGATTCATACTTTATAAATAGTTCAGTCAAGAAATCAAAGGTAATATTCTCCAATACCTCTACTTTTAGGGTATTTGGTTCTACTGTTGCTATGCGCACTTCCTGAGTCTCATGTCTCACAATGAGCGTTCGTGGACATGAGACTACATCCCGTGCATCACAATGGTAGTTATCAATGTAGACGCCAAAGTTGTCAACTGTTTTATTAATCTCTTCCACAAGAACATATGTGCAATTCCCTTGATAGCTGTAGTACAATCCATCAAAAGTCATGTAGTGTGGGTCTCCCCAGCCAGTGCAGTAGCCTGTAAAAACATAAAGCTAGGTTAGCTTCTTATGGTAACATACAGAATCTGATCAAACTACAAAAAAAAAATCCGTAGGTGTGGGATTCGCCTCATCTTACTTTAAGCATTTAAATATTTAAAGTGTATCTGCCAATGCATGCATAAGCTCATTTCTAAAATTCATCAATAATAGAAAAACAAAACAACTACCGAAAAAACAAAGCAAACAAACAAACAAACAAAACACACACACACAAAACAACAACAACAACAACAACAAAAAAAAAAAAAAAAAAAAAAAAACAGACTTTCAGGGCACAGTATATCCGACATGTCTGAAAAACAACTGAGAATAGGATTACTCATGTCCTAGAAGAACCTTTACAAATCACCTCAACAAGTAACTTATATGCAGACCTCTAGCCTATAGATGTCAGCATCTGGACATTTAAATTCTACCATAGGAGACCAATTTGTTCTACTAACAGAATAGTGATGTCGAAATAATGACAACCAAATTAAGTTTTACTTTGTTAAGTAAAAAGGATCAATATAGCACTCTAAAAGAGACCAATACTGGCAGTCTGAAGGCCACATCTTGCACAACACTTAGCCCTTGATAAACAGCGCTGTTCTTTACGCTAGTATTGTTCACACAGGAAAAAAATATTTCTTAAAATATATACTTACAATCACACTCCCAATGCCAACAGCATTGATCGTCATCAAGGACTTGCACAGGAGCAAGACCATTGGCGCATGTGGGTTTAGGAGGTGGCTCACAGATGACTGGAAACAGCTGGACTGTATTGTTTTCTACACATACTGCCATAGTGCAGTTACACGGCCACCATGACTGACCTGGCTGTATTTGGAAAAAGAGAGAACAAGAGAGAGAGAGAAGCCTTATTGAGCAGTCACAGTGAGTCAGATGGTAACATTTATACTTGAATACCTTTTGCAGATTTTAAAAACACCTTATGTTTATTGGCAATATTTTTTTCCAGCGGAAGTCTGAAATTGGGAAGGAAGAGCAGCATTCAGCACCATCAAGGTCTGCAAGATAATCTAGCTTTAGTGAAAGCTGCTAAGTGAAAGGCATTAATTATGAATCATGCCAGTAACCAAAAAGCAAAATTGCCTTTTGCAGTTTCAGTTGTATAAAAGTAAGATCTCCTATCTAATTTCATTACCTAGGCTTCCTTCCAACAGTGAAAGACAAGTATGCTCAATCACCTTCCATGGATGTTTAGAACAGATTAACAGCTGAAGCTACAATGAACACCAGCAATTTGGGGAGTAATGTCTAAGGCAATTATAGCATGCATTGTGAGTGTATGTATTTTTTCTAACTTGGACCATCTTACAGCTGCTAATTATTTGTATACCAGCAAAACTAGGTGGTTTCAAAAAACTTAGAATTGGAGTGAAAATTCATAAGCATTTGAAAGTGGTAATCTGTTTCACAGTTAGCTCTTGAAATCAGACTATGACCAAATATAACTGCAGAATAATTCCAAACACCGACCAGTTCAATCCAATGTTTTCTTGTTGGGCATTTGCACTGTAATTACAACAAACTGCGTGTACATATTCAAAACCAGAAATAAGAAAAGAAAGACTTAGTCCTTAGTTAACTCCTCAGAAAAGCTTTTCTACAATAAAGAGAAAGATTTATCTGTACTCTACCTCCTTGAATGCAGAATGCCTTTTAAAAACTATTGTTGAAGAGCTAATACCAGTATACTTGATAAAAAAAAAAAAAAAATAAACACACAAAATTCATTGGAAGTCATGTTGATACCCCTCCAAAAAAAAAAAACAAAAAAACACAACAGAATGAACAGATACCTCATTTTCTATCCAGATAAATGTTTACACTCTATGATAATAACACTGTAATTATGTACCTAGACACCTTTGAAATAAAATGACATAAATCAAAAAATACAATCTACTAACCGCATATGTTTCATTAGGTGAAATGGTACAATTATTTGAGCCAGAACTGGGAGTTGAACTTGAAGTACTGAGTGCAGTAACTGTGGAACTTCCAGGAACAGTGACTGCACTTGATGTTGGAGTAGTGCCAGAAGTACTAGCTGAACCAGAAGGAACAATTGCAGATGTGGTAATGGTGGTTGAAGTGACATTGGTAAAAGGAGTAGAGGTTGTTCCTGAAGTAGTGGTGAAAGATTTGGTGGGAGTTGTTCCTGAAGTAGTGACTTCTGATAGGGTTGTTGATACAGAAGAAGGTGAGGTACTCATATATGGAGTTGAAAATGGGGAAGATGATCCCAATGTTGGCGTGCTAAAAGTGATGGTAGGTGAGGAAGTCGAAGAAAAAACAGTCCCAGTGGTACTTGATCCTGTTAAAGTAGTGACAAAATGAGAACTACTTACTGAGAAAACACAGTGCTTTACAGAAAGATGGGAACCTGACTTTTGATATTAAAAAATAGGCATTCTAAAGAGTGAAAAAATAGAACAAACAAACAAAAAAAATAAGAAAAGGAAATTTAGATACGAAAAAGAAGAAAAAAAAAATTAAAACATCAAGTCTGGAAGCATCTCAACAGAACATGAGGAAAAGGGAAACACAACATTTTAGGCACAGAACACCTGCATCCTCCCAAACTCCACGCAGCAAGATCTGAAATGCAAGAAACCACAGCGCGGGATGATATGCAGGACGTGAATCCACTGAGGCTGAGCAGCTGCTGCAGCAATATCTGCGCTAGACCTCAGCCAGCCCTTTGGAAACTGCTCCCCCACATATTCCCATGCTGGGCTAGGAATCTCAGGCTCACTGTGCTGCTTCATCCTTCTCTTGGGAGCACGCAAGCTCTCGCTCTGGGCCTGAATGCCACAACTGCTTTCCGTTACCACTGTTAGAAACTGTTGAGGACACCCAGAGGCCTGCCTCAGAACCGGCTACCTTTGTGCTAGTACAGCGAGCCGTGAAGATATGCGTAGGAGATCCAGGAGCACTGCATACACCAGAAGAGCACAGGGCTAATGCAGCACAAGAAAGGGAAGAATGTCAGCAAAAGCAGCGTCCCAACAGCGCCTGGAACCACATGGACGCAAAAGACAAGCCCCCCTGGCCTCGCACACACCGCCTCCCGCTCAGGACGTTCTCTCCAGCTGAAGGACGAAGCCCCGCAGCAGCAAACGCAAGACTTCCACTCCCATCCCTATCTGACTCAGCCGGCCAGAGGCCCCACGCTGCAACGGCATCCACAGAGCCCTGCGGCGTCGGGCAACAGCAGAGCTTCTGCCCAGGACCCCTGCACCCTCCTCACCTCCACACAGCCAGCCCCAGGTCAAGCACTGGGCACCAGCGCTTTTCGGGAAGCCTCAACAACTCCTCCCAGCCCTCATCCCACACAGAAAGTGCACACAAGTCGAGGTGCTCACAGACCTTCATTTCTCCCCCTACAAGGAAACCCGTGTCCCCATGGCCAGACAATTACCTTCGCTTGTCGAGGACGGTGGTGACAGGGAGGTGGTGTGTGTCGGCGTGGGCGGGGATGCGCTGCTAGTAGTCAGGGTGCTGGGGGACGTGGTCGGTGGAGGAGTAACAGGACGTTGTCCCTGGGGTGCTGCTGCTGGAGGACGTCGTGCCACTGGTGGTACTGCTGGGACCTGTCGTCGATGTTGGCGGGAGAGTGGTGGTCGACACAGGCCCAGTTGTGGTACCGGGGGGAGTGGTGCCTGTCGTCGGTGTTGGCGGGAGAGTGGTGGTCGACACAGTTTCAACGGTTGTGGAGCCGGGGGGACTGGTTCCTGAGAAAACACAGTGCTTTATTGCAAACCGGCAAACGGCGGTTGGTATTAACCTCCGTGGCTTTCCCTGAACCTCAGGAAACGCCATCAAGCTTGAGCAGAGGAAATGCCGACAGGAATAAAGCAGAACCAGTTCTCCGCGTGGCTCTTGCAGAAGAACGTGGGGATCACAGACAAAATCTCCTACGGCTTGCACGGCACTCAGATGCCAACGCTTGCGCAGGGAACAACAACGCTGCATGCAACAGCTCTCTGGAGCCTGAAAACTCTATACTGCACAGAAGAGCTCAGCACTTCCCAAGTCCAGACGAATTCACGAAGTTCGTAGGCCAGCTCTTTGCTTCCTTCCCTATTGCTCTCACCCTATAAGCCAGTGGACAGATCCCCGCTCCATGTGCGAGAAATCAGGGGGCGTGTTCACTCCAGAAGCCCTTCCTCTCTGTGGGCCTTGGCTCCACTGAGGCTGAGCAGCTGCTGCAGCAATATCTGCGCTAGACCTCAGCCAGCCCTTTGGAAACTGCTCCCCCACATATTCCCATGCTGGGCTAGGAATCTCGGGCTCACTGTGCTGCTTCATCCTTCTCTTGGGAGCACGCAAGCTCTCGCTCTGGGCCTGAATGCCACAACTGCTTTCCGTTACCACTGTTAGAAACTGTTGAGGACACCCAGAGGCCTGCCTCAGAACCGGCTACCTTTGTGCTAGTACAGCGAGCCGTGAAGACATGCGTAGGAGATCCAGGAGCACTGCATACACCAGAAGAGCACAGGGCTAATGCAGCACAAGAAAGGGAAGAATGTCAGCAAAAGCAGCGTCCCAACAGCGCCTGGAACCACATGGACGCAAAAGACAAGCCCCCCTGGCCTCGCACACACCGCCTCCCGCTCAGGACGTTCTCTCCAGCTGAAGGACGAAGCCCCGCAGCAGCAAACGCAAGACTTCCACTCCCATCCCTATCTGACTCAGCCGGACAGAGGCCCCACGCTGCAACGGCATCCACAGAGCCCTGCGGCGTCGGGCAACAGCAGAGCTTCTGCCCAGGACCCCTGCACCCTCCTCACCTCCACACAGCCAGCCCCAGGTCAAGCACTGGGCACCAGCGCTTTTCGGGAAGCCTCAACAACTCCTCCCAGCCCTCATCCCACACAGAAAGTGCACACAAGTCGAGGTGCTCACAGACCTTCATTTCTCCCCCTACAAGGAAACCCGTGTCCCCATGGCCAGACAATTACCTTCGCTTGTCGAGGACGGTGGTGACAGGGAGGTGGTGTGTGTCGGCGTGGGCGGGGATGCGCTGCTAGTAGTCAGGGTGGTGGGGGACGTGGTCGGTGGAGGAGTAACAGGCGTTGTCCCCGGGGTGCTGCTGCTGGAGGACGTCGTGCCACTGGTGGTACTGCTGGGACCTGTCGTCGATGTTGGCGGGAGAGTGGTGGTCGACACAGGCCCAGTTGTGGTACCGGGGGGAGTGGTGCCTGTCAGTCGGTGTTGGCGGGAGAGTGGTGGTCGACACAGTTTCAACGGTTGTGGAGCCGGGGGGACTGGTTCCTGAGAAAACACAGTGCTTTATTGCAAACCGGCAAACGGCGGTTGGTATTAACCTCCGTGGCTTTCCCTGAACCTCAGGAAACACCATCAAGCTTTGCAGAGGAAATGCCGACAGGAATAAAGCAGAACCAGTTCTCCGCGTGGCTCTTGCAGAAGAACGTGGGGATCACAGACAAAATCTCCTACGGCTTGCATGGCACTCAGATGCCAACGCTTGCGCAGGGAACAACAACGCTGCATGCAACAGCTCTCTGGAGCCTGAAAACTCTATACTGCACAGAAGAGCTCAGCACTCCCAAGTCCAGACGAATTCACAGAGTTCGTAGGCCAGCTCTTTGCTTCCTTCCCTATTGCTCTCACCCTATAAGCCAGTGGACAGATCCCCGCTCCATGTGCGAGAAATCAGGGGGCGTGTTCACTCCAGAAGCCCTTCCTCTCTGTGGGCCTTGGCTCCACTGAGGCTGAGCAGCTGCTGCAGCAATATCTGCGCTAGACCTCAGCCAGCCCTTTGGAAACTGCTCCCCCACATATTCCCATGCTGGGCTAGGAATCTCGGGCTCACTGTGCTGCTTCATCCTTCTCTTGGGAGCACGCAAGCTCTCGCTCTGGGCCTGAATGCCACAACTGCTTTCCGTTACCACTGTTAGAAACTGTTGAGGACACCCAGAGGCCTGCCTCAGAACCGGCTACCTTTGTGCTAGTACAGCGAGCCGTGAAGATATGCGTAGGAGATCCAGGAGCACTGCATACACCAGAAGAGCACAGGGCTAATGCAGCACAAGAAAGGGAAGAATGTCAGCAAAAGCAGCGTCCCAACAGCGCCTGGAACCACATGGACGCAAAAGACAAGCCCCCCTGGCCTCGCACACACCGCCTCCCGCTCAGGACGTTCTCTCCAGCTGAAGGACGAAGCCCCGCAGCAGCAAACGCAAGACTTCCCCTCCCATCCCTATCTGACTCAGCCGGACAGAGGCCCCACGCTGCAACGGCATCCACAGAGCCCTGCGGCGTCGGGCAACAGCAGAGCTTCTGCCCAGGACCCCTGCACCCTCCTCACCTCCACACAGCCAGCCCCAGGTCAAGCACTGGGCACCAGCGCTTTTCGGGAAGCCTCAACAACTCCTCCCAGCCCTCATCCCACACAGAAAGCTGCACACAAGTCGAGGTGCTCACAGACCTTCATTTCTCCCCCTACAAGGAAACCCGTGTCCCCATGGCCAGACAATTACCTTCGCTTGTCGAGGACGGTGGTGACAGGGAGGTGGTGTGTGTCGGCGTGGGCGGGGATGCGCTGCTAGTAGTCAGGGTGCTGGGGGACGTGGTCGGTGGAGGAGTAACAGGACGTTGTCCCCGGGGTGCTGCTGCTGGAGGACGTCGTGCCACTGGTGGTACTGCTGGGACCTGGCGTCGATGTTGGCGGGAGAGTGGTGGTCGACACAGGCCCAGTTGTGGTACCGGGGGGAGTGGTGCCTGTCAGTCGGTGTTGGCGGGAGAGTGGTGGTCGACACAGTTTCAACGGTTGTGGAGCCGGGGGGACTGGTTCCTGAGAAAACACAGTGCTTTATTGCAAACCGGCAAACTGGCGGTTGGTATTAACCTCCGTGGCTTTCCCTGCAACCTCAGGAAACGCCATCAAGCTTTGCAGAGGAAATGCCGACAGGAATAAAGCAGAACCAGTTCTCCGCGTGGCTCTTGCAGAAGAACGTGGGGATCACAGACAAAATCTCCTACGGCTTGCATGGCACTCAGATGCCAACGCTTGCGCAGGGAACAACAACGCTGCATGCAACAGCTCTCTGGAGCCTGAAAACTCTATACTGCACAGAAGAGCTCAGCACTCCCAAGTCCAGACGAATTCACAAAGTTCGTAGGCCAGCTCTTTGCTTCCTTCCCTATTGCTCTCACCCTATAAGCCGTGGACAGATCCCCGCTCCATGTGCGAGAAATCAGGGGGCGTGTTCACTCCAGAAGCCCTTCCTCTCTGTGGGCCTTGGCTCCACTGAGGCTGAGCAGCTGCTGCAGCAATATCTGCGCTAGACCTCAGCCAGCCCTTTGGAAACTGCTCCCCCACATATTCCCATGCTGGGCTAGGAATCTCGGGCTCACTGTGCTGCTTCATCCTTCTCTTGGGAGCACGCAAGCTCTCGCTCTGGGCCTGAATGCCACAACTGCTTTCCGTTACCACTGTTAGAAACTGTTGAGGACACCCAGAGGCCTGCCTCAGAACCGGCTACCTTTGTGCTAGTACAGCGAGCCGTGAAGATATGCGTAGGAGATCCAGGAGCACTGCATACACCAGAAGAGCACAGGGCTAATGCAGCACAAGAAAGGGAAGAATGTCAGCAAAAGCAGCGTCCCAACAGCGCCTGGAACCACATGGACGCAAAAGACAAGCCCCCCTGGCCTCGCACACACCGCCTCCCGCTCAGGACGTTCTCTCCAGCTGAAGGACGAAGCCCCGCAGCAGCAAACGCAAGACTTCCACTCCCATCCCTATCTGACTCAGCCGGACAGAGGCCCCACGCTGCAACGGCATCCACAGAGCCCTGCGGCGTCGGGCAACAGCAGAGCTTCTGCCCAGGACCCCTGCACCCTCCTCACCTCCACACAGCCAGCCCCAGGTCAAGCACTGGGCACCAGCGCTTTTCGGGAAGCCTCAACAACTCCTCCCAGCCCTCATCCCACACAGAAAGCGCACACAAGTCGAGGTGCTCACAGACCTTCATTTCTCCCCCTACAAGGAAACCCGTGTCCCCATGGCCAGACAATTACCTTCGCTTGTCGAGGACGGTGGTGACAGGGAGGTGGTGTGTGTCGGCGTGGGCGGGGATGCGCTGCTAGTAGTCAGGGTGCTGGGGGACGTGGTCGGTGGAGGAGTAACAGGACGTTGTCCCCGGGGTGCTGCTGCTGGAGGACGTCGTGCCACTGGTGGTACTGCTGGGACCTGTCGTCGGTGTTGGCGGGAGAGTGGTGGTCGACACAGGCCCAGTTGTGGTACCGGGGGGAGTGGTGCCTGTCATCGGTGTTGGCGGGAGAGTGGTGGTCGACACAGTTTCAACGGTTGTGGAGCCGGGGGGACTGGTTCCTGAGAAAACACAGTGCTTTATTGCAAACCGGCAAACGGCGGTTGGTATTAACCTCCGTGGCTTTCCATGAACCTCAGGAAACGCCATCAAGCTTTGCAGAGGAAATGCCGACAGGAATAAAGCAGAACCAGTTCTCCGCGTGGCTCTTGCAGAAGAACGTGGGGATCACAGACAAAATCTCCTACGGCTTGCACTGGCACTCAGATGCCAACGCTTGCGCAGGGAACAACAACGCTGCATGCAACAGCTCTCTGGAGCCTGAAAACTCTATACTGCACAGAAGAGCTCAGCACTCCCAAATCCAGACGAATTCACAGGAGTTCGTAGGCCAGCTCTTTGCTTCCTTCCCTATTGCTCTCACCCTATAAGCCATGGACAGATCCCCGCTCCATGTGCGAGAAATCAGGGGGCGTGTTCACTCCAGAAGCCCTTCCTCTCTGTGGGCCTTGGCTCCACTGAGGCTGAGCAGCTGCTGCAGCAATATCTGCGCTAGACCTCAGCCAGCCCTTTGGAAACTGCTCCCCCACATATTCCCATGCTGGGCTAGGAATCTCGGGCTCACTGTGCTGCTTCATCCTTCTCTTGTGAGCACGCAAGCTCTCGCTCTGGGCCTGAATGCCACAACTGCTTTCCGTTACCACTGTTAGAAACTGTTGAGGACACCCAGAGGCCTGCCTCAGAACCGGCTACCTTTGTGCTAGTACAGCGAGCCGTGAAGATATGCGTAGGAGATCCAGGAGCACTGCATACACCAGAAGAGCACAGGGCTAATGCAGCACAAGAAAGGGAAGAATGTCAGCAAAAGCAGCGTCCCAACAGCGCCTGGAACCACATGGACGCAAAAGACAAGCCCCCCTGGCCTCGCACACACCGCCTCCCGCTCAGGACGTTCTCTCCAGCTGAAGGACGAAGCCCCGCAGCAGCAAACGCAAGACTTCCCCTCCCATCCCTATCTGACTCAGCCGGACAGAGGCCCCACGCTGCAACGGCATCCACAGAGCCCTGCGGCGTCGGGCAACAGCCAGAGCTTCTGCCCAGGACCCCTGCACCCTCCTCACCTCCACACAGCCAGCCCCAGGTCAAGCACTGGGCACCAGCGCTTTTCGGGAAGCCTCAACAACTCCTCCCAGCCCTCATCCCACACAGAAAGCGCACACAAGTCGAGGTGCTCACAGACCTTCATTTCTCCCCCTACAAGGAAACCCGTGTCCCCATGGCCAGACAATTACCTTCGCTTGTCGAGGACGGTGGTGACAGGGAGGTGGTGTGTGTCGGCGTGGGCGGGGATGCGCTGCTAGTAGTCAGGGTGCTGGGGGACGTGGTCGGTGGAGGAGTAACAGGACGTTGTCCCCGGGGTGCTGCTGCTGGAGGACGTCGTGCCACTGGTGGTACTGCTGGGACCTGGCGTCGGATGTTGGCGGGAGAGTGGTGGTCGACACAGGCCCAGTTGTGGTACCGGGGGGAGTGGTGCCTGTCATCGGTGTTGGCGGGAGAGTGGTGGTCGACACAGTTTCAACGGTTGTGGAGCCGGGGGGACTGGTTCCTGAGAAAACACAGTGCTTTATTGCAAACCGGCAAACGGCGGTTGGTATTAACCTCCGTGGCTTTCCATGCAACCTCAGGAAACGCCATCAAGCTTTGCAGAGGAAATGCCGACAGGAATAAAGCAGAACCAGTTCTCCGCGTGGCTCTTGCAGAAGAACGTGGGGATCACAGACAAAATCTCCTACGGCTTGCACGGCACTCAGATGCCAACGCTTGCGCAGGGAACAACAACGCTGCATGCAACAGCTCTCTGGAGCCTGAAAACTCTATACTGCACAGAAGAGCTCAGCACTCCCAAATCCAGACGAATTCACAGGAGTTCGTAGGCCAGCTCTTTGCTTCCTTCCCTATTGCTCTCACCCTATAAGCCATGGACAGATCCCCGCTCCATGTGCGAGAAATCAGGGGGCGTGTTCACTCCAGAAGCCCTTCCTCTCTGTGGGCCTTGGCTCCACTGAGGCTGAGCAGCTGCTGCAGCAATATCTGCGCTAGACCTCAGCCAGCCCTTTGGAAACTGCTCCCCCACATATTCCCATGCTGGGCTAGGAATCTCGGGCTCACTGTGCTGCTTCATCCTTCTCTTGTGAGCACGCAAGCTCTCGCTCTGGGCCTGAATGCCACAACTGCTTTCCGTTACCACTGTTAGAAACTGTTGAGGACACCCAGAGGCCTGCCTCAGAACCGGCTACCTTTGTGCTAGTACAGCGAGCCGTGAAGATATGCGTAGGAGATCCAGGAGCACTGCATACACCAGAAGAGCACAGGGCTAATGCAGCACAAGAAAGGGAAGAATGTCAGCAAAAGCAGCGTCCCAACAGCGCCTGGAACCACATGGACGCAAAAGACAAGCCCCCCTGGCCTCGCACACACCGCCTCCCGCTCAGGACGTTCTCTCCAGCTGAAGGACGAAGCCCCGCAGCAGCAAACGCAAGACTTCCCCTCCCATCCCTATCTGACTCAGCCGGACAGAGGCCCCACGCTGCAACGGCATCCACAGAGCCCTGCGGCGTCGGGCAACAGCAGAGCTTCTGCCCAGGACCCCTGCACCCTCCTCACCTCCACACAGCCAGCCCCAGGTCAAGCACTGGGCACCAGCGCTTTTCGGGAAGCCTCAACAACTCCTCCCAGCCCTCATCCCACACAGAAAGCGCACACAAGTCGAGGTGCTCACAGACCTTCATTTCTCCCCCTACAAGGAAACCCGTGTCCCCATGGCCAGACAATTACCTTCGCTTGTCGAGGACGGTGGTGACAGGGAGGTGGTGTGTGTCGGCGTGGGCGGGGATGCGCTGCTAGTAGTCAGGGTGGTGGGGGACGTGGTCGGTGGAGGAGTAACAGGCGTTGTCCCCGGGGTGCTGCTGCTGGAGGACGTCGTGCCACTGGTGGTACTGCTGGGACCTGTCGTCGATGTTGGCGGGAGAGTGGTGGTCGACACAGGCCCAGTTGTGGTACCGGGGGGAGTGGTGCCTGTCATCGGTGTTGGCGGGAGAGTGGTGGTCGACACAGTTTCAACGGTTGTGGAGCCGGGGGGACTGGTTCCTGAGAAAACACAGTGCTTTATTGCAAACCGGCAAACGGCGGTTGGTATTAACCTCCGTGGCTTTCCCTGAACCTCAGGAAACGCCATCAAGCTTTGCAGAGGAAATGCCGACAGGAATAAAGCAGAACCAGTTCTCCGCGTGGCTCTTGCAGAAGAACGTGGGGATCACAGACAAAATCTCCTACGGCTTGCATGGCACTCAGATGCCAACGCTTGCGCAGGGAACAACAACGCTGCATGCAACAGCTCTCTGGAGCCTGAAAACTCTATACTGCACAGAAGAGCTCAGCACTCCCAAAGTCCAGACGAATTCACAGAGTTCGTAGGCCAGCTCTTTGCTTCCTTCCCTATTGCTCTCACCCTATAAGCCAGTGGACAGATCCCCGCTCCATGTGCGAGAAATCAGGGGGCGTGTTCACTCCAGAAGCCCTTCCTCTCTGTGGGCCTTGGCTCCACTGAGGCTGAGCAGCTGCTGCAGCAATATCTGCGCTAGACCTCAGCCAGCCCTTTGGAAACTGCTCCCCCACATATTCCCATGCTGGGCTAGGAATCTCGGGCTCACTGTGCTGCTTCATCCTTCTCTTGGGAGCACGCAAGCTCTCGCTCTGGGCCTGAATGCCACAACTGCTTTCCGTTACCACTGTTAGAAACTGTTGAGGACACCCAGAGGCCTGCCTCAGAACCGGCTACCTTTGTGCTAGTACAGCGAGCCGTGAAGATATGCGTAGGAGATCCAGGAGCACTGCATACACCAGAAGAGCACAGGGCTAATGCAGCACAAGAAAGGGAAGAATGTCAGCAAAAGCAGCGTCCCAACAGCGCCTGGAACCACATGGACGCAAAAGACAAGCCCCCCTGGCCTCGCACACACCGCCTCCCGCTCAGGACGTTCTCTCCAGCTGAAGGACGAAGCCCCGCAGCAGCAAACGCAAGACTTCCACTCCCATCCCTATCTGACTCAGCCGGCCAGAGGCCCCACGCTGCAACGGCATCCACAGAGCCCTGCGGCGTCGGGCAACAGCAGAGCTTCTGCCCAGGACCCCTGCACCCTCCTCACCTCCACACAGCCAGCCCCAGGTCAAGCACTGGGCACCAGCGCTTTTCGGGAAGCCTCAACAACTCCTCCCAGCCCTCATCCCACACAGAAAGTGCACACAAGTCGAGGTGCTCACAGACCTTCATTTCTCCCCCTACAAGGAAACCCGTGTCCCCATGGCCAGACAATTACCTTCGCTTGTCGAGGACGGTGGTGACAGGGAGGTGGTGTGTGTCGGCGTGGGCGGGGATGCGCTGCTAGTAGTCAGGGTGCTGGGGGACGTGGTCGGTGGAGGAGTAACAGACGTTGTCCCCGGGGTGCTGCTGCTGGAGGACGTCGTGCCACTGGTGGTACTGCTGGGACCTGGCGTCGATGTTGGCGGGAGAGTGGTGGTCGACACAGGCCCAGTTGTGGTACCGGGGGGAGTGGTGCCTGTCATCGGTGTTGGCGGGAGAGTGGTGGTCGACACAGTTTCAACGGTTGTGGAGCCGGGGGGACTGGTTCCTGAGAAAACACAGTGCTTTATTGCAAACCGGCAAACGGCGGTTGGTATTAACCTCCGTGGCTTTCCAGCAACCTCAGGAAACGCCATCAAGCTTTGCAGAGGAAATGCCGACAGGAATAAAGCAGAACCAGTTCTCCGCGTGGCTCTTGCAGAAGAACGTGGGGATCACAGACAAAATCTCCTACGGCTTGCACGGCACTCAGATGCCAACGCTTGCGCAGGGAACAACAACGCTGCATGCAACAGCTCTCTGGAGCCTGAAAACTCTATACTGCACAGAAGAGCTCAGCACTCCCAAATCCAGACGAATTCACGGAGTTCGTAGGCCAGCTCTTTGCTTCCTTCCCTATTGCTCTCACCCTATAAGCCATGGACAGATCCCCGCTCCATGTGCGAGAAATCAGGGGGCGTGTTCACTCCAGAAGCCCTTCCTCTCTGTGGGCCTTGGCTCCACTGAGGCTGAGCAGCTGCTGCAGCAATATCTGCGCTAGACCTCAGCCAGCCCTTTGGAAACTGCTCCCCCACATATTCCCATGCTGGGCTAGGAATCTCGGGCTCACTGTGCTGCTTCATCCTTCTCTTGTGAGCACGCAAGCTCTCGCTCTGGGCCTGAATGCCACAACTGCTTTCCGTTACCACTGTTAGAAACTGTTGAGGACACCCAGAGGCCTGCCTCAGAACCGGCTACCTTTGTGCTAGTACAGCGAGCCGTGAAGATATGCGTAGGAGATCCAGGAGCACTGCATACACCAGAAGAGCACAGGGCTAATGCAGCACAAGAAAGGGAAGAATGTCAGCAAAAGCAGCGTCCCAACAGCGCCTGGAACCACATGGACGCAAAAGACAAGCCCCCCTGGCCTCGCACACACCGCCTCCCGCTCAGGACGTTCTCTCCAGCTGAAGGACGAAGCCCCGCAGCAGCAAACGCAAGACTTCCCCTCCCATCCCTATCTGACTCAGCCGGACAGAGGCCCCACGCTGCAACGGCATCCACAGAGCCCTGCGGCGTCGGGCAACAGCAGAGCTTCTGCCCAGGACCCCTGCACCCTCCTCACCTCCACACAGCCAGCCCCAGGTCAAGCACTGGGCACCAGCGCTTTTCGGGAAGCCTCAACAACTCCTCCCAGCCCTCATCCCACACAGAAAGTGCACACAAGTCGAGGTGCTCACAGACCTTCATTTCTCCCCCTACAAGGAAACCCGTGTCCCCATGGCCAGACAATTACCTTCGCTTGTCGAGGACGGTGGTGACAGGGAGGTGGTGTGTGTCGGCGTGGGCGGGGATGCGCTGCTAGTAGTCAGGGTGGCTGGGGGACGTGGTCGGTGGAGGAGTAACAGACGTTGTCCCCGGGGTGCTGCTGCTGGAGGACGTCGTGCCACTGGTGGTACTGCTGGGACCTGGCGTCGATGTTGGCGGGAGAGTGGTGGTCGACACAGGCCCAGTTGTGGTACCGGGGGGAGTGGTGCCTGTCATCGGTGTTGGCGGGAGAGTGGTGGTCGACACAGTTTCAACGGTTGTGGAGCCGGGGGGACTGGTTCCTGAGAAAACACAGTGCTTTATTGCAAACCGGCAAACGGCGGTTGGTATTAACCTCCGTGGCTTTCCAGCAACCTCAGGAAACGCCATCAAGCTTTGCAGAGGAAATGCCGACAGGAATAAAGCAGAACCAGTTCTCCGCGTGGCTCTTGCAGAAGAACGTGGGGATCACAGACAAAATCTCCTACGGCTTGCATGGCACTCAGATGCCAACGCTTGCGCAGGGAACAACAACGCTGCATGCAACAGCTCTCTGGAGCCTGAAAACTCTATACTGCACAGAAGAGCTCAGCACTCCCAAGTCCAGACGAATTCACGGAGTTCGTAGGCCAGCTCTTTGCTTCCTTCCCTATTGCTCTCACCCTATAAGCCAGTGGACAGATCCCCGCTCCATGTGCGAGAAATCAGGGGGCGTGTTCACTCCAGAAGCCCTTCCTCTCTGTGGGCCTTGGCTCCACTGAGGCTGAGCAGCTGCTGCAGCAATATCTGCGCTAGACCTCAGCCAGCCCTTTGGAAACTGCTCCCCCACATATTCCCATGCTGGGCTAGGAATCTCGGGCTCACTGTGCTGCTTCATCCTTCTCTTGTGAGCACGCAAGCTCTCGCTCTGGGCCTGAATGCCACAACTGCTTTCCGTTACCACTGTTAGAAACTGTTGAGGACACCCAGAGGCCTGCCTCAGAACCGGCTACCTTTGTGCTAGTACAGCGAGCCGTGAAGATATGCGTAGGAGATCCAGGAGCACTGCATACACCAGAAGAGCACAGGGCTAATGCAGCACAAGAAAGGGAAGAATGTCAGCAAAAGCAGCGTCCCAACAGCGCCTGGAACCACATGGACGCAAAAGACAAGCCCCCCTGGCCTCGCACACACCGCCTCCCGCTCAGGACGTTCTCTCCAGCTGAAGGACGAAGCCCCGCAGCAGCAAACGCAAGACTTCCACTCCCATCCCTATCTGACTCAGCCGGACAGAGGCCCCACGCTGCAACGGCATCCACAGAGCCCTGCGGCGTCGGGCAACAGCAGAGCTTCTGCCCAGGACCCCTGCACCCTCCTCACCTCCACACAGCCAGCCCCAGGTCAAGCACTGGGCACCAGCGCTTTTCGGGAAGCCTCAACAACTCCTCCCAGCCCTCATCCCACACAGAAAGTGCACACAAGTCGAGGTGCTCACAGACCTTCATTTCTCCCCCTACAAGGAAACCCGTGTCCCCATGGCCAGACAATTACCTTCGCTTGTCGAGGACGGTGGTGACAGGGAGGTGGTGTGTGTCGGCGTGGGCGGGGATGCGCTGCTAGTAGTCAGGGTGCTGGGGGACGTGGTCGGTGGAGGAGTAACAGACGTTGTCCCCGGGGTGCTGCTGCTGGAGGACGTCGTGCCACTGGTGGTACTGCTGGGACCTGGCGTCGATGTTGGCGGGAGAGTGGTGGTCGACACAGGCCCAGTTGTGGTACCGGGGGGAGTGGTGCCTGTCAGTCGGTGTTGGCGGGAGAGTGGTGGTCGACACAGTTTCAACGGTTGTGGAGCCGGGGGGACTGGTTCCTGAGAAAACACAGTGCTTTATTGCAAACCGGCAAACGGCGGTTGGTATTAACCTCCGTGGCTTTCCATGCAACCTCAGGAAACGCCATCAAGCTTTGCAGAGGAAATGCCGACAGGAATAAAGCAGAACCAGTTCTCCGCGTGGCTCTTGCAGAAGAACGTGGGGATCACAGACAAAATCTCCTACGGCTTGCACTGGCACTCAGATGCCAACGCTTGCGCAGGGAACAACAACGCTGCATGCAACAGCTCTCTGGAGCCTGAAAACTCTATACTGCACAGAAGAGCTCAGCACTCCCAAGTCCAGACGAATTCACGAAGTTCGTAGGCCAGCTCTTTGCTTCCTTCCCTATTGCTCTCACCCTATAAGCCATGGACAGATCCCCGCTCCATGTGCGAGAAATCAGGGGGCGTGTTCACTCCAGAAGCCCTTCCTCTCTGTGGGCCTTGGCTCCACTGAGGCTGAGCAGCTGCTGCAGCAATATCTGCGCTAGACCTCAGCCAGCCCTTTGGAAACTGCTCCCCCACATATTCCCATGCTGGGCTAGGAATCTCGGGCTCACTGTGCTGCTTCATCCTTCTCTTGTGAGCACGCAAGCTCTCGCTCTGGGCCTGAATGCCACAACTGCTTTCCGTTACCACTGTTAGAAACTGTTGAGGACACCCAGAGGCCTGCCTCAGAACCGGCTACCTTTGTGCTAGTACAGCGAGCCGTGAAGATATGCGTAGGAGATCCAGGAGCACTGCATACACCAGAAGAGCACAGGGCTAATGCAGCACAAGAAAGGGAAGAATGTCAGCAAAAGCAGCGTCCCAACAGCGCCTGGAACCACATGGACGCAAAAGACAAGCCCCCCTGGCCTCGCACACACCGCCTCCCGCTCAGGACGTTCTCTCCAGCTGAAGGACGAAGCCCCGCAGCAGCAAACGCAAGACTTCCCCTCCCATCCCTATCTGACTCAGCCGGACAGAGGCCCCACGCTGCAACGGCATCCACAGAGCCCTGCGGCGTCGGGCAACAGCAGAGCTTCTGCCCAGGACCCCTGCACCCTCCTCACCTCCACACAGCCAGCCCCAGGTCAAGCACTGGGCACCAGCGCTTTTCGGGAAGCCTCAACAACTCCTCCCAGCCCTCATCCCACACAGAAAGCGCACACAAGTCGAGGTGCTCACAGACCTTCATTTCTCCCCCTACAAGGAAACCCGTGTCCCCATGGCCAGACAATTACCTTCGCTTGTCGAGGACGGTGGTGACAGGGAGGTGGTGTGTGTCGGCGTGGGCGGGGATGCGCTGCTAGTAGTCAGGGTGGTGGGGGACGTGGTCGGTGGAGGAGTAACAGACGTTGTCCCCGGGGTGCTGCTGCTGGAGGACGTCGTGCCACTGGTGGTACTGCTGGGACCTGTCGTCGATGTTGGCGGGAGAGTGGTGGTCGACACAGGCCCAGTTGTGGTACCGGGGGGAGTGGTGCCTGTCAGTCGGTGTTGGCGGGAGAGTGGTGGTCGACACAGTTTCAACGGTTGTGGAGCCGGGGGGACTGGTTCCTGAGAAAACACAGTGCTTTATTGCAAACCGGCAAACTGGCGGTTGGTATTAACCTCCGTGGCTTTCCATGCAACCTCAGGAAACGCCATCAAGCTTTGCAGAGGAAATGCCGACAGGAATAAAGCAGAACCAGTTCTCCGCGTGGCTCTTGCAGAAGAACGTGGGGATCACAGACAAAATCTCCTACGGCTTGCACTGGCACTCAGATGCCAACGCTTGCGCAGGGAACACACGCTGCATGCAACAGCTCTCTGGAGCCTGAAAACTCTATACTGCACAGAAGAGCTCAGCACTCCCAAGTCCAGACGAATTCACGAAGTTCGTAGGCCAGCTCTTTGCTTCCTTCCCTATTGCTCTCACCCTATAAGCCATGGACAGATCCCCGCTCCATGTGCGAGAAATCAGGGGGCGTGTTCACTCCAGAAGCCCTTCCTCTCTGTGGGCCTTGGCTCCACTGAGGCTGAGCAGCTGCTGCAGCAATATCTGCGCTAGACCTCAGCCAGCCCTTTGGAAACTGCTCCCCCACATATTCCCATGCTGGGCTAGGAATCTCGGGCTCACTGTGCTGCTTCATCCTTCTCTTGTGAGCACGCAAGCTCTCGCTCTGGGCCTGAATGCCACAACTGCTTTCCGTTACCACTGTTAGAAACTGTTGAGGACACCCAGAGGCCTGCCTCAGAACCGGCTACCTTTGTGCTAGTACAGCGAGCCGTGAAGATATGCGTAGGAGATCCAGGAGCACTGCATACACCAGAAGAGCACAGGGCTAATGCAGCACAAGAAAGGGAAGAATGTCAGCAAAAGCAGCGTCCCAACAGCGCCTGGAACCACATGGACGCAAAAGACAAGCCCCCCTGGCCTCGCACACACCGCCTCCCGCTCAGGACGTTCTCTCCAGCTGAAGGACGAAGCCCCGCAGCAGCAAACGCAAGACTTCCCCTCCCATCCCTATCTGACTCAGCCGGACAGAGGCCCCACGCTGCAACGGCATCCACAGAGCCCTGCGGCGTTGGGCAACACCAGAGCTTCTGCCCAGGACCCCTGCACCCTCCTCACCTCCACACAGCCAGCCCCAGGTCAAGCACTGGGCACCAGCGCTTTTCGGGAAGCCTCAACAACTCCTCCCAGCCCTCATCCCACACAGAAAGCGCACACAAGTCGAGGTGCTCACAGACCTTCATTTCTCCCCCTACAAGGAAACCCGTGTCCCCATGGCCAGACAATTACCTTCGCTTGTCGAGGACGGTGGTGACAGGGAGGTGGTGTGTGTCGGCGTGGGCGGGGATGCGCTGCTAATAGTCAGGGTGGTGGGGGACGTGGTCGGTGGAGGAGTAACAGGCGTTGTCCCCGGGGTGCTGCTGCTGGAGGACGTCGTGCCACTGGTGGTACTGCTGGGACCTGTCGTCGATGTTGGCGGGAGAGTGGTGGTCGACACAGGCCCAGTTGTGGTACCGGGGGGAGTGGTGCCTGTCGTCGGTGTTGGCGGGAGAGTGGTTTTGGTTGTGGTTGTAGTGGAAGGAGTGCTCGTTGTGGTTGTAGTGGTTAATTCTGTGGTTGTGGAATGTGTGGTTGTCGTGGTAGTATATGGAGTACACCACGGTGGTTGTTCGGGCACACAGCAGACTTTGATCTGGTAATTGATGCAGACTGGCATGGGAATTATGCCTCCTGGCTTCTGATCCTCATTTTTACAGAGGAGCCCTGTGTTAACGTTACATTCCACTTTTTGCCCTAAATCGGAAATGGGAATGTCAGGATATTTCTCGGCTCTGCATGAAATATTCTCAACCTTCGCACAGTTCCATGGAGGCCTATTTATCTGAATGGTCTCAAAGGTCTCATCATCACCACCGTTTGAGCCATATGTTGGGTAACTCTCATCGATCCAGTCAGTCCAGGTGCAGCCCCCTGGAGGGACTGTGCACGGTTCTAATGGGGAACAAAACCAAAAGCAAACAGTTAGAAAGCGGAAGAAGGAATCACTTCAGACAGGTTTAGACAGATCTAATGGTCAGCCATAGCAGCATATATTAGACATAAGGGCTGCCCTAGGGCATGAACCCTAGCAAAAGGTGGGGTGCCATCTGAAGCCTTCTGCAGAATTCTGACAGGGAATATCTACCTTCCCAGAGCCACACCTACACTTCAATGGCAGTAATGGCCACAGAGGAAATACAAGAGAGGAAAGGGAAGAAAGTAGAAAACTTGCACGGCAACAACACCAAAAATGAGAGGCGGAAAAGAAAAAAAGACCCACTTCATTAGAAAACCAGGCATCAAACCAGGGTGGATATTTGTGTACCAGTGAAACCAGTTGACGTGGAGGAGCTGGTGATGGAGGACGTTGTGCCACTGGTGGTACTGCTGGGACCCAGAGTGGTGGTCGACAGAGGCCCAGTTGTGGTACCGGGGGGAGTGGTGCCTGTCGTCGGTGTTGGCGGGAGAGTGGTGGTCGACACAGTTTCAACGGTTGTGGAGCCGGGGGGACTGGTTCCTGAGAAAACACAGTGCTTTATTGCAAACCGGCAAACGGCGGTTGGTATTAACCTCCGTGGCTTTCCCTGAACCTCAGGAAATGCCATCAAGCTTTGCAGAGGAAATGACGACAGGAATAAAGCAGAACTAGTTCTCCGCGTGGCTCTTGCAGAAGAACGTGGGGTTCACAGACAAAATCTCCTACGGCTTGCACGGCACTCAGATGCCAACGCTTGCGCAGGGAACAACAACGCTGCATGCAACAGCTCTCTGGAGCCTGAAAACTCTATACTGCACAGAAGAGCTCAGCACTCCCAAATCCAGACGAATTCACGGAGTTCGTAGGCCAGCTCTTTGCTTCCTTCCCTATTGCTCTCACCCTATAAGCCATGGACAGATCCCCGCTCCATGTGCGAGAAATCAGGGGGCGTGTTCACTCCAGAAGCCCTTCCTCTCTGTGGGCCTTGGCTCCACTGAGGCTGAGCAGCTGCTGCAGCAATATCTGCGCTAGACCTCAGCCAGCCCTTTGGAAACTGCTCCCCCACATATTCCCATGCTGGGCTAGGAATCTCGGGCTCACTGTGCTGCTTCATCCTTCTCTTGTGAGCACGCAAGCTCTCGCTCTGGGCCTGAATACCACAACTGCTTTCCGTTACCACTGTTAGAAACTGTTGAGGACACCCAGAGGCCTGCCTCAGAACCGGCTACCTTTGTGCTAGTACAGCGAGCCGTGAAGATATGCGTAGGAGATCCAGGAGCACTGCATACACCAGAAGAGCACAGGGCTAATGCAGCACAAGAAAGGGAAGAATGTCAGCAAAAGCAGCGTCCCAACAGCGCCTGGAACCACATGGACGCAAAAGACAAGCCCCCCTGGCCTCGCACACACCGCCTCCCGCTCAGGACGTTCTCTCCAGCTGAAGGACGAAGCCCCGCAGCAGCAAACGCAAGACTTCCCCTCCCATCCCTATCTGACTCAGCCGGACAGAGGCCCCACGCTGCAACGGCATCCACAGAGCCCTGCGGCGTTGGGCAACACCAGAGCTTCTGCCCAGGACCCCTGCACCCTCCTCACCTCCACACAGCCAGCCCCAGGTCAAGCACTGGGCACCAGCGCTTTTCGGGAAGCCTCAACAACTCCTCCCAGCCCTCATCCCACACAGAAAGCGCACACAAGTCGAGGTGCTCACAGACCTTCATTTCTCCCCCTACAAGGAAACCCGTGTCCCCATGGCCAGACAATTACCTTCGCTTGTCGAGGACGGTGGTGACAGGGAGGTGGTGTGTGTCGGCGTGGGCGGGGATGCGCTGCTAGTAGTCAGGGTGGTGGGGGACGTGGTCGGTGGAGGAGTAACAGGCGTTGTCCCCGGGGTGCTGCTGCTGGAGGACGTCGTGCCACTGGTGGTACTGCTGGGACCTGTCGTCGATGTTGGCGGGAGAGTGGTGGTCGACACAGGCCCAGTTGTGGTACCGGGGGGAGTGGTGCCTGTCGTCGGTGTTGGCGGGAGAGTGGTGGTCGACACAGTTTCAACTGGTTGTGGAGCCGGGGGGACTGGTTCCTGAGAAAACACAGTGCTTTATTGCAAACCGGCAAACGGCGGTTGGTATTAACCTCCGTGGCTTTCCCTGAACCTCAGGAAACGCCATCAAGCTTTGCAGAGGAAATGCCGACAGGAATAAAGCAGAACCAGTTCTCCGCGTGGCTCTTGCAGAAGAACGTGGGGATCACAGACAAAATCTCCTACGGCTTGCACGGCACTCAGATGCCAACGCTTGCGCAGGGAACAACAACGCTGCATGCAACAGCTCTCTGGAGCCTGAAAACTCTATACTGCACAGAAGAGCTCAGCACTCCCAAATCCAGACGAATTCACGGAGTTCGTAGGCCAGCTCTTTGCTTCCTTCCCTATTGCTCTCACCCTATAAGCCATGGACAGATCCCCGCTCCATGTGCGAGAAATCAGGGGGCGTGTTCACTCCAGAAGCCCTTCCTCTCTGTGGGCCTTGGCTCCACTGAGGCTGAGCAGCTGCTGCAGCAATATCTGCGCTAGACCTCAGCCAGCCCTTTGGAAACTGCTCCCCCACATATTCCCATGCTGGGCTAGGAATCTCGGGCTCACTGTGCTGCTTCATCCTTCTCTTGTGAGCACGCAAGCTCTCGCTCTGGGCCTGAATGCCACAACTGCTTTCCGTTACCACTGTTAGAAACTGTTGAGGACACCCAGAGGCCTGCCTCAGAACCGGCTACCTTTGTGCTAGTACAGCGAGCCGTGAAGATATGCGTAGGAGATCCAGGAGCACTGCATACACCAGAAGAGCACAGGGCTAATGCAGCACAAGAAAGGGAAGAATGTCAGCAAAAGCAGCGTCCCAACAGCGCCTGGAACCACATGGACGCAAAAGACAAGCCCCCCTGGCCTCGCACACACCGCCTCCCGCTCAGGACGTTCTCTCCAGCTGAAGGACGAAGCCCCGCAGCAGCAAACGCAAGACTTCCCCTCCCATCCCTATCTGACTCAGCCAGACAGAGGCCCCAGGCTGCAACGGCATCCACAGAGCCCTGCGGCGTCGGGCAACAGCAGAGCTTCTGCCCAGGACCCCTGCACCCTCCTCACCTCCACACAGCCAGCCCCAGGTCAAGCACTGGGCACCAGCGCTTTTCGGGAAGCCTCAACAACTCCTCCCAGCCCTCATCCCACACAGAAAGCGCACACAAGTCGAGGTGCTCACAGACCTTCATTTCTCCCCCTACAAGGAAACCCGTGTCCCCATGGCCAGACAATTACCTTCGCTTGTCGAGGACGGTGGTGACAGGGAGGTGGTGTGTGTCGGCGTGGGCGGGGATGCGCTGCTAGTAGTCAGGGTGCTGGGGGACGTGGTCGGTGGAGGAGTAACAGGCGTTGTCCCCGGGGTGCTGCTGCTGGAGGACGTCGTGCCACTGGTGGTACTGCTGGGACCTGTCGTCGATGTTGGCGGGAGAGTGGTGGTCGACACAGGCCCAGTTGTGGTACCGGGGGGAGTGGTGCCTGTCAGTCGGTGTTGGCGGGAGAGTGGTGGTCGACACAGTTTCAACGGTTGTGGAGCCGGGGGGACTGGTTCCTGAGAAAACACAGTGCTTTATTGCAAACCGGCAAACGGCGGTTGGTATTAACCTCCGTGGCTTTCCCTGAACCTCAGGAAACGCCATCAAGCTTTGCAGAGGAAATGCCGACAGGAATAAAGCAGAACCAGTTCTCCGCGTGGCTCTTGCAGAAGAACGTGGGGATCACAGACAAAATCTCCTACGGCTTGCACGGCACTCAGATGCCAACGCTTGCGCAGGGAACAACAACGCTGCATGCAACAGCTCTCTGGAGCCTGAAAACTCTATACTGCACAGAAGAGCTCAGCACTCCCAAATCCAGACGAATTCACAGAGTTCGTAGGCCAGCTCTTTGCTTCCTTCCCTATTGCTCTCACCCTATAAGCCATGGACAGATCCCCGCTCCATGTGCGAGAAATCAGGGGGCGTGTTCACTCCAGAAGCCCTTCCTCTCTGTGGGCCTTGGCTCCACTGAGGCTGAGCAGCTGCTGCAGCAATATCTGCGCTAGACCTCAGCCAGCCCTTTGGAAACTGCTCCCCCACATATTCCCATGCTGGGCTAGGAATCTCGGGCTCACTGTGCTGCTTCATCCTTCTCTTGGGAGCACGCAAGCTCTCGCTCTGGGCCTGAATGCCACAACTGCTTTCCGTTACCACTGTTAGAAACTGTTGAGGACACCCAGAGGCCTGCCTCAGAACCGGCTACCTTTGTGCTAGTACAGCGAGCCGTGAAGATATGCGTAGGAGATCCAGGAGCACTGCATACACCAGAAGAGCACAGGGCTAATGCAGCACAAGAAAGGGAAGAATGTCAGCAAAAGCAGCGTCCCAACAGCGCCTGGAACCACATGGACGCAAAAGACAAGCCCCCTGGCCTCGCACACACCGCCTCCCGCTCAGGACGTTCTCTCCAGCTGAAGGACGAAGCCCCGCAGCAGCAAACGCAAGACTTCCACTCCCATCCCTATCTGACTCAGCCGGCCAGAGGCCCCAGGCTGCAACGGCATCCACAGAGCCCTGCGGCGTCGGGCAACAGCAGAGCTTCTGCCCAGGACCCCTGCACCCTCCTCACCTCCACACAGCCAGCCCCAGGTCAAGCACTGGGCACCAGCGCTTTTCGGGAAGCCTCAACAACTCCTCCCAGCCCTCATCCCACACAGAAAGCTGCACACAAGTCGAGGTGCTCACAGACCTTCATTTCTCCCCCTACAAGGAAACCCGTGTCCCCATGGCCAGACAATTACCTTCGCTTGTCGAGGACGGTGGTGACAGGGAGGTGGTGTGTGTCGGCGTGGGCGGGGATGCGCTGCTAGTAGTCAGGGTGGTGGGGGACGTGGTCGGTGGAGGAGTAACAGACGTTGTCCCCGGGGTGCTGCTGCTGGAGGACGTCGTGCCACTGGTGGTACTGCTGGGACCTGTCGTCGGTGTTGGCGGGAGAGTGGTGGTCGACACAGGCCCAGTTGTGGTACCGGGGGGAGTGGTGCCTGTCAGTCGGTGTTGGCGGGAGAGTGGTGGTCGACACAGTTTCAACGGTTGTGGAGCCGGGGGGACTGGTTCCTGAGAAAACACAGTGCTTTATTGCAAACCGGCAAACGGCGGTTGGTATTAACCTCCGTGGCTTTCCCTGCAACCTCAGGAAACGCCATCAAGCTTTGCAGAGGAAATGCCGACAGGAATAAAGCAGAACCAGTTCTCCGCGTGGCTCTTGCAGAAGAACGTGGGGATCACAGACAAAATCTCCTACGGCTTGCACGGCACTCAGATGCCAACGCTTGCGCAGGGAACAACAACGCTGCATGCAACAGCTCTCTGGAGCCTGAAAACTCTATACTGCACAGAAGAGCTCAGCACTCCCAAATCCAGACGAATTCACAGAGTTCGTAGGCCAGCTCTTTGCTTCCTTCCCTATTGCTCTCACCCTATAAGCCATGGACAGATCCCCGCTCCATGTGCGAGAAATCAGGGGGCGTGTTCACTCCAGAAGCCCTTCCTCTCTGTGGGCCTTGGCTCCACTGAGGCTGAGCAGCTGCTGCAGCAATATCTGCGCTAGACCTCAGCCAGCCCTTTGGAAACTGCTCCCCCACATATTCCCATGCTGGGCTAGGAATCTCGGGCTCACTGTGCTGCTTCATCCTTCTCTTGTGAGCACGCAAGCTCTCGCTCTGGGCCTGAATGCCACAACTGCTTTCCGTTACCACTGTTAGAAACTGTTGAGGACACCCAGAGGCCTGCCTCAGAACCGGCTACCTTTGTGCTAGTACAGCGAGCCGTGAAGATATGCGTAGGAGATCCAGGAGCACTGCATACACCAGAAGAGCACAGGGCTAATGCAGCACAAGAAAGGGAAGAATGTCAGCAAAAGCAGCGTCCCAACAGCGCCTGGAACCACATGGACGCAAAAGACAAGCCCCCTGGCCTCGCACACACCGCCTCCCGCTCAGGACGTTCTCTCCAGCTGAAGGACGAAGCCCCGCAGCAGCAAACGCAAGACTTCCACTCCCATCCCTATCTGACTCAGCCGGCCAGAGGCCCCAGGCTGCAACGGCATCCACAGAGCCCTGCGGCGTCGGGCAACAGCAGAGCTTCTGCCCAGGACCCCTGCACCCTCCTCACCTCCACACAGCCAGCCCCAGGTCAAGCACTGGGCACCAGCGCTTTTCGGGAAGCCTCAACAACTCCTCCCAGCCCTCATCCCACACAGAAAGTGCACACAAGTCGAGGTGCTCACAGACCTTCATTTCTCCCCCTACAAGGAAACCCGTGTCCCCATGGCCAGACAATTACCTTCGCTTGTCGAGGACGGTGGTGACAGGGAGGTGGTGTGTGTCGGCGTGGGCGGGGATGCGCTGCTAGTAGTCAGGGTGCTGGGGGACGTGGTCGGTGGAGGAGTAACAGACGTTGTCCCCGGGGTGCTGCTGCTGGAGGACGTCGTGCCACTGGTGGTACTGCTGGGACCTGGCGTCGGTGTTGGCGGGAGAGTGGTGGTCGACACAGGCCCAGTTGTGGTACCGGGGGGAGTGGTGCCTGTCATCGGTGTTGGCGGGAGAGTGGTGGTCGACACAGTTTCAACGGTTGTGGAGCCGGGGGGACTGGTTCCTGAGAAAACACAGTGCTTTATTGAAAACTGGCAAATGGCGGTTGGTATTAACCTCCGTGGCTTTCCAGCAACTTCAGGAAACGCCATCAAGCTTTGCAGAGGAAATGCCGACAGGAATAAAGCAGAACCAGTTCTCCGCGTGGCTCTTGCAGAAGAACGTGGGGATCACAGACAAAATCTCCTACGGCTTGCATGGCACTCAGATGCCAACGCTTGCGCAGGGAGCCACGCTGCATGCAACAGCTCTCTGGAGCCTGAAAACTCTGTACTGCACAGAAGAGCTCAGCACTCCCAAGTCCAGACGAATTCACAAAGTTCGTAGGCCAGCTCTTTGCTTCCTTCCCTATTGCTCTCACCCTATAAGCCGTGGACAGATCCCCGCTCCATGTGCGAGAAATCAGGGGGCGTGTTCACTCCAGAAGCCCTTCCTCTCTGTGGGCCTTGGCTCCACTGAGGCTGAGCAGCTGCTGCAGCAATATCTGCGCTAGACCTCAGCCAGCCCTTTGGAAACTGCTCCCCCACATATTCCCATGCTGGGCTAGGAATCTCGGGCTCACTGTGCTGCTTCATCCTTCTCTTGGGAGCACGCAAGCTCTCGCTCTGGGCCTGAATGCCACAACTGCTTTCCGTTACCACTGTTAGAAACTGTTGAGGACACCCAGAGGCCTGCCTCAGAACCGGCTACCTTTGTGCTAGTACAGCGAGCCGTGAAGATATGCGTAGGAGATCCAGGAGCACTGCATACACCAGAAGAGCACAGGGCTAATGCAGCACAAGAAAGGGAAGAATGTCAGCAAAAGCAGCGTCCCAACAGCGCCTGGAACCACATGGACGCAAAAGACAAGCCCCCGTGGCCTCGCACACACCGCCTCCCGCTCAGGACGTTCTCTCCAGCTGAAGGACGAAGCCCCGCAGCAGCAAACGCAAGACTTCCACTCCCATCCCTATCTGACTCAGCCGGCCAGAGGCCCCACGGCTGCAACGGCATCCACAGAGCCCTGCGGCGTCGGGCAACAGCAGAGCTTCTGCCCAGGACCCCTGCACCCTCCTCACCTCCACACAGCCAGCCCCAGGTCAAGCACTGGGCACCAGCGCTTTTCGGGAAGCCTCAACAACTCCTCCCAGCCCTCATCCCACACAGAAAGTGCACACAAGTCGAGGTGCTCACAGACCTTCATTTCTCCCCCTACAAGGAAACCCGTGTCCCCATGGCCAGACAATTACCTTCGCTTGTCGAGGACGGTGGTGACAGGGAGGTGGTGTGTGTCGGCGTGGGCGGGGATGCGCTGCTAGTAGTCAGGGTGCTGGGGGACGTGGTCGGTGGAGGAGTAACAGACGTTGTCCCCGGGGTGCTGCTGCTGGAGGACGTCGTGCCACTGGTGGTACTGCTGGGACCTGGCGTCGGTGTTGGCGGGAGAGTGGTGGTCGACACAGGCCCAGTTGTGGTACCGGGGGGAGTGGTGCCTGTCATCGGTGTTGGCGGGAGAGTGGTGGTCGACACAGTTTCAACGGTTGTGGAGCCGGGGGGACTGGTTCCTGAGAAAACACAGTGCTTTATTGCAAACCGGCAAACAGGCGGTTGGTATTAACCTCCGTGGCTTTCCAGCAACCTCAGGAAACGCCATCAAGCTTTGCAGAGGAAATGCCGACAGGAATAAAGCAGAACCAGTTCTCCGCGTGGCTCTTGCAGAAGAACGTGGGGATCACAGACAAAATCTCCTACGGCTTGCACGGCACTCAGATGCCAACGCTTCCGCAGGGAACAATAACGCTGCATGCAACAGCTCTCTGGAGCCTGAAAACTCTATACTGCACAGAAGGGGTCAGCACTCCCAAATCCAGACGAATTCACGGAGTTCGTAGGCCAGCTCTTTGCTTCCTTCCCTATTGCTCTCACCCTATAATCCGTGGACAGATCCCCGCTTCATGTGCGAGAAATCAGGGGACGTGTTCACTTCAGAAGCCCTTCCTCTCTGTGGGCCTTTGCTCCACTGAGGCTGAGCAGCTGCTGCAGCAATATCTGCGCTAGACCTCAGCCAGCCCTTTGGAAACTGCTCCCCCACATATTCCCATGCTGGGCTAGGAATCTCGGGCTCACTGTGCTGCTTCATCCTTCTCTTGGGAGCACGCAAGCTCTCGCTCTGGGCCTGAATGCCACAACTGCTTTCCGTTACCACTGTTAGAAACTGTTGAGGACACCCAGAGGCCTGCCTCAGAACCGGCTACCTTTGTGCTAGTACAGCGAGCCGTGAAGATATGCGTAGGAGATCCAGGAGCACTGCATACACCAGAAGAGCACAGGGCTAATGCAGCACAAGAAAGGGAAGAATGTCAGCAAAAGCAGCGTCCCAACAGCGCCTGGAACCACATGGACGCAAAAGACAAGCCCCCCTGGCCTCGCACACACCACCTCCCGCTCAGGACGCTCTCTCCAGCTGAAGGACGAAGCCCCGCAGCAGCAAACGCAAGACTTCCACTCCCATCCCTATCTGACTCAGCCGGCCAGAGGCCCCAGGCTGCAACGGCATCCACAGAGCCCTGCGGCGTCGGGCAACAGCAGAGCTTCTGCCCAGGACCCCTGCACCCTCCTCACCTCCACACAGCCAGCCCCAGGTCAAGCACTGGGCACCAGCGCTTTTCGGGAAGCCTCAACAACTCCTCCCAGCCCTCATCCCACACAGAAAGTGCACACAAGTCGAGGTGCTCACAGACCTTCATTTCTCCCCCTACAAGGAAACCCGTGTCCCCATGGCCAGACAATTACCTTCGCTTGTCGAGGACGGTGGTGACAGGGAGGTGGTGTGTGTCGGCGTGGGCGGGGATGCGCTGCTAGTAGTCAGGGTGCTGGGGGACGTGGTCGGTGGAGGAGTAACAGACGTTGTCCCCGGGGTGCTGCTGCTGGAGGACGTCGTGCCACTGGTGGTACTGCTGGGACCTGGCGTCGGTGTTGGCGGGAGAGTGGTGGTCGACACAGGCCCAGTTGTGGTACCGGGGGGAGTGGTGCCTGTCATCGGTGTTGGCGGGAGAGTGGTGGTCGACACAGTTTCAACGGTTGTGGAGCCGGGGGGACTGGTTCCTGAGAAAACACAGTGCTTTATTGAAAACTGTCAAATGGCGGTTGGTATTAACCTCCGTGGCTTTCCAGCAACCTTCAGGAAACGCCATCAAGCTTTGCAGAGGAAATGCCGACAGGAATAAAGCAGAACCAGTTCTCCGCGTGGCTCTTGCAGAAGAACGTGGGGATCACAGACAAAATCTCCTACGGCTTGCATGGCACTCAGATGCCAACGCTTGCGCAGGGAGCACACGCTGCATGCAACAGCTCTCTGGAGCCTGAAAACTCTGTACTGCACAGAAGAGCTCAGCACTCCCAAGTCCAGACGAATTCACAAAGTTCGTAGGCCAGCTCTTTGCTTCCTTCCCTATTGCTCTCACCCTATAAGCCGTGGACAGATCCCCGCTCCATGTGCGAGAAATCAGGGGGCGTGTTCACTCCAGAAGCCCTTCCTCTCTGTGGGCCTTGGCTCCACTGAGGCTGAGCAGCTGCTGCAGCAATATCTGCGCTAGACCTCAGCCAGCCCTTTGGAAACTGCTCCCCCACATATTCCCATGCTGGGCTAGGAATCTCGGGCTCACTGTGCTGCTTCATCCTTCTCTTGGGAGCACGCAAGCTCTCGCTCTGGGCCTGAATGCCACAACTGCTTTCCGTTACCACTGTTAGAAACTGTTGAGGACACCCAGAGGCCTGCCTCAGAACCGGCTACCTTTGTGCTAGTACAGCGAGCCGTGAAGATATGCGTAGGAGATCCAGGAGCACTGCATACACCAGAAGAGCACAGGGCTAATGCAGCACAAGAAAGGGAAGAATGTCAGCAAAAGCAGCGTCCCAACAGCGCCTGGAACCACATGGACGCAAAAGACAAGCCCCCGTGGCCTCGCACACACCGCCTCCCTCTCAGGACGTTCTCTCCAGCTGAAGGACGAAGCCCCGCAGCAGCAAACGCAAGACTTCCACTCCCATCCCTATCTGACTCAGCCGGCCAGAGGCCCCAGGCTGCAACGGCATCCACAGAGCCCTGCGGCGTCGGGCAACAGCAGAGCTTCTGCCCAGGACCCCTGCACCCTCCTCACCTCCACACAGCCAGCCCCAGGTCAAGCACTGGGCACCAGCGCTTTTCGGGAAGCCTCAACAACTCCTCCCAGCCCTCATCCCACACAGAAAGTGCACACAAGTCGAGGTGCTCACAGACCTTCATTTCTCCCCCTACAAGGAAACCCGTGTCCCCATGGCCAGACAATTACCTTCGCTTGTCGAGGACGGTGGTGACAGGGAGGTGGTGTGTGTCGGCGTGGGCGGGGATGCGCTGCTAGTAGTCAGGGTGCTGGGGGACGTGGTCGGTGGAGGAGTAACAGACGTTGTCCCCGGGGTGCTGCTGCTGGAGGACGTCGTGCCACTGGTGGTACTGCTGGGACCTGGCGTCGGTGTTGGTGGGAGAGTGGTGGTCGACACGGGCCCAGTTGTGGTACCGGGGGGAGTGGTGCCTGTCATCGGTGTTGGCGGGAGAGTGGTGGTCGACACAGTTTCAACGGTTGTGGAGCCGGGGGGACTGGTTCCTGAGAAAACACAGTGCTTTATTGCAAACCGGCAAACAGCGGTTGGTATTAACCTCCGTGGCTTTCCAGCAACCTCAGGAAACGCCATCAAGCTTTGCAGAGGAAATGCCGACAGGAATAAAGCAGAACCAGTTCTCCGCGTGGCTCTTGCAGAAGAACGTGGGGATCACAGACAAAATCTCCTACGGCTTGCACGGCACTCAGATGCCAACGCTTCCGCAGGGAACAATAACGCTGCATGCAACAGCTCTCTGGAGCCTGAAAACTCTATACTGCACAGAAGAGGCTCAGCACTCCCAAATCCAGACGAATTCACGGAGTTCGTAGGCCAGCTCTTTGCTTCCTTCCCTATTGCTCTCACCCTATAATCCGTGGACAGATCCCCGCTTCATGTGCGAGAAATCAGGGGACGTGTTCACTTCAGAAGCCCTTCCTCTCTGTGGGCCTTTGCTCCACTGAGGCTGAGCAGCTGCTGCAGCAATATCTGCGCTAGACCTCAGCCAGCCCTTTGGAAACTGCTCCCCCACATATTCCCATGCTGGGCTAGGAATCTCGGGCTCACTGTGCTGCTTCATCCTTCTCTTGGGAGCACGCAAGCTCTCGCTCTGGGCCTGAATGCCACAACTGCTTTCCGTTACCACTGTTAGAAACTGTTGAGGACACCCAGAGGCCTGCCTCAGAACCGGCTACCTTTGTGCTAGTACAGCGAGCCGTGAAGATATGCGTAGGAGATCCAGGAGCACTGCATACACCAGAAGAGCACAGGGCTAATGCAGCACAAGAAAGGGAAGAATGTCAGCAAAAGCAGCGTCCCAACAGCGCCTGGAACCACATGGACGCAAAAGACAAGCCCCCTGGCCTCGCACACACCACCTCCCGCTCAGGACGCTCTCTCCAGCTGAAGGACGAAGCCCCACAGCAGCAAACGCAAGACTTCCACTCCCATCCCTATCTGACTCAGCCGGCCAGAGGCCCCAGGCTGCAACGGCATCCACAGAGCCCTGCGGCGTCGGGCAACAGCAGAGCTTCTGCCCAGGACCCCTGCACCCTCCTCACCTCCACACAGCCAGCCCCAGGTCAAGCACTGGGCACCAGCGCTTTTCGGGAAGCCTCAACAACTCCTCCCAGCCCTCATCCCACACAGAAAGTGCACACAAGTCGAGGTGCTCACAGACCTTCATTTCTCCCCCTACAAGGAAACCCGTGTCCCCATGGCCAGACAATTACCTTCGCTTGTCGAGGACGGTGGTGACAGGGAGGTGGTGTGTGTCGGCGTGGGCGGGGATGCGCTGCTAGTAGTCAGGGTGCTGGGGGACGTGGTCGGTGGAGGAGTAACAGACGTTGTCCCCGGGGTGCTGCTGCTGGAGGACGTCGTGCCACTGGTGGTACTGCTGGGACCTGGCGTCGGTGTTGGCGGGAGAGTGGTGGTCGACACAGGCCCAGTTGTGGTACCGGGGGGAGTGGTGCCTGTCATCGGTGTTGGCGGGAGAGTGGTGGTCGACACAGTTTCAACGGTTGTGGAGCTGGGGGGACTGGTTCCTGAGAAAACACAGTGCTTTATTGCAAACCGGCAAACGGCGGTTGGTATTAACCTCCGTGGCTTTCCAGCAACCTCAGGAAACGCCATCAAGCTTTGCAGAGGAAATGCCGACAGGAATAAAGCAGAACCAGTTCTCCGCGTGGCTCTTGCAGAAGAACGTGGGGATCACAGACAAAATCTCCTACGGCTTGCATGGCACTCAGATGCCAACGCTTCCGCAGGGAACAACAACGCTGCATGCAACAGCTCTCTGGAGCCTGAAAACTCTATACTGCACAGAAGAGCTCAGCACTCCCAAATCCAGACAAATTCACGGAGTTCGTAGGCCAGCTCTTTGCTTCCTTCCCTATTGCTCTCACCCTATAAGCCGTGGACAGATCCCCACTTCATGTGCGAGAAATCAGGGGGCGTGTTCACTCCAGAAGCCCTTCCTCTCTGTGGGCCTTGGCTCCACTGAGGCTGAGCAGCTGCTGCAGCAATATCTGCGCTAGACCTCAGCCAGCCCTTTGGAAACTGCTCCCCCACATATTCCCATGCTGGGCTAGGAATCTCGGGCTCACTGTGCTGCTTCATCCTTCTCTTGGGAGCACGCAAGCTCTCGCTCTGGGCCTGAATGCCACAACTGCTTTCCGTTACCACTGTTAGAAACTGTTGAGGACACCCAGAGGCCTGCCTCAGAACCGGCTACCTTTGTGCTAGTACAGCGAGCCGTGAAGATATGCGTAGGAGATCCAGGAGCACTGCATACACCAGAAGAGCACAGGGCTAATGCAGCACAAGAAAGGGAAGAATGTCAGCAAAAGCAGCGTCCCAACAGCGCCTGGAACCACATGGACGCAAAAGACAAGCCCCCTGGCCTCGCACACACCACCTCCCGCTCAGGACGTTCTCTCCAGCTGAAGGACGAAGCCCCGCAGCAGCAAACGCAAGACTTCCACTCCCATCCCTATCTGACTCAGCCGGCCAGAGGCCCCAGGCTGCAACGGCATCCACAGAGCCCTGCGGCGTCGGGCAACAGCAGAGCTTCTGCCCAGGACCCCTGCACCCTCCTCACCTCCACACAGCCAGCCCCAGGTCAAGCACTGGGCACCAGCGCTTTTCGGGAAGCCTCAACAACTCCTCCCAGCCCTCATCCCACACAGAAAGTGCACACAAGTCGAGGTGCTCACAGACCTTCATTTCTCCCCCTACAAGGAAACCCGTGTCCCCATGGCCAGACAATTACCTTCGCTTGTCGAGGACGGTGGTGACAGGGAGGTGGTGTGTGTCGGCGTGGGCGGGGATGCGCTGCTAGTAGTCAGGGTGCTGGGGGACGTGGTCGGTGGAGGAGTAACAGAGGTTGTCCCCGGGGTGCTGCTGCTGGAGGACGTCGTGCCACTGGTGGTACTGCTGGGACCTGGCGTCGGTGTTGGCGGGAGAGTGGTGGTCGACACGGGCCCAGTTGTGGTACCGGGGGGTGTGGTGCCTGTTGTCGGTGTTGGAGGGAGAGTGGTTGTTGTTGTGGTTGTAGTGGAAGGAGTGCTCGTTGTGGTTGTAGTGGTTAATTCTGTGGTTGTGGAATGTGTGGTTGTCGTGGTAGTATGTGGAGTACACCACGGTGGTAGTTCAGGCACACAGCAGACTTTGATCTGGTAATTGATGCAGACTGGCATGGGAATTATGCCTCCTGGCTTCTGATCCTCATTTTTACAGAGGAGCCCTGTGTTAACGTTACATTCCACTTTTTGCCCTAAATCGGAAATGGGAATGTCAGGATATTTCTCGGCTCTGCATGAAATATTCTCAACCTTCGCACAATTCCATGGAGGCCTATTTATCTGAATGGTCTCAAAGGTCTCATCATCACCACCGTTTGAGCCATATTCTGGGTAACTCTCATCGATCCAGTCAGTCCAGGTGCAGCCCCCTGGAGGGATTGTGCACGGTTCTAATGGGGAACAAAACCAAAAGCAAACAGTTAGAAAGCGGAAGAAGGAATCACTTCAGACAGGTTTAAACAGGTCTAATGGTCAGCCATAGCAGCATATATTAGACATAAGGGCTGCCCTAGGGTCTGAAACCTAGCAAAAGTTGGGCTGCCATCTGAAACCTTCTGCAGAATTCGGAAAGGGAATATCTACCTTCCCAGAGCCACACCTACACTTCAATGGCAGTAATGGCCACAGAGGAAATACAACAACAATACAGACCTTCATTTCTCCCCCTACAAGGAAACCCGTGTCCCCATGGCCAGACAATTACCTTCGCTTGTCGAGGACGGTGGTGACAGGGAGGTGGTGTGTGTCGGCGTGGGCGGGGATGCGCTGCTAGTAGTCAGGGTGGTGGGGGACGTGGTCGGTGGAGGAGTAACTGACGTTGTCCCCGGGGTGCTGCTGCTGGAGGACGTCGTGCCACTGGTGGTACTGCTGGGACCTGTCGTTGAGACCGGCGGATGAGTTGTTGTCCACAGAGTTATAGTCGAAGCTGTGCTTGTTGTTGTGGAGAATGTTGTGGGCCTACTGGTGCTGTATTCTGGAGTTGTAATGCACTTCTCGTTGTTGATGCAGCAAATATTGATCTCGTAGTTATGGCAGTATGTAGTATTGCTGTTTACCTGATCTTTATTATTGCAGATGAGCCCTGTGTTAACGTTACATTCCACTTTCTGCCCTAAATCTTCAAGGGTAGTGTTCGGCTGCTCAGTTGCTCTGCATGAGATATTCTCAGCTTTTATGCATGTCCAGGTGCTGTTGTGGTTCTTGATATTTTCTAAGGTTTCATAGTCACCACTGTTTACATCAGAAATGTTTGGCTTACTCACATCATACCAGCCGGTCCATATGCAGGAACAATTTTTTACTGTGTGACATCAGAAAGAAGAATAATTAGGAACAGCAGAGACAGAAACAGCATACTCATGAGTGGTGCAATTATCCTCCACCGCACACAAAGGTGCACCTTGGGCATTGCCACTCACCTACATCCTCCCCCTCCCCGATTCAGGACACTGGCACTGTCAACCCACATGTGATTCCCTCTCATGATAAGGGCAATATGCTGTTTAGGGCTTGTTGTGGCAAGAAACTGGCATAAGTGAAAAAAAATTAAGTGGAACACGACCAAAAAGACACTGCCAAAACTCTTGCACCTTCTCTTCCCAATCACAACACCTGTTCTATCTCAGGGCAAAACACGGGAGAGGATCATGACCACAAAGTGAGAAGGCACAGGACACACACTGCTGCCAAAATGTCAGGCTGCTTTCCAGCAGTGTGAAGAATGGTCATAGGAACTCTGACAGAATCTGTCTGCCCAGAGTCTTGGTCTGTAGCAAGGGTCTAGCTATGGTCTAAAGCCTTTCCCCAAACCTACCACTTAAAACCTGCCTTCCTAGGAGCTAGAACTGCAGGTGAGTGGCAGGAACAACCACAGAGTCAATGCAGAAGAATTAAGGGAATAAAGTCTGAAAAGCCATGCCCCAACAGTGTCTGAAATGACAGTGCCACACAAAACAACCCCGCTGCCATTGCACACCACACATCCTGCTGTGCATGTCCTCTCCAGCTGATGGATGAAGACAAATATCAGTGAAAGCCAGACATTTCATCAGTACAGCTGCCTAAGATGGGCAGAAGCACCATGAAAAAAATATCCTCATGCTTAAGAAAATCAAAGAATTGGAACTGAGACACAGAAATATGTTGTGCACTCTAACTCCTAAATAGAGAGCTTAGTACCCTAGAGCTCAGGAGCCTTTTTTTTTTTTTTTTTAAATCTAAATCAACAGCTTTCTGCAAAGCTGCAAAGCACCACAGTGAAGACATATCTTAAGGAGCCAATAGATCTTTTCCCCCATACTAAGGCAACACATGACAACACAGAGCAGAGAATTACATGGTAGTGTAGTTGGAGGCGGCTGGGTTTGAGTTCTTATTGTTAGTGGGACCGTGCTTGTAATAGTTGGAGTGGGTACTGATGTGCCAGGAACTGTTGTCGTTGTCCCAAGGGTGCTGCTGGTGCTCAAGGTGCTCAAGGTGCTCCAGGGTGGCATGCTGGTGGTTGTACTGCTGGAAGACTCCGATGAAGTTGGTATGGGAGTAGTGGTTGGTACTGGGAGACATCAACAAGAGGAACAATTATGAACAGCAGGGACAGAGACAACAGGTAAAGATGGAAGCAGATGCATGAGTAGGACAGAGGATTTACTGAACAGAAGGTAGGACTTTGCCACAAACCTACAGTGGTCAGCCCAATCTTGCTGCAACAAAGGTCTATAGGTCTATATCACTAGTCCTTCTTTTCTGACTCCAGAATGTAGACTAGGAAAATCAGCCAAATCAGTATACAGACATGGTTGAGACACCCCTTAACTAGTGAAGACAGTTGGGATGTTGCTCTGGTCAGCTTCTCACTAGATGAAATGTACCCCACAGTGGGTAAGACATGAGGAGGAGAAAGGCCCTGTGGTTCTTCCCACCTTTGCCTTATCACTCTGAACACCTCACTATCTCAGAGATATCTCAGTGAGAGCTAAGAGGGGAAGGTGTAGTCAGGGAGGGAAGTATGCACAGGGATATGTTCCTGTCTGAACTTCATGACACCTCCCTGTGGTGCAATGGCAGCCTGAGTAAGAGATTCAAAGAAGTACTAGTGAGTCTCAATAGCCAAAGGCCACAGCTCACGGCAAGTGACAACTGGCAGGGTTATATAGTTCCGTGAAGGCTACCAAGGCAATTCTTCCGTCCTAGACCTACAACCACAGTCAAGTATCAGTATTGACAGGAGGAAAGCAGGATAAGGAGAAGAAGTTCTGCACAGCCCTGCACAGATGATGCTTAAAATGATGGTACTCCAAATCAAGGTCTATTCTAATCTCACACAATGGGTCCTTCTGAGAATGTTCTCTTCAGTGGAAGGATACAGCTCAAAACCAGCAAAGTAAGATTTCACGCCAGCTCAGTGTCTGTCACAGAGATGGCATGCCTTAAGTAGCTGACAACCTGCTATTTATCCTATGGCAAGGCAAGAAAAGAGAGTATTGGTCTGCTAAATACCTGTGGAGGCTGAAGTTACTGGGCTGGTAACAGATGGCGTGGTCTGGCTTATGGTGGCTGGAGTGGTTATTGGTGGGCTGGTAGTTGATTTTGTTGGCAGGGTTGCAGTAGTTGTGGGTATTGTTGTTCTGATGGTGACTGGGCTTGTGGTTGTAGGCCAACAAGGAATTTCCTTCCACTCACAACAGCTTACTCTGATTTCATAATTATAGCAAAGAGGCCAGATACTTGTGACTTGCTCCTCATTTTTACAGATGAGTCCATATGTAACATTACACTCCACTTTCTGGCCAAGTTGCTCTAAGCTTAAATCAGGGTTATCTTTAGCCCTGCATTCAATGTTCTCAGGATGATCACATATTTCATGTCCGTGTTTATTTATTTCATCATAGGTTTCATAGTCACCACCACCTTCTTCAGGTTTACTAACATCAAACCACTGAGACCAATTACAGATTAATCCAAAGCATGGAGCTGCAAGAAAAGACAGAGGTTCAGCATCTGAGCTCACAGAGGAAATTCTGAGTAGGTTCATTTTGTATTGTACTCCATTAATGATTAAAGTGATGCATTGCAATTTGTCATTTTTGCAAGACAAAAGAATTCTAAAACTGGTTCAATGTTACCAGTTTCTTCAACAGGAAGCTTTACATAAAAATAAAATCACCAACCTGGAGGCTTTAAAGGTCTTTCTTCTCAATATACTTGTCACATTTTTACAATTTCAGGTCTTTAAAAACATATATTTTTTGGTTTTAATACCAAACATTTTAAAAATGTATTTCTGTAGTAGTCATCTTCAACTTACTAATCCTTTAGAAGTTCCTTTGACATTTTATAGTAACTTTTTAAATTTATTTTTATTATTATTTAAAACTTACTTGTTGCTGGAGTTGTAACTGAAAAACAAAACAAAACAAACAAAAAAAACCTTCATCATCTGCAACTTTTAGAAAACCATATAATACTAGTTTTAAATATTCTAATTATGTTTTTTTTTGCTGTGACTACTGAGACAATTTCTGTTATCAGCAGGACACTAAAAGGAGGGAATCCTGTACATTTAGTAGTCACAATTTCTTCCACAAAATGTAAATCAACTCAGTGTTAAAAATCTTTCTTAGTGCAGTGTGATAAAACTATTCGTAATTATTGCTCTAGCTGTGTCAACTATGGTAAGCAACTATGATAAGTATGATACTTGCACATTCTATCTTTAAAATATTTTCCTTAAAGAAAGTAATTTATAGATGTGGATCTCTGTTGAAGATTTACCTATGGTTGTAATTGTAGTTGTACCACTGCCGGTTATAATGGTTGAAGTTGAAGAATGTGTTGAAGGTGATGTAGGTGTCAAAGGTGAAGTAGTTGATGGACAAGGAAAAGGTCCTTCAGGAACTAGAGTTCCATTTGCTGCACAAATATATGTTGTGCACATGTCGCCATCCTGTACTACTGCCACAGGCGCTTCCCACTTCGTATCTCGTTCCATTGATGACACAAGGACATGCTGCAAGAAAGAGCTTTTATATGGAATTTGTCTACTAATGCTATCAGAAGACAAAGGCAAAATACTTATGGACCTGCCAAGGATACAAATAAACATTTAAATGCTGTGTCATGCACGCCCATCTCATAGCTATACCTAAAGGTTAGATCTAATGAACTGATTTATCTTTACGTTTAGAGGAATGTTAGAACATATCTAACAAAGCCCTATATAAAGTGACTTGGAAGAACAGACTTACAAACTAGGCTTAAAAAGACATCGAGAGAAACTGCAACTTAGGTTTGTATCTGACACTTTTTAATAATACTATGTGGTCTGAAAGTGCAAACTCTTGTAGTGAAATCCATTAGTTCAGATATGGGGCATGGGAGGAAAGAATACAGGGATATGAGAAAAAGATTGAACAAGTACTAACAGCTAGGTTCAGCAAAAGTGTTGCCCAGATTTCTTTGGCCACAACTTTCACTTGCACTGGAAAGAATTATTCCAAATCAGTATAAAGCCTTTGTAGAGACAGACATAGCAGTTCTATGCATTTATTTCTTCCTGTTTTTCTAAAAACAAACAGACATTATTTACCTGGGATTGGTGCACAATCAATGGATCCTGAGGGGCCACAGACACTAAAAGCAAAAATTTCAAAAATTAAAATATTACAGATGTTTTATGTCTCCCTGCTAGCAGACCAAGAATACAGAAGTGTACAAACTTGTTACTTAGTCTTCATTCATACTACTGGATACTTTTCTGTATAACATTTCCCAATATTGCCTATCATGATTTCATGCAAACTAAGTCATTACTTGCATTCTTTAAGTGCAGCATCTTAAGCTATCATAAACTGCTTTATGTTGCAAGTTGCAACATGGCAGTAATAAAAGACATTTGTCTGAGTGGTAAATGTTCAGCTAGATCAGTGTGGTTTTTTTTTGTTTTTGTCTTTTTGTCTCTGGTCATCATGTGGAGTCACAGATGGCAATTCTACCATTAATAAGGTTCTAGGAATGAGCAGTTAAGACTCAGGTACCTCCTGCAGGGCTAGTACAGATCATTTCAGATTACAGTAACTTTGAAATCCTAGTCTTAAGTGAGAATGCAAGGCAAACTAGCCCCTCTCTTCCCAAAGAGCCATGAAAATCAAAAGGTTGTTCTAGAGACACAGCCAGGCTTCATGTCACTGTATCACTTACAACACTTCTAAGAGTATATTTAAAGGTTGTTTGTTTGTTTATTTTACTAATAGACCTATTGGAAAGACACTATCAACTTGAAATCTGTATTATTATGGGTCTGTAAAATTATGGATGAAAAACTTTGAATCTGTATATATTGGAAGTGCAGCATTTCTTAAGTTTATGTCTCATCTAGAATAAATGGCATTGTTACTCTGACTTGTATTAATAAATGTTAGAATATATCAGTTCTTCAGTTGAAGTTGTATCTCTGCTAATTAAAATACATGCTTAAGGCACAGTAAAGAAAATGAGGTGCTCAGCATACATAAATTATTTCCTGAATTGTTGCAAATATTTTTTCATATTTACACACCACTTTGTACAGTTCTCTTCTGTAGGTATTTCTTCGCCAGGGCGAACAGGACTACCATTGACATAACACCAACATTTATCTGAAGTCACACATTCCTTTGTCTCTTCGTTATAAATGGGTGTCTTCTCAGGGCATCTGGGATAGCAACCTGTTGATGACAAGTAGCATAGAAAACAGAGTGAAGAAAAGTATACAAAGTTAATTCTGTAACAGGATATCTTCTGAAAGTAAATGATTCTTGCTGAGTCAGCCATAGTGAAAGGCCTTGCAGAGAGATCTGGACTGATTAGAGAGCTGGGCGATCACCAGCCGCATGAAGTTTAACAAGAGCAAATGCTGGGTCCTGCACCTGGGATGGGACAACCCTGGCTATACATACAGACTCAGTGATGAGATGCTGGAGTGCAGCCCCACAGAGAGGGATCTGGGGGTTTTGGTTGATAGCAAGGTGATGAGCCAGCAGTGTGCCCTGGCAGCCGGGAGGGCCAACCATATCCTGGGGTGCATCAAGCACAGCATCACTAGTTGGTCAAGGGAAGCAATTGTCCCACTCTACTCTGCACTGGTGCAGCCTCACCTCAAGCACTGTGTGCAGTTCTGGCACCACAGTACAAAAAGGACGTGAAACTATTAGCAAGTGTCCAGAGGAGGGCTATGAAGATGGTGAACGGCCTAGAGGGGAAGACGTACGAGGAGAGGCTGAGGTCACTTGGCCTGTTCAGCCTGGAAAAAAGGAGGCTGAGGGGAGACCTCATCACAGTCTACAGCTTCCTCATGACAGGGAGTGGAAGGGCAGGCACCGACCTATTCTCTTTAGTGACCTGCTATAGGACCTGCGGGAATGATGTCAAGCTGCAACAGGGAAGGTTCAGGCTGGATATCAGGAAGAGGTTCTTCACTGGAGACACAAATTCAACATAACATATTTAGGAATGTCTTGTCAAGATGAGTGACTTATCCATAGTTGTTAAACATACTTGAATGAAGTTTTATGAAATAGAAGACCAAAATTGCAAGGAATTTATTACCTTCCAGGTATGGTATTGAAAAATTGGTGCTGACATTATTAATCATCCTGCAGGTCATGACATCGCTGCCACAAGGCTCATAGTGCCACTCACACACATCAGGAGGGTTATAGTAGTCACAAAATATTGCTGATGAGAAAAAAAAGAAAGTTGATTAAAAATACAGTTGCCAAAATGCAGCTCAGCCCAGATGTTTAAAGGTAAAAGCTAAACGAATCTACAAGTTAAGCTAGCAAAATTTCTCTTAAGGCACGGGACCTGGATTTTCTTCTACTACACACAAACAGAGGATACACTCAAACTTTGGGGTCAAAACTCTGAGGCCTAAGATTTTGATATTGAACACTTAAGCTGAGGGGGAAAATGTTTGATTCAAACTACAAAAAAAAAAAAAAAAAAAAAAAAAAAAAAGTAAGAATTTGTACTTATTTAAATTTAAAATGAAGGGTGAAATTCTGATTTTTTTTTTCCCTAGCTACTAGCAAGCTTCAAAAATCTCTTGCAGTATGTATTCAAAACAGTTCTACTTGGTATATCACATAGATAGTCACCTCCAGCAGACCATGAACAAGCATGTAGGACATTATGAATACAGCTTAAATGGAATTCAGCTTAGTTGACTATGGACAGAGGTAGGAGCTTTCATAAACCTAGAAATAAGAGCTAATTGAAATTTACAACTTCTTACACTTGGAAAGCTAAACTAGTCTTAATTCTGAATCAGAATGAATTTTTACAATTCAAAAATTTAGCATTTCTGGCACTTTTTTGAGAGAGGGATATGAATTTAAATGTTATTTTACACATAATGGTATGAGCATTAGCACCGCTAGTGGATGCTGCTTAATACAGTCAATACTGATTAAGTTAATGTACACAGGAGTACTTCTATGTACTTTTGTTAAAACTAAATTCTGAATAATTTGCAAAAAGGAACAAGAAGAAAGGAAACGGGATTTAGAGTTCACCAATTACCAAGCAAAATGGAAGGATCACTTAACACCTAGCCTTAAAACAATCCCACCTTCTTCCCATCCCCACCCCCCAAAAAACAAACAAACAAACAAAAAACCCTAGGCTAGATAAAAGATAATTGATATACATAAATTACTAGTTCTATTTGTTCCCTTATGTGCTGTGAAAATAAATCATGCTGCACAGCTAGCACAACCCTGCAGAGGACAATATTGCAGTATTCATAGTTTATTTAATAAGCTTTCTGACAGCAGACAGAAAGACACAGTTGTGTTTAACTGTTACTCACGACATATATCAGGAGTTCTCCAGAAAACACAGGCCTCAGCCTTGGTACATTCTTGAGCATATGCAGCAACTGCAGAACAGAAGCAATCGCAGTCTCCACCACTGTCACAAGAGCAGGCATCATGAACACAAGCATCATAGAAAGGAGTTGGGTTTACCTGTTGGAGAAAGGAATGATGCCCCAGTTCATATCCAAACTAATAAGCATGAGATACCTCTTGAGATCTGGGAACTGAGCTGGGCAGGAATGAGGCTGTTTCTACGAATTACTAAACGTTATAGGCTAGAAACTGCTTAATGTATTTTGTATAGAAATGGACTTAAAGTAATATAGCACCTTTATAAATTGTTAGGATTAAAAATAAAAGTCTTTTGCAGTGCTCACATCTTCTGAGTTCCATTCTATTGCCCTCAATAACGAGTTGGATTAATGCCAGTGAAGTTGTTGTTTTGTTTTGTTTTGTTTTGTTTTTCAGCAAGATTTGACAGCCAAGTTGTGACCAATCTCAAAAAGGCTGCACTCAACAGGAAATACAAAGAAAAGAATTTTGTGTTTGCCAGTTTTTGGAGTTTATCTCATCAATGTTTTTGTTTGGGACTAGAAGAGGAGAAACTTGGATTGGATTTCAGCTCCTGAAGGAATCAATATAGAAGCTAAGGCTAGCTGAACTGTCCTAACACCTCTAGCTGAACTGAAGACTTAGCTGAACATCAGTCTACTTAATTCTCTTCATTCATTTCTGACATCTCACTGTTCCTACAGGAACAGAGATGCACTGTGCAATCCCATCACTTACTGCTCTCTACAAACCTTTGAGTGACAAATTTTGAAGACATCACCCAGGATGAGGCTGCATTCTTTCTCTGCCCAGGACTTGCGATGTGGTTTCAAATCACAGGGCTTAACCTCTTCTGTGACATCTGGACACACAGAAGACTGTTTCCAGGAATTCCCAAATGTCAGAGCACTAGTCTCCTGCACCCCACTCCTGGTTGTAAAATCATTGTTAGACTTGTCATCAAAGTTGCCACACAGACCACACACTTTGCCCTGGAAAAGGAAATGAACATATCCACAGCTTTTAACTATACCATGCAAGTGAGAAACAGATTCACATAGAGTAAGAACAAAACATTGACATTAAAAAGGACAATTGATTCTCCCTGTAAATGATGTATTTTCACCTTTACTTCCAATTCATTCAGACAGAAATTAAACTTTAATTTGTCTGTGTACTTAGCAAACTACAGCTGCCATGTCTTCCCTCTTTGAAATCAATTAGATCCACCATATCTCCATGCCTGTGTCCCTTCATCCCACTTATAACACTGAAGAGTGGCTAAGCTTCTTTCAGCTGAGAAGAATGAATTTATTTTCCATTCTTCTCAATTTACTGTAACTCAGTTGAGTGAATATTATTAATGTAAACCTGAGAGAATTGAATTCAGCTCAAAATTATTTTTTTCATTAAAAGCATCTGATGTACTTAGCATCATTTCTTTATCCATGAAACAAAAAAGCCAGGCACTCATTTTTCTTGAAAGAAAAAAAAAAAGTAGCAACCTACCCACAGTAGCAAAATTTTGGTAGTGATATACATATACTAAGGTATATCAGACCCGTGAAGAATTACGATCCTGTTACTTAACCCTGCACCTCCTCATTCAGCCCAGTGAAGTTAGCACTCTATAATTCAGTGCCCTGATTTTCAGAAATCTGAACCACCTTCTGACATTGCACAGGGAGTGTGGTTTTGACTTGGTGCTGAGATTCTGTGCAGGTTTCCAAGTTCTTATAAAGTTGATTAACATCCCCTAAAATACTCTGGATGACTGGCTCTTAACATTCGCAAACTCTGAATGTCTTAGACACATAGCTTTATTGCAATCGTATGCTATGCATACTCTGTGATGCACGTTAATGGACTATAAGAAACCTTGCACCCCTGCAAGCTGTGATAGTAATAACATAAGCTAATCATTCATGTGTAGAAGATACAGGATTAAATTCAGAGTCAGAATAAAAGATTATCCATGTTTTCTTATCTCATTTGTCTATTCATACTACTATTTCAAAAAAAGACAGAGAGATCCTAACTTTGTAATCAGGGGTCAGCTTGATGAAAACTGTGGTCTTCTTATCCCAGATAAGCATCACACCATTGCTAGCCTCAATAACGAGGTAGAGGCCTACTGTCTTGTTCCAGTAATACACATTATCACCAACATCTCGTGGAATTTCTTTATAATCTTTGTTCTCCAATTTCAGCTCAATATTCTGAAAGTTAAAAAGATGAGAAATGTTATAAAACTTTACTGATGAGATGAAATATTAGACATTTGTGACAGTACAACTTAGCCTGAAACTAAAAACTCAAAAGTCTGTTGGATGACTTTCCAGGATGACAGAAAGTGGTGTAGCACCTTTGCTTGAGATAACTAGAACAGATTTCAGTACCTAAAAATCTATATCTTAAAACATTTGATAGGGTCTCTAACCTTTACTTATTATAGCTGTCTTTAGTGGCTGGCTAGATATGGCTTTGTATCTGTATAAATTCGGAGCATTACTTTTTTTGAAATACTTGAATATTGATATACACTCATGAATATCACTACTCACCCCCAGAAACATTTTAATAGCCTTTGAGCAGGTGACACCTGTAGTTCCACAAGGGACGTTCTCTGTGATGATACTGAATGAGCCAACTGAATTTTTGTCACCACAATAATCCTATGGGAAAAGGAATAAATGAGCATATGAAAATTGAGTAGGATACTTCATTTTTATTTCAATCTAATAATAATTGCAAACACTTAAATGTCCACAATGTATAAATTGTTCCTACTGCTTCATATATAAGATCCTACATACCTATATTTTTACAGATGCACTAACAAATAAATTTTATGTATACAGAAATGTATATACATATGTGTTTGGGCATACATATAGTATGCAGAGTCTCATGTTTGACAGAACCGGGGAAACAAGTAGTGCAATGAAACAAAATAAGCAATTGTCTTTAAATAAAAAATGTTTTTGTTTTGTAAACTCAGGATTTTCACTTATTTCAGATTATGATTATGAGCTGTTAGTGCTCACTCTGAGCTAGTCCTTTTGCATACAATTTATATACACTGTATCAAAAGAAAACATTCACAAAGCTTGCCTGTGCTAAAAATACAGAATTTATCTTGGCATAATCTGCAAACATCTCAAGAACAGTGATGACAGCCAATAAGAAATGGCAAAACCAAAAAGGAAATTATATTTTCAAGGCAATTGGAAGGCACTGCAAGATGCCAGTTCAGTGCAGATGAGCATTACCTGAGTAGCCACATATTCACAACTCCCATCAAAGTCATAGAATTTTCCATCAAATGTGATATAGTGGCCACTGCCATAGATCATACAAGTCCCATAGCATGCTGTTTCAGTGCAGCTCCAGACTCCTTTCTGACAGGTACTAGAAGAGAGCAGAAAAGTTGACTTTCAGATCTCACCAACAGTGTGCTCTTGGAAAACTGCAGAACAAACCAAGCAGCTACCTTATACAATTTCACAATACCCACTTTGGTTTTACTGAATGTCTTAAGTCTCAGCTTCAATATTTTAGCCTGTTTTTAAGTTTATAACAATTTTTAGCTCTGACTAGCTACCTTTTTTAGATCGGTTAGTAATTATGCCTAAAAAATGAGTGCACTTATCCTGTAAGAGATGCCTACTGAAAACAGAAGTAACTAGTTACCCCAATATTTTCAGTACAATCTCTATTTCCTCAGGCAGCAAAAAGTATGCCAGAAAATAAAGACTACATACTTGCAGCTATCATAGCTACTATAGTACTTAAGTCTAGGTATGGCTTTTAATTTAACACCTGGAATATATTCTAGAAGAGAACACAAAATAATAACTTACCAGGTGTTGCAGTCCACTGCTATGCTCCGTCCATGATTATACCACTCATTGTTATGAAAACATGGGCAGTCTTCTTCCTTAACACAGCCCCCTCTGCCATCATCAAACAAACCTTCAGGACACACACAGCCTGAGACACACTCTGCTTGGTACTAAGGAATAGAAGGAGAAATTGCTACCTTATTTAAAAGTATTAAATTTTTCTTCCACTTTTTTTCTTCACTTCACTCTGGCACAAACAAGCCTCACATTTATTTGTTTTTTAAGGTTTTTCTTTGTAGGTTCCTAACATTTTTCATTCTCTTTTTTGATTGTCTGAGAACCTGAATTGTATTTGATTGGGAGGTACACTTAGTGAAAACAAAAATGAGAGGCTAAACAAGAGTAGAATCACCATTACTTTAGCAACAGATTAAAATTATTGGGGAAAAATAAAGGAAGATAAATAAGAACGGGAAACAAAAATTTTTAGTTACAATTACTTTCTCTGAAATACAGTGTTGCGTTGTGTTATTTATAAAATAGAGAATAAAGAAGAAGACATGGAGAAAAATAAAGCACATACATGATCGGTTTGAGGAGTACCACAGCGAAGTTGTATAGGCGTTTGTGAAGACCAGTTCGGGGAGGTGTTGCAGTCAAAGTAGGTTTTGTTAGAAGGGCATTCTGTTATACCTGAAAGGTACATTTTTTGGTTTAGGTTACCTGAGAAAAGGCAAAACAAATGTCTGTGAAGAGTGGCAGTCACTGAGACGGAAACCCCAAGGAATGTCTATCCTTATGAAACAAAAGACTCAGTAAAGACAGAATAAAGCAAAAATGTGTAACTCTTTTCCAGAAAGAGAAAAAAACACCAAGCAAAATAAATGGAGAATTCAAGTTGAAAGGACACTGTGGGGCTAGGAGGCTTGGGTTGATTTTGTTGTTGTTGTTTTTGTTTGTTTTTTTTTGTTTGTTTTTATATAATGCCACTTACTTTTCATTCTCATGTACATTGAAGTACACATGACCTTTGCATTTCGGCAAACACTAGGAAAGAAGTGAAATAAGACAATTTCAGAAAAATGTAATCTCAAATTTAAGGATTTTAAAATAAAAAAGAAAGTATGTATCACAGACATCCTGAATAATTTCTACTGATATTTCAAGGTAAACTCTATTGAGGTGCTCTTATTCACTTGGGGAAAGGTTTGGGAAGATTTTAGTCATAATGCACAGAAATATTATGTTTTAAGGAATGAATGTTACTCTATTAATCCTTAATACAATGCTTCATAATAACTCAGTAAAGAGATAGTAATGAACATTTAAATCAAAGCATGCACAATGAATTTTTATGCCCATTCATGTCATATGCTGTAAATCTGTTGGCCTGTACACTTCTTCTCCCATGTCAGTCCTCCTTGGTAGAGAAGGAAGTATTTCAGAGTTTTCACTTATGTTTGCAGCAAACAGTTGTCAGAGTGTTCATGATAAAAAATACTAGACCCATGAAAACTGCTTTCAAAAGCCTATGGTATAGCAAATACCTATCAAGGGGACCCTTCCTCCAGTGGAAAATATGAGCAATCAGTTTCTGACAGAAAAGAAAACAACAAAACATAGTAGCTGGCCTCTTATTACCTCATTTTTTTTCCCTTTGTTTAACAAAATCCTAATGACAGTGCAGCTTAAGGGGCATATTATTTGTGAAGGCTGGTAGTCACAACTCCAAACAAAGCTGTACCTCTCACTTATTAAAGAATTACATTGCAACAGGATGATATTTTGCTCAGCATAAAGATAGTGTGAAACATTACAAATGTTCATTAAAGTAGCACTAGTAGCCTAATTACTTACACTTAGTAAGTAAATTTAAAAAGGGCTTTTAACCCTATGAATGAGAAGCCACAATAAAACATACCAACGCTCTCCATCTTTTATGACATATTCCCCTGGTTCCAGGTATGACCCCTTGTAATAACACGGGCATTTGGAGATGGGCACACATGTATCCTGGTTATCCAAGTATGTATTATCTGGGCAGCCACAGCCATCCACGGGAGCAAAGTCTTGCAAGCAGTGCTTTTCACCATCAGCAATGGAACGACATGTTTGCTCACACATTGTAAGATTGTAAAGGAAGATTTGATTTCCTGAGCAGGCAGATAGTTCACCAGCTGGAAGGAAAATAGCAAACTGATATACTAGAAATGCAGGATAGACAATTTAATCTTCATGTTTCTATTTTGGTTTCTTTGGCTGTGCGGCAAGTAATGGTAAAAATACTCCCTTAGATTTTACTAAAGTGAAAAATATCATAACTCATAAGGAGTGCAAGCCTAACTTTGTTTATCAGTTGAAGATTTCATTTTAACTGCTACTAATAGTTTAACTGCTACATAATACCCATATGTTTCACATACAGATAACCAGAGAGAGAACATGTTATAATAAACTCCTGTTCTCAACAATACTGCACTGCCGATTAAAAGGAAAGACAATGATAAATAAATACACTGATAGGCAAAGACAACGTAAAAGCAATGATGGCTGGGACTCCCTCAGTCAAAGATGGAAATAGCCATTATTTAAAGTGGGGAAAGAAGGTGAAAGTGAAAAATACTGCTTTCTGAGTTTGAAATGTGTGTCATAAACAAATGAGATCTAAAGAACATAGCATAAATTAGTTAACACTATAAGCATTGTCTATTTTAATTCCATTAGTCATTCCTAAAACACCCCACATCTCTTAACATTAAGATCATTGACAACCAAACTCAGAGAAAACCTACTCATTTCTGATGGCTAATTAATTTCATGGGGAATACAGTTCCACTACTTACTGCAGATGCTTTGTCGCCAGCCTCCCAGTATGATCCCTTTGAAAGCACAGGCTCTTGAGTAAGAGGACAGGGCAGCACACAAGCATTCTTCATTGTCCTTGCAGAGGCAGGTGTCATATTTACATCTCTGAAGAAGGAATGAAGGGGTCAATAAGCCCGTAGGATAACAATTAGCTCAGTCGCTATGAAATATCCTGCACCTTTCTCTCATGTCATTTTTATTAATTCCCATGATCAACAAACAATAGACGGAATGGACAAAGCTCAGAGACTGAACATGCTGCTTCATTTCATCCAGAATAAAAATGTTTGTATGCTTATCCTAACCTAAGCAAAGCCTCTTGAATCTTTAAAAAGCAGTCAGCTCCCTAACAACACCTTCCACAAACGATTTTGATACCACTCTTTCTTGGTTACCACTTAGAAAGCCAGAGATCCACAACTACAAAAAATCATAATGGCAAACTACTAACCAGATTAATAAAGATCTTCACAAAATATGAGCTCAGATTGAGTTCCAAGTGTATGTGAAGACTTAGGAATTTCTTCTTTTTTGCTCAGGTAACCTTCACTTACACTTCTGTATATACCTGTATCTGTTGAATTTTCTTTCCAGTTCAGAAATCCAATCCACTAAAATGTACATTAAATACAAATCATAAATAAGACAGAAGAATAAAGTTACCTTTTTCTAAAGGAGCACACAATGAAAATCTTGTTATAGAAAATACTTGAATACACACTATACTTCCTCGGTTAATCACTGCAAAAACTTCACCAGCTCTTACAGCCAAGCCATTCAGTAATGTCTAAAACATTTGAGCGATGATGTATCATCTGTATCATCCACCTGAAATAAAGCACTACTAAAAAGAGTGCAAGATTGCAATACCTTATAGTATTCTGAAGGATCAATGACTGAGTGACATCTTGCAAAAGGGCCTTCTGACTTTTTCAGCAAAGAACACCAATGCTCAGCATAATTTGCTGCAAAAAAGGAGGAAAATGACATTACATAATCATATTCATTACATTCACTTATCTTCCTTGTGCTGTCACATCAATAAATGCAATGCAACAATACAAACACTCTGGGGAGTGGAGAAACTACATGCAGTCACTGCAGATGTATTTCTGTTCTATGATTCAGTTATCTAGCAGTAGACACACAATCATAAAATCAAAAATCTTACTGCTGCAAGTTGTCTACATAGAATCATGACAGCCCTTTCCATTTGGGGACCATAAAGCTAAGTTGAACATAATAAGAAATAATACTAGGAATTATGTGATGCCTTTGCAGGTAATATAGATTAATGTCATTGCTTCCCTGTCTTGCAACTCAGGATTCTTCTCCAACTCTCCTTAAACTTTCGTTCCAGTTTGTTGTGAAATCAGTGCTGTTATGTACACATACTTGCAGAAATTATTAATTTATCAGTCCTCTAAAACACATCAACACCACAGTGCAACTCCTACATGCCTGTTGCAGTAATATACTGCAAAGACTGCTCTTCCTGGCAGGAGCCAATCATCCGACTTATTAGTGTGCTTACCACTTTCAATGCTGAGACTGCAGGGATCTTCCAGCCTTTCTGCCTGGTCTGCACAGATAGCCTGAGCTTTCCATGTGTTAGCAAAGGCAGTTCCTGTAGCTTCTACCAACCCACTGGTTGTTTTAAAGTCATCACCTTCCATTCCATTAAAATTTCCACAAAGACCTATTGAAAAAGGAAACATTTTTACTAATTATTACTCATTCTCATTCTGAAAGGTCAAAGGTAAAGGGACAACCAATCTCAAACACTGGAGACAGAAGCTCATATAGCTGATTCTTCTACCTCAGCATTAATGCATACTGTAAGTACTCAAAAGTTAGAAGCCCTGTTTTAAATGTTAAATCTCTAAGAAGAATAATCTTCTTAAAGATATCTCTGACTCAGGAGATCACCCCCAAAATCTGTATTTTTTTAATTCTTTTTGGTGAAATTAAAACCACAAAGTCTACTAAGAGCCTCTTTGGGTGGATAGTTTGAAATTAAACTGAATAAAGAAATAAGGATGTTCTAAGAAACTTTAATTCACTGGCACAGGAATGATAAATGAAATTCAATATGAAATAATAACATATTTCTAGTTTGCTTGAGTCAGTTCTTTTCTAGTATTCTGGTTTCTGTCTTTACTCTTCTGAATTCAATAAATAGCATGACAGGACAAGGGATAGCAGTTTTAAACTGAAAAAAGGTTTTAAACTGAAAGAGACTAGATTCAGATTGGATGTTAGGAAGAAATTATTCATTATTAGGGTGGTGAGGCACTGGAAGAGGGTGCACAGAGAAGCTGTGGATGCCCCATCCCTGAAGGTGTTTAAGGACAGGCTGGATGGAGCTGTGGGCAAGCTGATCTATTGGGAGGTGTCCCTGCCCATGGCAGGGGGGTTGCAACTAAATGATTTTTAAGGCCCCTTTCAATCCAAACCATTCTACAATTCTATGATTTACCACCCATGTAAAGAATATACGACTCTTCAGCTGTGAAACAGCATGGCTTTGCTTCCCATTTGAGTGGACACTCACCTTGAAGATTTCCTTGAACTGATTGATCAACAGTCACAAACAGCTGCATGATTGGAAACAACTGGATCTGCAGCTGAAGCCCAAAAGAAGTTTGTACAATGAGGTAGTAGGAAGATGGCTTGAAAACTGAGAAGCTAGCTGAAAAACAAAAAATGAACTGTGTAGTAAATACACACTTAGGTTGCTGAAAGAAACATTTTTTATTAGCTTCTGAGATATTGTTTATCATAAAAACTCCAGAGAACAGGATCAGAATATTTTTTTTCTCTAAAAATCATTGGCCAGCTAAACACAATAGACTTACTAACTTAACAAGTTAATTACCTAAAATGACTCAGCCCTAAGATCAGAACCGAACTGAGGTTTTCTGCAAGGCAGATTCAATACAAACTCATTTATGATGTGCAATCTGAAAAGGAAGAGATTTTTTGAGATAGTATTATCCCAGCACTGCTGTATGCACAGAGTAATGGATGTGTCTCTACAAGAGATACACAGCTATATACTGCTTCTAATAAAATCTTAGACACTCTTTCCTGAGCAAAATATGGGAAAGATATAGACCAGTGGTCCTTCCAGTCAAATTCTCTCATAAGCTGTTGCTGCATACTTCTGGAAAGGAAATTAAAGCTGCATAATATGCAAAATTATAAACCCTATAACATGCAATATATAATAAGCCCCTGAAACATGCAATACTATCCAAGAGAATGTCATTTTTTAGCTAGCAATCAACTTATGCCCTAATCCAGTGGGATAAGACTGCTTTGCCCTATTTTAAAAACTGCACACACAATAATATTAACAAAATAAAACCACTTAATTCTAAATGTTGTTTTAGTTGTAAGGTATTTGGAAAAAAAAGGCTCTGGATTTTCTTACATTTTACACAGACAATAATCAAGCCATTATAGAAAACCCAGAAGAATTATGTATAAAATCAGCATAGTAGAGGAACTGGGCTCCCTAATTCCTGATAAATAATTTCTTATAGCAAATCATTTATTATATGCCCTATTTATCTATTTAATCGATTTATTAGATGGTTTACTTTATTGCCTAGAACAGTTTAATTTCTCTAAATGTTCAGCTAGATACTGCAATTGTTTTAAAATAAACATTCACAACTGTCTCCTCCCATGAATGTTTGTCCTTTCAGATAAAAAATTACTTCCTTGTGAGTATTTTATCATCTGCAGATAGGCTGGTAAATAAGAAGCAACGCATACTGTGTCAGTGTGCTGCCTGAGCATATCTAAAAAGGTATGATAAAGAGAAGTTCTACATTGCTTTCAGAAGTTACTCCGGGACCTCACAGCTGCTGTTTGATAATTACATCCCACCAGAAGTTAGGGTCCTTCATCTGAGTCAGTCTCTGGAAGTGTCTATGTCCACTGATTATATAAAAATATGTTGGTGTCTCAAGCGAGCTAGAAAGATAAAAGGGCGCTACATAGCACATCTCTCTTTCCTGCCTTGGTTGACCATAAAATATGGCAGTTGTCTTGTGCCAGGCTTTCTTTCCACAGACAAAAGGGCATGGGGAAGTGGTAGGGTGGGGTCCACATGCCTGAGCCTTACAATGACTGAGAGCTAGGACATTCCAACATCGCATACCCAGACTTTGAAAGTGCTAAACGCTGCTCTTTATAAGTAAATTAATCATCTACTTTAAGTTTAAGCCATGACAATTCCTCTTCTCAAGTCACACGCCAAAATATATTCAAGCTGTATGAAGAAAGTTAAGGGACATTTTTTTTTAGTCATTCTCTGCATACATATTGAATCTGTCCATGAAATTTTCAGTGAAAACTATCAAATCATATTCACCTCAAAATCATTCAGAACACATTCAGTTCTTTTTTCAACATTTGAACATATTTCACATGCCCCTCTCCAACTTTTGTCTCTGAAAAAATACAGCCCTACATGAGAAGTCAGCTGTGTGACAACACTTAAGGCTGTATCCCTTACCTGATACATGAGGTACATTCACTGTCATCTCATTCAGTAACACACTGCCATCTGATTTGAAAACTACCACCTGTACAAAAGCAAATAGGATTAATGAGCTTCCAGGTACTAAGAGGAACATAAATTGATAACAAATAATTTTATATGAGGGGGGAGAAAAGAGCCAACATCTTTCACATTTAGACCGTGGCTAGAACTTAAAATCTAGGACAGGAAGAATCTGTCTTAAAATTGGAAGTGGAAGCGGGCCTGTATAATATGAGCAAAGTTTGGTCTTGCTATTCACTTGCCTACAACACTTGCCTACAACAATTCATGGCAGTAACAAAAAGAGTTGGTTATTGCTCTACAGTATAGGAAATATGCTAATTTTCAAAATATTCAGGAGAACCCATGCAACACTTACATTTTTTTTGGCATCTACTAACAGCACAACAGTCTTCAAACAGGTCTGCCCATCTGTGAAGCCACAGGGAGCCAGCTCTGCCAGGAGGGCATGAGTGTCATTTACAGTACCCTACAATGACAAGGAAATAAATGTCCAATCAAACATCTCACATACAAGATGATTTCCAAAACAATGACTAAACTCATCAGTCACAATAAAAATTACTGTAGAACAACAAGATCTTTGTCATTCTCTGGAAAACCAGGCACTAGATATTTTAGAGACAAATAAAATAGCTGCCAAGCTCTTTTCTCTAGCTGGTTTTGACACTCAAACACAGAAACAGTTATAAAGATCTGGCTGAGACATTTTTATCCTGACAACTGCCAAATTTTTGCAGTATACCTATCCAGGTAGCCAGCATGCTGCTTTGCTTTTTTCTTATACATGAAGGACTCCGTTGGGTAATGACAGCATATGTAGTCTGCTAAGTAAGCCACCCATTGCAGCAACGGCCCAAGTCCTCCCATGGGGCTCTTATAGCCAATCCTGAAACCTTCACTGAGTCTTTTAACATTTCTTCTTCCCTCATCCCATAGAAGTGGAATAAAAGAACAATTTACAGCTGTTACATGAGTGCACAGACACTTACCTGCCTTTACTCTATAAGAGTAAAGCCTTACAGTACACAGTACCTTGGCCAACACATAGTAACAGTCTCCATGGAAGGTGTATTTTTTCCCATCAAAGGTAGTAATATGGGAACCTCCTTCCACTGAACACATGCCTGCACAGGGTAAATTTTTGCATGTCCATCTGCCTGAATCACAGGTGCTATAAACAGAGAAATGCATGTTGGTATTATAGCAGCTGAGAGCACTGAAAGCATCCGTATAACTAGCAAACAGCAACACATCCCCAGGTGTTTAAAACTGTTTATTTGACCATTTCCTTAAGATTTCTCCCTCTCATAAGCTATAGATACAAGACAACTTTTCAGAAAACTGGCTGTATAGACAGTCAACATACACATAAGTTTAGAATGTTTTTAGGAATTTTACAACTAAGTGGAATATTGAAAAGGACGGACCCATATACAATCATTTGAAAGAAGGTGTATAACTACGATCCTTACCATTCTTCACATTCATTGGTAATGCTTTCTCCAGGAGAATACCCATTTCCATGGAGTCTGCAGTGGCACTGGCTAACAGGTATGCAGCCTTTTTCAGTAATATCATCATACACAGTTCCTGTAAAGCACAACAATAAACAAACCATTACAGCTCCTTCTGAAATGAGCAATTTCCACAAAGAAGAAAATTTGAGAGTAGGGACATTCTCAACTTGGCACAGAAAACAGAGGCTGAGGTTAGCAAAACTGAAGAAAAGTGTTTCTAATTTTTTGTAATCTAAGACCTATGGAAAGCACTTTCATCCAGCTTTGAGAATCTAAGCCTAGCCATTTACACAACTATACACAAATGAAAAGATTAATAAAAATATAAAATAACAATCTCAAAATTTTACCTCTTCAACTTTTCAGACCTTCTGGCATACAACTTACACTGTCATAGTAATCTTTTTTCTAAATTTGACAATAAGTCCTAGAATTTAACTCAAAATAATGAATTGCAATAATAATTTTAAGGTACAATTTGATGACATTTAATATTTTAATTACACCTTCTTTGCTAGAGCTCCTAGATTTGTTCTTGTTTTGCTTTCTAATGCAAAATAAGTAAAAATAATACAGATGCATGCACATACAGGAACTAGAAATACACTTGCCTTCAGGGCAGAAACAACCATCCATGTAGTGCTCCTCACAAAGGCTGCTGATCTCCAAGTGTGAGCAAGTATCCATGCAGGGTGAGCCACTTTCCCTATAGATCATGTTGCCAGGACAGGTCTTGGCTGAAAAAATGAGAAAGACAGCATGAGTTATTTGAGTGAGAAGTCCATTATTCCTCAAAAAAATACAGATCATATGACCCACTCCCCTCAAGCTGGTGGTGTCCCAAGGCAGACTCCATTTTGCAAAGCATGTTTAAGGTTTGTTTCTGAGTTGCTTTCCCTGCTTTTTATATTTTCTCCTTTCAGTCTTGAATAAATCAAGTTATCTCACTTACCTACAACATCAGAACATGAGCTTTTTAATGGGAACAGAATTTCTACCTGCTGAAAATGATTTCTTTATGATAAAGGTAATAGAAGAAGAAAACAGCAAATCCATAGTATTTAGTTTATTGCCCTACTGGTATGCAATTCATTGTGTGTGGCTATAACTTTGTAAAGAAGAAATTAATTTAAATGTTTCACAGTGCTGATTCATGAGATATTTGATTTTGTAAAATAGATATAGCTGCTTACGGCAAAAGGACTTTGTCCTCCATTCACCCGGCCGGCCACCTGCATGTGAACACTGACGAGAATACTCTGAGATGGTGCTGCAGAGGCAGAAGGTGTCCTCGTTTCCATTACATGCACACTTGTCCTGCATGCAGGCTTGGATGTACATTTCCAAATTAAGGCGTGACTGACAGTCGTCAAATGCAGAGGAGGTCAGCAGCCTCTCACACTCATCACGCTAAGAAGGAAGAGCAAAATTATTTAAGAGATTTGTAAGCACCTGACCTCCTAGACACTTCTTTTCTGGTCATAAAAACTGTATTCTTCTGAACAGCAACAATTACTCAAACAAGGAAGAACCCTAGAATGGTTTAAGCCTTCCCATCTCCTTGCACACAAACTCTCCATAGTGCCAGGATGTCTCCATGTGCCCGTGAAAGTGAAGGTCGCAAGTAGGATTACTCACATGCTCATTACAGCTTGGAAGAGCCAGAGTTTCATCGGGGTCTTCACATTCGTCATTGGGTTTGCTGATCTTCTGTAAATTCCCGTATGTAATTGCATTGTAGCTTGCAACTGTGAGAAAAAATTAACAAGAGGCTTTGCTAAGACCAAAAAATTGACAACAAGGAACATCTGATTCCTGTGACTCTACTGATTAAGAAAAACAGTTACTATAATACAAACTAGGTCTGTCAAATGCAGATCTCTGTTCTGAATTATCTCTATTTGTCGTGTAGTTAAAAATTTAAACAGGTAACAAGAAAAGAAGGCCGGCAGAAAAGAGAAAAAGATGATGAACCTGGAATAAAGCAGGCTTAGACCAGGAATGCAGGACTGTAATATAATGCTTACTCTGGGACAAACACAGAGATATCAGAGGTAAAATTTGTTCTCTTGTGATGCTCCTGTACACAATGCTTATGATCCCATCTTTTGGGATAACTGTCAGTGTGGTATGATGACTCACCTCCACTGATAAATTCATTGTAGATTGGAATTCCATTGTAATCCCCACAAAGACCACAGGTCTGGTTGCTAAACTTGCTGTCCAGCTCCACCTAGGTAATGGAAATAAAAGGGGACAAATAAAGACAAATAAAGACAAATAAAGACAAATAAAGACAAATAAAGACAAATAAAGGAAAATGCAGATCAGATTGTGGAGTGTTACAGCAAAAACTTTAGCTATTTCTCAGGAAGATCCCGTTCCCTTTCTTTTGACTAGTAAGATCATCTGCATGCCATACTACTACATACTACTACTTCTGTCACATTGCAAAGAAAGTAACTTTACCTTTTTAAAATAAGGTACACTAAGAACCAGCTGGATGAGTCAGCCTAACACTGTAGCTCTGTTCAATCCACCAAATTCTACTTCTGTTCAGCCTATAGTAGTCTGTTAAACTCAGGAAATGCTAGATAAAAAGAAATGGATTATACATACCAGCAGTGCATCTTCCTGATTCCATATCAGAATTAGGCCTAACTTGGCATAAACCTTGGTGTAAATGTCACTTCTCTCAATAAGCAAACCAGAGCTGTAGTAAGGTGTTTTGGCTCTAGGAAAAAAAAAATAAACTTTGAATTAGTACAGAAACAAAAAGGGTGGTGTGAGTATCTGTGATAAGCCAAATATCCTAATGAATGGAGAAACCAGCCTCTAGAGAAAACAAGGCCTCAGGCATGTCAGCGTTCAAGTGGCATTTGGATACTGCCTTAATGATATGCTTTAATTTTTGGTTAGCCCTGAAGTGATCAAGCTGTTGGACTTGACGGCCTCTGAATGTCCCTTCCAACTGAACTATTCTATTTTATTCTATTTTATATTCAATATTTCTATCTATCTGATCCTAGCTGCACAGGATTATATGAGGTATAAAAAACTCCTTCTCTGACACTTGACAAGAAAATTCATTGCCCTTAAGTTGTAAAGCAACTTGAGAAGCAAAAGGCTCCTTGAGAGCACAGGTTCTTTAATTTAAAAAGAAAAAAAAAAAAAAAAAAGCCAGATTTCTTCAACATCATTATCACTGTGGTATTAATAGAGGATATTCAAATGCTCAGTAATCATTTACTTTTACCAAAGAAATAAGAGCTTAAATAGAAGCTTCTCTGTTTAAAAAAAAAAAAAAAAAAAAAAAAATGGCAACCATTCCAGAAAGAAATTAATGTTCTTTTGAATGGATTTTCCTCTTCAAAAGAGAATTCAAAAAACACAGGCAGGTATGGGGACTGACAACAAAATTGTTAGAAAAATGCGTAGGGAAGGGAGCATGTTAAGAGAAATTCAGTAGTTTGTTTCAGTAGTTAGTCCAGTAGATTTCAGTTGGCAGGACCAAGCTTATTAATGGTGACAGTAATGTATGTTAACATGACAGAGGATATTTTGCACAAGGCTGAGTTTGGATGTTTTTTGTCTGATAAGAAATCAGTTCATGGGACATCTTTCCTGTTTGTGTATATCTGTCTTATGGCACACTATAGAACAAGTCACACCGCTGAAATTCATTCACCAATAAAGGGATTGTGTCAAGCAGCCTCATCCTATAAAACTGAAAAGGCTGAGTCTGTTCAAACAAAAGTAGTGTATGCTGGAGTCCAGTCAAAATAACCCGTACATTTTCTACAGATTTGCCAGTGGTAATTGTTATCTATTAGGATTTATATGTCTATGAATGTCTCTACCTAACTAGTGTCCTGCCAGGGAGAATTTTATCTCCTCATCTCCTGTCACTGGGATCTTTCCAACTGTTTACCTCAGGTATTTTTAATATGGCCACATGACACAGGCATCTAAATACTAGGCAAGAACTCAGAGGCCATTATTTCTACTTCTGGCTGCATTGTTTGTCCTTCACAATGAAGCCTTACTTGATCATGTTTTTAGAGAGGATTATAAAACATTGGGCAGCTTTTCACCTCTTAGATATCACAGCATGGAATATTCCTATTTCTTCTAATACTACAACATTCAATTAAGCAGTGGATCAGGCACCAAAAGGCAAATTCATAGATTTATCTGCTTCGCAGGTTTCACTTCAGTGGTGTGAAATGGTATTGTATATGGAAATGGATCATACCCATTTAAAGAGCAATATGGGAAATTAAGTTCTACAAAAACTAAATCCTGCATGCAGCAAAAACCTGTTCTACAAGCCTCTGTTTATAAAGAATCTATTGTTTTATGAACAATACTTGAGATAAAAAGAGGCCTGGTTCAAGAAAAACAATTTTTAAAGGATTTCTAAACATGTTTTTCATGGAGTTCTTTTTAGGACCTGAACACATGGTGAGGGGCTTTTTCAGTTTGAGGCTAGAATGCATTCTGTGTAACTTAATGTTATTTTGTTATGCATTCTGGTATGATCTCTGGAGAACAGAATGCTATTTTCTATCTTTGAACAGATTTTTATCACAGTAAATCCCCTCCCCAAAGCAACTTTTATGCTGGATTTTCAACATTTTTTGGCTTGTAGAAATGTTTTTAGCTATTAACTTAAGAGGTATACAGACAGATATGTAAAGAATCACTCTTGCTTTTAGCTTCCCAGCAGTATTACACTAAAGGTACTTACATCTGCCCATCCACCACAGTCAGTTTTGGTTGGAGGTACACTGTGAAATCCTGGGTTGTTAATAGAATATACTGGATCTCAGGGTGGTTATTGCTGTTCAGACCACGCTGAATGTGGACAGAGAACTCCTTGTAAGTCTCTCGGCAGTCAGAAACAAAATTATACTCGCAAATCCCAGGAAATTGATAAATGTCTCCATCAAATGTTTTGAAGTGGTTGTTCCCCCAAGTGCTGCAGACATAGTTTCCATGATTTCTTGTCCTTCCTGTTAAGTTATTAAAAAGTAGTCAGGAAAAAAGTGAAATGAATGAACTAGAGTCAAGAGAAAGCAAGTGTTGCCATTTGCAATTAAATGCTTGGTGACTCAATATCTCTAGCCTAATCAAATATCTGCCTATTAAGCAGAAGAGATGTGAATATCTGACGAAAAACAAGACATTAACAAATATTTCTGGGACCTGTGTATATCTTGCACTCCTCACTGAGGTAAAGGAATCTGTAAGGTGGGGAAACTTAACCCTCTGACCACTAACAAGCTGGTGCATAAGTACAATAGAAGTTGCTTTGCCAAATGTATGAATTTATTCTGAATCACAGTGATATATTAGCAGTATTTAGTATTTCTAAGAGTTATATCCTTCCCTGGTGCCACAAGCACTAGAAAGGAAACAGTTAAGAAGTCAAGCAAGTGCCACTACTGCTCTGGAGGACAAATAGGTAAAATCTGTGCATAGCAGGAGTTTTTAAAGAATTCTTCATTTTCCTAACTGAAATAGTGATTTCTGTTACCACAGAGAGCTCTGCAGAAGATAGGGTAGAGAATAACTGTGGTAGTAGCAGCCAAAAAAAAAAAAAGTAAAAGAAAAAACAGATAAAGGTGATGCTCTGAAACGTATTCCCTTTCCAGCCATAGTAAATCTCAAGATGCTGCAGATTAGAGGTGAGCATAGAAGCTGAGCATACTTGGGCAGTTTTCCAAGACCACAGGGGTTTCGTGCAGTGTTTAATCTGAGAAAACAGAACTACCGTTGGGACCTCAAAGTTACTGTACCTTGATAGTATTGATCATATCAGATGCATCCAGCCATGATGGTACTAACCAAGCTGGTATGCTTCTCTCCCCAAAATGAAGGCTACACAGAGATTTGCCCATAGCTCACAACTAGGATCCAAAATGCAAGATAATGCTTTCCTCCTATTACTAAACTCAAGACACAGCAAACCAAGATCAGTATCCCAAACTCTAACACTGCCCAAAATTCATCACCTATTTCTCTAAAATAATTATCAGTACAAACATTCAATTTCAACACTTCAAAGTTGATAACATATAGAGTAAACTGGAGTTTGTAGAGAAGGATTATTCATGTCCTGAATGACAAAATAAGCTTTGTCCAATGTCAGTATGCTCACTTCTGAAGAAAGCATTTATGTTGCTCCAAAGTAACCATGTAATGCACAATCATATGCTTTCTTCATTGTGTAACAATGAACCTAACAAAATTCTGTAATTTCTTTCTGTCAAGTAGTTTTAATGCCTAAGAAACTCTCAACACATGGAAAGAAAAGCAATACTAAAAATATTTTCCAAGCACTTCATACGAGAGATTAATGCTGTAGATATAGGCACCAACCTCTCCAAAGGAAGAGAACAGTATCTGCCTATGTTTGGCTGAGCCATGCAGCCTCAGTATTTGAAAGTTAAAGAAATTCAAGACACTATAGAACTCCATTGTGATATTTAAATACACTGCCTCCTTCTACCTTTGCTGTAATATTTAAATTCTCTCCTCTCTCTTTTTCAGGAAGTGATCTACCACCATATCATTTCCAGAGCTTACCTTTTCTTATTTCATTTGTGTTGGCAAGAGCCAGCCAGAGCATAAAGAGGCTGGCAATTCTTAGCCCCATGGCGGCTAAGGTGGGTGAACTGTGAACTCCACTGAAAACTTTTCTTTATATAATATCCACTGATGCAATTGATTCTATCACAGGGGAGGAGATGCAAAGGGAGGAGGAAAGAGGAGGGGTAACAAAAATAGGTGTGATATTTACAGAAGATAAGAAGTAAACAGGCAGGTATTTTTCACTGTAAATGAAAGAATTTAGTATACAGGAAATGGCATAATATTGATTCATTAATCATTAAGTTTTTTATTGCTCTATTTCTTTCTCCTACAGGATGCTATGCTTTTAAATCCTTCTAATGCTCACGCCAAGTTTAACCTTCAGTAACTCCTAAAACAAAGAGTGGATTTTGGAGTGGCTGAGAAAGGAAATCCCTTGAATGAATTTTAAAGTGAGAAACCCTTAAACAACAGCTTCAAAGCCAAAGAACTTTCATTTTTCACCATCACATAGGATGATTTCCCTAAATATGAAATATGTCTTGTGAAGCTCCTATTAGACAACTGTAACCCTTATAAATAAAAATTATGACACACTATGCATGGTAAAATTATTTTGCAGACAATTGTTGGACTTTTGTTGGAATTTTAGAGCTTTGGGATGCATTTAAAACAATATACAGTCCATACGTCATCATATTGTGCCCCAAACATAATTTGAAATGGGTATCAAGAAAAGTTAAAGAAATTCACAGTACAAGAGATGCTCTACTGAGCATTGCTGCGATGCAACAGTAAGTCCATCAAAAATTGGTAAAGTATCTCACAAAACACTAAGCTTTACTAAAAAAAAAAAGGAAAAAATGGGAAAACATTATTGTCTATACTGAATAAAATCGCATGCTTGTTTTCAGGCAGAATCCCCCTGAACAGTTCATTCTTGCTTACCTTCTACACGAACAATAAATATCCAGTGTACTGTCCCATGCCAGATCCTACAAAAAGCTATAGGCTCAGCTTTGCTTTGTGCAGAGAAAGATGTAGAGGATCCTTGGGAGAAGAAAAAAGCAGAAGATGGACGCAGGAAACAGTGCAGAATGCTGCTTCAGAAATAAAAGTTTTCACATGCACTGCACTTTGCTCCGAAAAATTCCGCAGGGGAGACATTTCTGAAACTCTCTTCAGAAGATATAACACAGGTTCCTTGAGGTACAATATATTTATTTAATCAGACCTTTAAACATAGTTGCTTCAGGGCACTAAAAGTTTACTTCTTCCAGCTCCCAGGCCAGGCTCAATTTTCTTGTCATAAGTTTCTCATTGCAGTGTCGTGAAATCTCTAATCCTCTTAGTTGTTCAGAGTGTTCCTTACTTTCATTGCTCAAATTACAACTAAGTAGAACTTCTGTATTTTGTAAAACTCTTCACTTAGCCCTTTTGGCTTCTCAAGTCAAGTAGAAACACCCCTTTGTCATGGAAGCATGGTTTTTAGCCGTTGTTTCCTTTTATTTACAATTTTTGACACACAGATGGCCTAGACTCATGCCTAACATCTTACTGTTTTCCCTCAAAAGATCTTAGGCATTCTGTTTTTCCTATCTGAGGATGCAAATTTGCACTTCTCTTACCCATATACAGGGTATCATTCACTTAACAGGCCTAACTGAATTTTAGTAGCTACCCTTCTCTCCTGTGGGAGTCTATCTCTAGAAGGACATAGAACTGATTTTCCCTCATGGAAAATAATAATAATAATAATATAATAATAATAATAATAATAATAATAATTTCAGCAATATCCAGTTAGAATAAAACATTGAAAGAAAAAAGAAGTAACCCTATAGAGATTTCTCCTTGCTGGTTATTGTAGCCGGTCTAACTTCCTATGCCACCTCAGAGGCATCCTCTGTCTTAGAATTTTCTTTCTTTTATGCCACCAAAGTTCTCAGTTCAGAAATGTTTTCTAAAAGTACTTAGGATATTCCTGAAGTACTTTATTCTCAGCTTTTCTTTTCCAGATAAACTCCTGTCTGGTATTGCTGCTGTCCCAGAAAAAAAAAAAAAAATAGGTCTCAATGACTACATTCATATACAGCTCTGGCAACTTTAGCAGAAAGTCCACATACACAACAGGCTTGACCTTTTTCACATTAAATTGGGTCTATAAACTGCAAACTTGCATATTTTCAAGTTTCTTTGCCACGAAAGTTCCTGATGTAGAATCTGCCTCATTTATTTGCTATGACTGTGAAAGGTAATCATCTTTCACAAAATGTAGCATGACTCAATTCAATATGCTGGTGGTTTTTTCCTCCTATGCATGGTGACAGATACACTTTTCTTTGGGTTGTAAGGATAGGTCTAACTCCCTGAAGAGCTGCTCTGAGCCAAGCACTACTGGATTTTAGCAACTGATTTTGTCTGCTTGAGCTCTCACCTGTCTGTACAGGAGGCACGATCCCATTTTGGGCTATACAACAACACTACTTCCCTTCTCCCATCTTTTCTTCTCAGCGTGAACAACAACTTCTCACTGCCTGTCCTTTTGACACATAGGAAGCAGTGGCTCACTGTGACATCCCAACCTTGGGAATAAAGGAATGCTTTTTGAACTGAGACCACTCTTACAGAATTTGTACTTAGGCCAGCATAGCTATGACAACCTGAGAATTGAGCACAGCTCCTTATCTTCATAATTCGTAAGCATCCATACTTTTGCTAGCATTGGGAAATGAGCTAAACTATACCATCTCTGTTTCCTTATTGTCAGAAAGGTAACGCTCCTGTCTACCAGCTGCTTTATATGCCTCTCAGAAATAACAATATTTGAGATACACAATCATAGCTTGCTTTATGTCATGATCAACTAACTTGCTTTACGCATTTTAATCCGGATGAATCTTAGTGGTAATGCGCAGATGAAGTGCATCCATAGTTTACTATAAACTGTTTGAGAATCTAAAGTAATCAAACCATTTTAGAACGGAGATAACTCTGCTCTACCAGTAGCATCTTTGCTTAAAGCTTATCTGGCTTGTCTACTGCTAACCCACATTTTATGGCCTCACAGCTGAGTTGATCTGTCTGCAAAATTTTGTGCTGCTCCTTGTTTCTGGTCATCTTAATCAGAAGTCATCTTTCCTCTTTCCAGTACCAGCTGTTCATTTGCCTTTAATGCCAATGATATTTCTTAGAATTCAGCATTGCACTCCAGTTCTCTCCCATTAGGGACACAACAACTGAGAACATACAGTAATCCTAACTGGAAAAAAAGCTACTAATGCAAGTGGTATCACCAGAACAAGTTATGAGCAGTGGTCTTTTCATATTTAGGTCCCACTCCTGAGCCTCAACACAAATAGTTTCTTAAAAGTTCCTCAAGTCCATGAATAGAAACGTATGTTTCCACAATCTTCCCCAATATGCCTGAACTAGGAGCACCAATACCAGTGCCCCAACAACAACAATAGGCAACAATTAAAGTCAAAAAAAAAAAAAAAAAAAAAAAAAAAAAAACCTCCAGTGCTGAAGCAAGGGATCATGTCCTTTTTCCTGCTGACAATACTCTGTCTCATGCAGCCAAGAATACTGTTACCCCTCTTAGAAGCAAGGACTCACTGCTGGCTCGTGCTTATGTTCATTACAACTATATCTGGTCCTGAAATTTGTTCCATATTTGGTTTTGCATTTCTGACTTGCTGCCCATCGCAGGCTGTCAAGCATCATCCCATCAGTGAGGTTACCCTGCAGGAGCAGTCATGGGAATTCATTCTGCCACATCTACCAGCATTTACCAGAGCACACAAAGACTTCCGCATGCCCATCCGACTGCACGACATACACTGCACTCCATTTGTCTCAATCACAGAGATGGATTCCCTGTCAGCCATCCTGAAACAGCAAAATACAGGCAGAGTATGAATTAAGAGATGCTTGACAAGCAATCACAGTGCTTCCTTCACCGAGGCACCATCAAGTACTCTATAGTGCACCTTGACAAAAGGAAAACAGAAAAGCAGCAGAATGCTGAATAGTGGGTGAAAAAGAGAGTTAAAGTGATGAAGCAGAAGTAATAAGGATGCATTTCATTTTTATATGTATGTTGTCAACAGATTAACCTAGAATTATGAACATGAAATGGCCTGTCTTTATATGGATGTATAACTGTTATAAAATCACTGTAGATTTATGTTTTACATGTTACTAAATAATTAAAAATAAATGGCAAAAATGTGCCTGTAATCAACTTTCTAACCTCTCAGACGTTCTAATGAGGAAATCACTAGTTACTATTTTTACAAACTACTTTAAAGCACAAAACGCCCACTTAAACATACTCAACTAACAGTCAGACTTCTATGTCAAAAGAGCAAAGGAGATGTTACAAAAAAACACATACCTTTGACTGATGCTAGCATCAGTCTATGACCTCATATCATGTAATTAATTATTTTAATTTTATAATAGGCTATTTAATGTCTGGTTGGACTAATTGCTGCACTACTACTAATTTACTCACTGCGACCTTGAGCAAGTCTTTGGTTCTTGGCCTCCTTTTATTCAAACAAATATAATTGTGCAAGGTATCTACTGATGCTAGCTGGAATATACTATTTTCACATGCCCTTCCTTAAATGGTTTTGCACAGAAATTTTAAGATTAGCATCTACTTTTCACTCATAATACTTCCTTCTTCTAGTCAGTAGCCCTAATAGTCTATTTGAGACAGAGGTTGCAAAACTTTTCATTCTCTTCCAGTTAGGTACCAATTAGGATAAATGTGTGACACAATTACTGGGGACTAGGAGCGGAAGTGGTAAGTAATAACCTCAGCTAGTAAATTTTCCTGCTAACACGTCCTTTCTAGAAAAACATATGTCTGGGAGAAGTCTCAGCATGATAGCTTCTATAGCAATAAACATGAAAAAATAACTGAGCATTCAAAAAATGTTAGAATGGTTCTCCTTTGCTTGAGCATGAGTGGGATTTACTACAGGGAACTGGACACAGTGCCAAGAAGGGGTGACTTAGAAAGGGCATAAAGCAAATCACACTCATCATTCCCTTCACCCTGGCAAATTTTGTCTCAGTGGAGTGGGATTTTCTAAACCTTTTATACTCTCTCTAGGAAACACTGGAA